TTAAAGCTGGAATAATGTTGCTGAATATTCACATGAATAAAACATAAGAAGAATAAGAAACATTTATTTCAAGTTGTAATAATATTAATTCTTGATTTTACTTTGTTTTTTTAAGTAAATGTAGCCTAGGTAAGCTAAATATACTTTTTTTACAGTAAAAAACTGTATAAAAAAATCTTACCAATGCCAAACTTAAAAGTTCACATATTTCTGTGGTGTAGATATCATTTTTAGCCATAGCGTTTTAGGTCACTGTGTTGTACTAAAGAGAAAATGCCAGATTTCGGCAAAGTGCCATTAGTAACACAAAACAGCTGACAGCGTGTAATATAATCTTGTGTTGAAGGGAAGCAGCCTTTGCCCTCTGTCAAATCATAACTACTGGTGTTGAAGATGCTTTGTGTTCATATTTTTGGGAAAATCCACAAAACTGTTTATATGAAATTATGTAGGAGCTTTGAATTGTCTTTTCAAAACTGCTGATCATGATAACTAAATTATTGTTGCTTTATCAATAAATAATATGCCTTTTTAATGAAGGATCAGTTGTGTTTATTAAAATCCTTAAAACCCAGCATAATAATTCATAAATAGATGCATAGATAGTTATTATTCATCAAATCTCCATGCTCACCAGGTCATACGGCTAAATGATTGTAACGAATTGTACATACAATTATTGTATTGAATATCCCAGACTAATAGAAGAGCATTTTGCTTCTTGTTTTCTTTAACATGTATAGATTTGTTATTGTCTTCTGAATAAAATTCAACTTTAATTTTAACTTTAAAATCTCAACTTTATAAGCATGACATTCAATAACAGACAATATATATGTGCAAATATGTTTCTGATATTTCAGTCAAAGCTTTCACATTAATGACAGTCATCCCCCTGTCCATCTGCACACCTTCAGCTCTTTTCCTCCATTAATCCACAGGGAGAAATGAAAGCCTCACCCTGGAGCCAAAAACATTTAGTCCCTTACTACAACATTATATGGCCACTGACCTTATTTCAAAGGCATATGGATTATTTTGTCTGGTTTCCTGGTCATGCATTAGATCAGACTAAAAACTCAATACGAACTACTGCACTTTAAAAAGGAAAATGTGTGAGAAAATCAAGCTAATGCATTAAGATTTATATTTTTGTTGTTGTTTAAATTTACACGTTTCTTTTTATTCTACACACTGTTAACAATTTTTGTAAATTACACAGTATTTAACTGTAATATGAACTGTATTTTACTGTAGAACAGTTATGCAATGTTACTGTATTCTAAAGTTGCATTGTGAAAATGACCAGTAAAGATATAATTCTGTAAATACATCGAGAGCAAGATAAATGGTGTAAATGTAAAAACTTTATTTTTGCAGTAACTGATTCACAGCCAGTTACTGGCGAACTGTATAATTACAGGAAATTGTTAACAGTGTACATAATAAGCTATCATAAAATAGTTAATATCAGTTAAATATGCACAAAATTAAATTAAAGTAATTTTGTATTAGGAAAAAAATATGATTTTTGCTGTATTATTTCATTTTTTTAGTTCATATAAACCTTTAGAAAAAAAATCTAATATGATCCGGTGCTTTTTTTTTTTAACCATGATATAGTTGAAGTCAGAATTATTAGCCCCTTGAATTATTAGCCCCCCCTGTTTATTTTTTTCCCCCAATTTCTATTTAACGAAGAGAAGATTTAAAAAAAAATCTAAACACAACAGTTTTAATAACTCATTTCTAATAACTGATTTCTTTTCTTTACCATGATGACAGTAACAATTATTTTGCTAGATATTTTTCAAGACACTTCTATATAACTTAAAGTGACATTTAAAGGCTTAACTAGGTTAAATAGGTTAACTAAGAAGGTTAGGGTAATTAGGCAAGTTTTTATATATTGATGGTTCTGTAGACTATTGAAAAAATATAGCTCAAAAGCTAATAATTTTCACCTTAAAATGTTTTTACAATAAAATTAAAACATACTGTGAAAATTTCCTTGCTCTGTTAAACATCATTTGGGAAATATTTAAAAAAGGAAAAAAAATTAAAGGGGGTTTAATAATTCTGATTTCAACTGTATATATTCCAATATATAAATATTGGAAAAAGTTCAATAAAACAGCATTTATTTGAAATGGAAATTTTTTATGTTGTATTTTACAGTATATGTTGTAAAAATGCAACTTGTCCTTGTCCTTTTATTAACTTGGCTTTTAAAGATCTTACTGACACTCAAACCTATATATTATAAATTTAAATAACACCATTATACAAGAGTATTATATAGGAACATTGCTACATCTACTTGAAAAAACACTTTCTTAGCAAAGCTTGTCTGAAATTATAGGTCAAAAACAAACACAGTAGCAAAAGATCAAAAGAAAATCAGCACACTGCCACTAGCTCTCAAAACATTTTAATGTCACAACATTTCGACATGGTCTTCATCAGGTGATCGAACCATGTGCATATGATAATTTGTTTAAAATTAAGTGGGTAAAGACATTTTTAAATAAACCAACATCTTGTTAAAATGTTATTCCAAATTCTATTTTGTAGGTCAGTTGGAGGTTTACTGTACATTTTTGGTTGCAATGTAATTTCAACATCTCTAAAACATCTTTGAACTTATCTAGTTTTCACAAACAGGCCTTAATAGCTTATGTTGGTCCCTTAAATATAATTATAGTTTTTCTCCACTCCCCTTTTTTATTTGGAACAATAAAAATATTATATTTAAAAATAAATCTCTTTCTTAAATAACTTGTTTTATAAAATTATACTTTTAGTTAGTCAGCTCTCAGTAGAGTCCCTTTTCTCATATGAAAAATGTATGCATCAATTTTCTTTTCCAGTTTCTCCCAAAGAATATACCGTTATTTTTAATCAAGTATGGCCTAAAGGTTGTTAGATTCCTTTACTTTTGACAACATAAACCTATTTGTTGACCAAATTCTTCTCAGTTGTTCAGATATTCACTCAGTTATTAGTAGATTTCAGATTTATTTACCTGTAGAAGTTTTTGGAATAATATATTTGGTGACATTGAGTAAGGACAGCTTCTGCTTCATCCGAAAAAACAAAACAAACACACACACACACACACATATATATATATATAATATATATATATATATATATATATATATATATATATATATATATATATATATATATATATATATATATATATATACAACAATTCTGTCTGGTTTTTGTATCTGATTGGCTGATAGCAGTGATATGTTTAAGTAATATCACCACCTGTAAAGCCTCTTTACCCTTTGTGTATTACTCGGCCCACATACAACCAGCAAAAAGCAGCCACAGCAGATCTAAAGTTTAAAAGATGCTTGCTCAGCTGTTTAACTGTCAGCTTATGATTTAAATCCATGCAGAATAAAGTAATTGCTCATACAAAAGAGTTTTTGAGACTCTACATGTTTGATTTTGTTTTTATATACACAATTATGATGTCAAACTGTTGTATAAACGCAATATCACATTTGTAGCAGTGCGATATGTATATCGGCACTGGTGGGGGCACTAAGGCAACGCAAGCCTCCCACCGGTGCCGATATACAGCCATATCGCACTGCTACTTGTGTGATATTGCTCATTTTTATATATATATGTCACAACGTTTCGACTACATGGTCTTCATCAGGTGATCGAACCATGCGCATATGATAATTTGTTTAAAATTAAGTGGGTAAAGACATTTTAAAATAACCCAACATCTTGTTAAAATTTTATTCCAAATTCTATTTTGTAGGTGTATACACATATACATATATGTATGTATGTATATATATATATATATATATATATATATATATATATATATATATATATATATATATATATATATATATATAAACCAGAAGCTAAGAAGCAGTAGCAAATACTCTTACAGCCAGCCATTCACCAGCTTAAAAAAATGGCTTATACAAATGGCATACGTTTACAACATAAACCATGTTTTTTTTACACAGCGGATGCCCTTCCAGCTGCAACCCAGTATTGGGAAACACAACTACACACTCATTCACACACATACACCACAGCCAATTTTATTCAACTCACTTATACCACGTCTTTGGACTGTGGGAATAAAAAGAGCACCGGAAGGAAACTTATGCAAACACAGGGAGAAAACATACAAACTCCACACAGAAATGCCTACTGACCCAGCCAGGACTCGAACCAGCAACCTTCTCGCTGTGAGGCGACTGTGTGCTAAGCCACTGTGTCGCCTCTAATACTTATATTGCATGTTAAACTCTTTCTTGGTGTAAATCTTTTAAATGTGTATAATTTGCTGGGGATTATTTATGCAACCCTTTTTGTCTCTTTGTTCATATTGTGTCCTTTCTTGCATAAAAATGAAAAGGAAAGAAAAAAATATTTGCTACTGCTGCCATCTAACGGTCAGTTGAAGACGTTCATCATATTTTGCAAGACCTCGAGAGTCATATTAATTATGTTGGATCAGTTCACAAAGTATTTTTATACCACATATCACCCGTGGGTTTGATTAGATTTGCTGCTAATGGAACTAAAAAATGGTTTCTAAAGTATCACTAAATTTAAAAAAAAATGCTGGCTAAGCTTAAATTATGCTGTTTTTAAGAGTTTTCAGAGCACTCTAAAAAGTCCAAAAACCAACCTTAGTTTAACAATAAATGAACCACCAAAAACTCTGCGTGGTTTTGCAACACCAACCATTCTTCTGGCAATAGTTTAAATATAGTGTTCATGTTATAAATCATTTAAATTGTAGATATGTTCATCTGCATGTAATTAGGCCATTTCCATAATTTCCAATTTTTTGTTTTTAGTTCAGGTATTTTTCGAAAATAAAATAAAATGAAGGGATCCCTTCATGGGGTGGTGGATTTGGGTTGGGGGGGGGGGTAACCTACTGCCTAACTATGTCTGCATTTGCATTTACTGTTTCAAACCTTTAGATGGCGCCTGATCTCGAAAATAATGACTGTTTGAAGGAAATCAATTTGAGATTTTGCAGCAAGAGATGTTTTCATTTCAATATGCTGTGAACTTTATCCAGTTGTCTTGTCGAATTATGTAATAAATAATAAATAACACTACAGATCGAAATACATAGCGCACACGAGTTTACATACGAACCATTTGACATGAAAATGAAACTGAAAGAGCATAGGGCGTTTCATTTATGAATATGGCTTCGAACTACCAAGAGGATTCCGGTGAGTTTATTCCGATGTCAAATAATCAAAACTTGCTTCAAAAGTGTAATGAGAGCTGTAGATAAAAGTTCTTTTCAGAAATGTTTTCCTCTCGACAAGTAGGCCTATCTTATTATTTTCTGCGGTTTCGATCAACACTGCTTCAGTCAACATGTCATACTGTTTCGAAACTTTGTTTCTAAAACTAGTAAATGATACTTAATACGTTTTACTCCAGTAAATATTTGTTTTCGAAAAGTCTTTAACTCAAAACATAGCCTACTGGGCCAAGTTGACATAATTTGCAACCTTTTAGACGTTACATAAAATTGTTTTTGTAGTTAAAGTTAAAACAGCAAGGATTTTGATAAGGTTTTTTCTTAACTCAAGGAGTTTGTTGCTACTGCTTCATCAAGACAAATATAACATCATATTTAAGTGATAGCAGCATGTAAACAATAGCTCAATATAAACAAAATCACACTCGCAATCATTCTGTCAATTGACTGCACGACCTATTGCCTTCATTTATTAGACAGGTCTTTCATGTCATTTCAGATAAATGTTTGAAGATATTTGAAAATATAATAACTGTCTGAGCGGAGTTTATTAAATAACATCAGAGATTTTGCAAACTGTGTAAATATGTCAAACTGAAATGTAGTAACACAGTAAAAGTCAGTAATATTTTTTTGTAAAATAAATGAGTTGCATTTTTTTCAATAGTCATTGATCCGTTAAGAATAGTCTTCCTAAAATAGTAAAGAGAAATGAACCTGTTTATATATATATATATATATATATATATATATATATATATATATATATATATATATATATATATAAAATATTTTTTTCAGCAGTGAGAGTAAAGGCTTTTATAATGTTACTGAAACTTATTTACTTATTAACTTATTCTTTGTTAGTTTAAGTTTTTTGTTAAAGTTTCTTGAATACATACTTATTCATTAAAAAATATTTCTGAAGGATTGAGTGATGCAATGACTGCTAGAAATTCCATAATAACAATATTAATATTAAAGAGGGCTTGTTTTTTTCCCAGCTGAAGGCGGCGATCAGCTTTCTGGTGAGAGTGGCTCAGATTTCAGTGACACTGACACAGACTCTGATGCATCCACTGATTCTGATTCTGACTCTGAAGATGCTCCACAAACCCCTAACAAGGTACATCTGTTAAAAATGACTATAAGGCCTTTGAGGTGTAAAAACCAATCATATGTGAGAATGTATCTGCAAGACACTGCAGGTTAACAATACTTTCACAGATGATTGATTAAATTAAGAACTGCAAACGTTTTCTATTTAGATGTATTTAAACATTTTTTTAAAATGGTATGTTTAAATAGGCAAATGGAACATTTTTTAGTGAAATATGCACTGTTTAGCAGACATTTCTAGCACAAAAACTATAAGCATTGAATGAAGTTTCTTTTTTGCCATGTTTACTCAAAAGATTTTACTGTGGTGATATTGGGTATCAAAAATAGTGGGACTTCAGGAAAGTCAGAAAATACTGTGTACTTTGGGTATTGGGTAGAAGACGATGTTGGTAGAATACATTATTGGGTATTGGATAGAGTACAAAGGCACATTTAATATGAACAAATTAGACATGAGCTGGTGAACGATTTTGACAGTATGATAACCTCAGATAAAAATAGTATTGTGATTACTGCTCTGAAATACATTCTTTTTAAATGTCTAGGTAAAAAAACTAAAACTTTTTTATCCATTGAACACAATATATTTTATTTTAGGAAACATTTAACCTATTTTGAAGCAGGAAAATTTTCAGGCTAAATAATTCAAATTAATCATTAACCTTTGCTGTCTTCATAAGTTTTCATAATACAGCTTTCATTACCATTTAAAACATAATCTTTGGATATCTTTTCTTCTGGAAATACTGTTGTTTTAAAAAACAAAAATGTAAATAAAAAAATCTTACACATACCTTGGAATGGTATAGCAGAATATTTTGGCGGTTTAAAAACCTTGATTTTTCCAAACCGCAGTATACCTTGAAAACTGTTATCTTCCCATGCCTAGAACATATCCATCTGAAAAATCCCTCTGAAAAAACCTACAGAACTTAGATAATTTTTTTATATTAAATTTAATTTGATGTATATAATATGTATGAAGTGAAGATTTATGTCTCAGTGCTGAATAAAAATGATAATTTAAAAAATATGCATTGTTAAAATCTACACACAAATTAATTAAGCATGATAAAAGAGACTTAAAAGTGTAAAAAAAAAATCTGAATTGATATGCATAAAAATTTACTGTGATTTTACCTTAATAAATGAAGTCTTAATCAATTATGTTGTTTTGTGTTCAAGCGTAATGTTTGCAAGTATTACAACCGTGGTCAGTGCCGTTACGGGGAAAAGTGCAGGGACGAGCATGTCTGCAGCAACTTTCTGAACAACTCATGCAAATATGGCACTGGATGTCGACTCAACCACAATCGTCAGAGTCCTTCATCAGCACAAGACAGACAAAAAAGAAGCAGACGCTCACCTGCAGGTTTGTGTGCACACATCCTAAATATGTAAGGCTTGTTTTTGGTCATTCCTGAATAAAAACATAAGCCAAACCTACCCCAGGGTAATAATTGATAAAAAAACAATAACTGCAGACGTGTCTCTCAAAATATGCTGATCCAGGAACACGTTGCACTAGGTAAAATCAGGTTCTGAATGTGTGGATAAAGGTGAAAAAATTAAAAAGTGAAAGTATTTTCTGTAAAATGTATTTAAACAATTTAATATGTAAAATATTTGAAAATAAACTTGTGTCTTAGCCTTTTAATACTTTGCCTCTAGGACATACTCAATGTTAATGGGAAATCCGTTTATTAAAATGGTTAAAGTGAATATAATATAATATAATCAGGGCTTGACATTACCTTTTTTGATCACCAGCCACTGCACCTGGTAGTTTCCTAACGTTACTTGCCACTCGTCATTTTCACTAGCCTCAATTTTGTTAGGAAAATACATTTTATATGCATAGAGTTGACTTTGGCATGCTAAAATTTCTTGATTTAAATTTTGTGTAATGTCCACATGCCTCCTCTTTCATTTACCTTTATTTGTGTATTGTGTGTGAGCTTGCTCAATGAGCTTAAGCAAATAGGTAATGGTTTCACAGTGTCACATTGCAATTAGTTTTTTTTTTTACATGACCTTTCAGGGCTTAACACTAACTGAACTAACTATTTCCTTGCCACAAAATTTAAATAATGTGTCAAAACAAGCATACTATATACTAAAGCTGTATCCTAAAACTAAACATAAGTTTTATACATAAAACTATACATAAACTTAAAAACTAACCTTTGGTAACGTGCCAGCACTGGCAATTTAAGAATGATTTTCAACCAGCCAAAGTGGCTAATGGGGGTGGCTGACTAACCTGCCCCAGCTACCCGCATTTGCTTGGTTGGCAGGTGTTAATGTGAAATTCTGAATATTATATTATATTATGTCATATAATCCACTATCATTCAAACCACTAGCAAAAATGAATACTAAACAAATTATTAATACTGCCTAAATACATATTGTTAAGAAAGGTGTAGAAATTAGGTACAATACCTACAATAGTTTACACCTGTTTGTGTTGTTTGATTTGTTTTAGCTTCTAAAATGATAACTACTAATATAATAAGTAATCTTTTTTGTATTTAAAATATTCACTTTATTTCAATAGATTAATATTTTTACCTTATAATGAGGACAATAATATTATGAATAATATATAAAGATATACACTTAGGCGACACAGTGGCACAGTAGGTAATGCTGTCGGTTCACAGCAAGAAGGTCATGGGTTCGAGCCTCAGCTGGGTCAGTTGGCGTTTCTGTGTGGAGTTTGCATGTTCTCCCTGTGTTTGCTTGGGTTTCCTCCGGGTGCTCCGGTTTCTCCCACAGTCAAAAGACATGCGGTACAGGTGAATTGGGTAGGCTAAATTGTCTGTAGTGTATGAGTGTAAATTAGTGTGAGTGGATGTTTCCCAGAAATAGGTTGCAGCTGGAAGGGCATTCACTGCGTAAAAACCTGCTGGATAAGTCCGCTGTGGCGACTCTGCATTAATAAAGGCACTAAGCCAAAAAGAAAATGAATGAATGAATGTATACACTTAAACGGCGATCTATAGTTAAAGACTAGTACAGTAAGACTAGTAATTACTAGAAAGTTCAGTCACATGTGTGACCATTAAATACCATGTAAAACTGTTTAGTCATCATTATTTGCTTTTTAATCTCTTTTTAATCTTCATATAGAGACAGAGGATGAAGAGTTTGAAGGGCCTTATAGATGGCAGCTGAATACTGGAAAAGGCTGGAAAAACATTTCCAACGATCATATTCTAGAAGCCCAGTATTCACTTCCTAACACCAAAGGAATCAAGATTTACAACACCTCTGCTGGGTAAATGCACATAATCATTATTCATCATGGGTTTGTCACTAATTAAAATATTTCTTGTGAACAGGGAAAAATTAACTAATAGTTGTAGCCATGCTTAACCAGTTGATTGATTACTCAAAACATTTCAACTATTTATTTGTACTACAAAATGTTATGTTGAAATGAGTATATATATATATATATATATATATATATATATATATATATATATATATATATATATATAGTCCTTTAAATAGGCATGATTTAAAGGGGACCTATAAACTTATTATGCAAAAATCACTTTTATAAATGGTTTAAATACAGTTGTGTGAATATAGCCAACCTCTAATGGTAAAAATGAATTCAGTCTATTTTTTATACTCACACTTGTCTTCAGTAACATTTTGATTGAGATTTTTCCTTTGTCCATGTCATCTGCGAGGGCAAGCCGCACCCATTAGTGACGATCTCTCCCCTATTAAAATAGGCAGTCCTAAGTGTGAAGCAGCCATCCTCCATTGGAGTTTTCACCTGCTGAAGAAAATGGCAGCAACTATAAGGCATTATAAATGTGGGTTTTTAGGATGCACAAATGTTACCTTTTGAAACGTTTCTTTTGACATTTTCATGGCACAATTTAGATCAAAGCCTAAAAGGGGCAGTAAACTATAAATCATTTGTGGGGTATTTTGAACTGAAAAGCATTCATTTTACCTAGAAACTGCAGTCAAATGTACGTTGATGTGCATTTTTATTAGTTTCACAAAAATATAGGTTGAAACATGAATTTTCTAAATGAGCCTGTGTAGCCATTATGCATGGCATTTACACTTTTTACCGAAATGTAGTATTAGCTACATACATTTATATACATCATATCTGTTTTCTAATTCACTTTATAGGGCTGTTTCGATTGACTTCATGAAAATGCGAGTTCTTAAGAAAACAAACATTAAAGTCCGGCGTATGAGCTCAAAAGACACAGAATGGCTGTGGTATTACAGAGGAAACCACTGTTGGTATCGTTATGGCGACAAGGTGAGTTTTAGCAGTCATTTACGCAACACCGTTTGCAAATGTAAACAAATACTTCTATCCACTATTTTAAATGTGTTGTTTAGGGGGAAAATGGATTTCAATTCAGGTTTTTAAAAGTTATACCATAGTCATCTCCAAGTAAACTACACTGTAAAAAAAAAAAAAAAAAATTACGGTTTATTTATTAAAAATCTTCAATTGACGCCCATTAATTACAGAAATTTACTGTAAAAAAAACAGAGGTTAAATAACGGAAAATTACCAGAAATTTTCATTTAAGGAAATTTCTGTAATTTAATGTATGTTATTTTACAGTAAATTTCTGTAATTTAATGGCTGTTATTTAATGTTTTTTTCGGCACCCCAGCTGCCGTAAATAAACTGTGAAATTACAAAAAAAAAATTGTACAATGTATAAAAATGTGTATTTGTGTATTTTTTGATTGTATAATGTTTCTTTACTGTGACATTACCAACTGTTGGTCTTGCTGTCAAAATAAAAGTCATTTTTAATGACGCAAACATAACAAAAATATATTTTTTTTGTATATTGTTGTTGTTTAAATGTACGCCTAAATTTATGATATTATATTATGACAAAACAAGAAAGTGGTGAAAAAAAGGACCAGGTTGACGTAATCATTGAAGAAGTTATGACAGACAAACCTTGCCAATCAGGAAACAGAAGCAAAAACAGGAATATTAAACATGAAACAAAACTGAAACTTAATATCTTACTCTTCTTCTTGTATCTACTTTCTTTCTTTCTTTCTTTCTTTCTTCATTCATATATTCAATCATTTATTTTAGTACAATTTAAACTAATTGAAAATAAGAATAATTTGTTTACTATCTAACTGTAAGATGAGTTAATGTTTATTTTGTAACAAATATTTATTTATTTACTTACTTGCATACTTACTTAGCTCTGATAACGCTCACCTGAAATAGAAAGGATATTTTAATTATTGAAAGTCTGAGATTGGCACAAGCCAAACAAAATCTATAAATTAAAAAGTATTATAAATGTTTGAAATGCAGTTTCATATGCAACCTTTACAAAACAAAAAGAAAAAAAGCAGTCAATTTCGCATAAAAATCATGTAAAAATATCATGATAATAAGGGCTGTTTTAAAAAAATTATAGTATTCCTTATAATGTAAAAATTATATTATGTAAAAATTATATCATGGTTGTTCATCTTTAATAAATATATTTTTTATTACAACTTTGTTTATAGGGCAAATCCAGCCCGATTCAGAGCTCAAAACTGGAAACGGAGTTTCAGAAAAACCGCAATGGTTCAGTTAAATTGACCATTGACTCTACACAGTATGAGATATGCTTTAAAGGTTTGTTTTATGAAACACACATGTTTGTTTGTTTTTTTAGTTTGAACAGGAAAAGTCACATTCATGAATGTTTTTCTGCTGCCAGGAATGCGTCAGAGAAATGTATCTACAGGCCATAAAAGGACAATCAGACGCCGCCCTAAATACGAGCCCCCCAACGACGGAGGGTAAATATGAATAGTTTAAGCAACATATTCATGTTTGCCATTTTTGCATGACAGAGTGAAAAATAAAATAAAACAAAGCAGTTAAAAAAAAAAAAAAAAAAAATATATATATATATATATATATATATATATATATATATATATATATATTCTTGCAATATAACTTTTCTTCTAACTTAAATTACCGAATATGTTGGAAAAAGTTAAGCTGTGTCCCAAATGACACACTATACATGGCACACTATTTTGCTTTCAAAACGCAAATTAAATAAAGTATTCCAACATGAGCGCCCGATGGCTCCGCCCCTTCTGCTACATAAGCAAAGCTGCGGTTAAGTGCGTGAAGTGTCCATCATTCCACACTTCATTTTACCAGTTGAATAAGTGCATCATCCGGGTAATTAAAGTGCACTTGTTATTTTTTGAGTTTTCAGTGTGATTGCACTACTTACACTATTTATATTAAAAAATGGCGCAGAATTGCGCATAAGTATGCGATTTTAGATGCACCTTCAGTTTTAAAAGTAATGCCTGATAATCTTGCCTTACATCTTTAAAAAGTAACTGTTACTTAGTAATCGTTTCGTGAAAGTAATGTGTTGGGTTACTTTCGTTTTACTTTTTTTAATCTGGGCTGGACTGCTTGTCTAATAATATATTATTAATATATAAAAAAATATATTTTCATAATGGTATGGCCCTTATTACACTCCAAAAGTGAAATGTGAAGTGAGGAACATGTAAAGTTACGTATGTACAGTTGAGCTCAAAGAAAATAAAGTTGTGAATATGAAATAGGAGAAATAGTGGGTAAGGGGTTGTCGATATAAAATCTGCACTCTGTTTTAATGATACTGCATTCATGCTATATTCATAAATATGAATACTTAATTTCACGATGAAGCTAACCACAACGCTATTTTTATTTTTACATTGCATACAATTGCTAAACTTTAAAATGTAACTGTAGGCCATAATAAGATGCTTTCATAAATTGCACACACAATTTTACTTTGTTTAGATTATTTACATTTACTGTATAATGCTGATTTTACACAAGTAATTCAAATGTATTGTTTATTGTGTATTCTGTTTGAACAGATTACATGCTTTAAGCTCCAGAATAAAAAACATGATGAGTCCTTCAACAAATAAAACTCCAGAGTGGCAGTTTCATGGGAGAGATCATTGGCATACCTTCAAGAACACGGTATAACTTTTTTTTTGTTTGTTTGTTTGTTGGTTGTTTGTTTGCTTGCTTTTTAATATTCATAAGGGAAACAAGCCAAAAGACCAGCCTCACTAAAATGAGAGAACAGCAAACCAATCAAATATTCAATAAAAAGCTAAATATATTTAGGATATTGGTGTTGTTTTTTTGTATTGATAAAGCAACATATTCTGTTTTCATTTTCGAATTGTAAAAAGATAATCTACATCTAAAATAATTAAATACTGAAAACTTGAATTTTATAACATATAAAAAAAAATTCATATAATTTTAATTATATCTTTGAATGGATGGTGTCATTTCAACTTGTAATTATTGCTATATAAAACCATTCAGTGTAACTTTAAACTAGTCCTGTTGTCTCTGTAAGGGTTTAGTTTGCCATAATAATAGCTTGAATGTAGATTATCCCATAATTACGGTGACTGGCTGTACTGTATTTATGGCCACAGAGATATTAAAATCTTAATATTGTTTGTCTTGATTTTTTTTCTCCACAGGGTGGTTGTTCAGTCTCAAGTGCTGATATTGAGAGATGTTTCCAAAAGAACCAAACTACAATGAACTTTACTGTGAATGAAGACAACTACACTCTGGATTTTGGAAGTATGTCAGCAAAAACCAAATACAGTAACATGTTGTTTTGTAGTACATAGCCCCACAATGTAAAGAACATGGGTCAAAGGTGGAAAAAAAGGTTTTCAAACATAAAATATAGTAAGATAAAGGTAAATTACTGTTTTTTGGTGCAGTAAAATGTGTCCAGTTTGCTTTAGTTTGTAATCTGCGAAAACAGATACCGTTTAAGTCAGAATTATTAGCCCTCCTGTTACATTTGTATTGTTTTATATATATTATTTTGACCCAATTTTTTTTTTTACCAGAGATTTTTTAACCATATTTCTAAACATAACCAATTTCTTATATTGGATTTCTTTTATCTTTGTCATCATGACAGTACATAATATTTTACTAGATATTTTCAAGATGCTAGTATTCAGCTTTAAGTGCAATTTAAAGGCTTAACTGGGTTAATTATGTTTTCTAGGCAATTTAGGGAAATTAGGCAAGTTATTGAATAACAAAGATAAATAAGTTATTGTTTTTTTATATAGCCAATTTAAAAAATATTGCTTAAGGGTGCTAATTAACCTTGAAATTGTTTTTTAAACTGCTATTATTGAAACCGAGATAAAACAAATACGACTTTTTCTAGGAAAAAAAAATATTGTCAGAGATACTGTGAAAATTTCTTTTTCTCCATTAACTTTAACTTGAGAAATATTTACCTAATAATAATAGGCTAATAATGGTGCCCTTAACCATATACATTTTTACCATGAGTTATAGAAGACACTAAAATGTCACTCAGTGTAATGACTGTTTATGTACAGCACAAATATAATATTTAGAACAATAATTACTTCATGGCATGTTAAAATACAACATTAAATATGACAATTACCGTTTGACCCCTAAATAAAATTTATTTGTGATTTGTGCCACTGTTTTTCAAACAAAAATGTTTAATAAATACATTAATTATATATGTTGAATACAGTTGAAGTCAAAATTGTTACCCCCCTGTTTATTGTTTTTTCTCAATTTCTGTTTAACAGAGAGAAGATTTTTTTTTCAACACATTTTTAAACCTAATAACTTTAATAACTCATCTCCAATAATAGATTTTTTTTCAAGGCACTAGTATTCAGCTTGAAGTGACATTTAAAGGCTTAACTAGGTTAATTAGGTTAACTAGACAGGTTAGGGTAATTAGACAAGTTATTGATGGTTAGTTCTGTAGACTATTGAAAAAATGTATAACTTGAATAATTTTTACCTTAAAATGTTTTTAAGAAAAAAATAAAAACTGATTTCATTCTCGCCGAAATAAAACAAACAGACTTTATCCGGAAGAAAAACTATTATCAGACATACTGTGAAAAATTTCTTGCTCTGTTAAACATTATTTGGGAAATATTTAAAAAAAGAAAAAAATAATTCAAAGGGGGGGGGGGCTAATAATTCTGACTTCAACTGTATATTTATGTTTGATAAATTATAGGTTTAATATGTTTAATTTTTACATAAATATATCTGTTTTATTGGATGACAGTGCAACATTGTTTCACCAATATTTTGACATTTTATTTCTGCAGTTATTTGAGACCTTATAGACATTTCCATTTAACAATACTTTTTTATATATATGCTCACTTTTGTATTTAATGCAGGGATCTTATCTTTGACACATAATGCAAATCATGGTTTCTGAATTTTTTTTTTTTTCATTAAGGGATGCGTCAAATAAACCAGAGAACAAAGGCTGAACGGAAAGTCAGACGCGTGTAATGTGGAGCAGAGGCAAAAATCAGGATCCAAATTCACAAATGAACACAAACTTTATATATTGATTTTGAATTTAAATGTTAGTGATTATGATTTTGAATGTTATATCTGCAATCTTGTTTGGTAAACTGCCTGTGAGAAACAGAAAACCAATGTCTTAATTCATGTTTAATTAGTTTTGATAAATGTTATGAATATTTCTGAAATGCTGCTTGCCATATCAACTTGAAGAAAAGTATGAAACGTTTCTAAATGACGTATAACTTTGCTTTCTGTTTAACTTAAAGAAAATAATTTTTTGGCAGTGCTATTATTTTTATTATTACCTTGTGTCATATCAATATATTCATGGTGGTGAATATTTTTGCTATTATTTACAGAAAGTACAAATTAGCTTGAGACAATTTTTTTCTAGTCTGTTTTACTTTAATGTATAGGCAGATTTGTTACAAGCATCAGGGTTACACGCAAAAAAGTTGTGTAAATATCGACTTGAGCATGCAATATCATCTGCAATAGCATTCACTGCAGCATATTTTACATTACAGTCTGTAAACCTTACAATAAATTAGCATTACATGCAATGACTAAGACAATGTTGAAGGTGAACCTGTTTTTCACACAGGTTTTTTCTTATAAACTGAACTGTTTAATTAGGGCTAATAAAAGCTATGCAAGAGTTTGCGTTTATGGATGTGGTTTTGTGTTCTACTTAAATAAATTGATGATAAATGAGTCCTTATTTAACAAACAAACACATTATGTACTAATGCTTTTTTTTTTACGTTCTTGAATGTATTCTGATCACCTTGTCATCTTAATTGCATTATATTTACTATGTTTGAAAATAAAAAATGCAGACTCCTTTGTCTTGGCTTATTTTAAGTGGTTTACAGACCTTACACACAATTAAACAATATCCACACAAAAGTCCTGCTTGATTAGAAGTTTCACGCATTCATTTAATATCAACCTTGATTTTTAACCCTTTTTTTTTCTTAAATACATTTTGACAGTGGGTAAGCTATAAAAACTGCAATATTTAATCATTGTGAACAATAGGTTATCTATTTTGTTAGCAAGGCTTCAGTTGCTTTTTTAAGTAATATTTGTGAGTTTGGATTATAAAGCAAAGACTTTCCTGTTGTCTGCTTTTTAAGTGCTGCAGTACTATATTAGTTAAAATTATGTACATATAATTATGTTTGTTAGTTGTTATGGATAAAAGTTTATGTAGCCTATCGATATGCTAAAAATGTGTTTGCCACTTCACCAAAATTAGTAATGCGTCAACATTAACGTTCTTTTTTATCATTGACTAATCAAAGGCAGTAATAAAAACAACAGTTTTTTTTGTAGTCATTAGAATCGCTTGTAAAGAAATCCAAACATTTCTTTGATGTCATACTTTTCTGTTGTTTTGTTTTTTGACACGAACATTTTCCCCTGACATGTGTGCCTAAAAGGGGCCTACGTCACGCAACAGTAAAATGGGGGAAAACTAAACACGTATCACTGTCAACAACAGATGTTTAAATACCACCACAGCCCTGCCTTCATGAGCCAGAAAAGAAAGCGAAACTGATTAGCGCTAGCCTACAGAACATGAAAATATGTTTATTTGACAAGCGTTTTTAATCTGGTATCGACGTATTCTAGGAACTATGTTTGGTGAGTATACCAATCTTTCATTATACATTACAATTTTTATGACATGACCTCTCTGATCGAGAATAGCTGCATGGCAGAAATAATTAGTTTATGTCGCATTCATCATGTCGTACATTTATTAAAAGTAAAGTCATGTTTCCATAATACATTACTTTTATTTTAAATAAATATGTATCGTAAATAATGACTATAAGTGAAGGTGACACACTCACTGGGATTTTAAACCTCCCACATATTAGATAACCTACTCATCAAAAGCATAATATTTCTCAAAAGCACCTAATTGGTTTCACTAAAGCCAAAGCATGTAAGCTTTGTCAACATTAAAAAAAAAACAGGATTTCACTACAAAATAAACACATTTTGTAGTTGTGTAAACCACTAATTACCATGGTTTTTAGCTTTAGTTTAGCCATAGTGTTTGTTGTTAAATGGTGGTCAAATGGTCTTCCAGGAAAAAAAGTGGTTATATATGTTTACTATAATAAAACCATGGCTGATTTTTGTTTTTGGCGCTGAAGGGATTTTCCATTTATAATATTCCATTTATAAATATTCGCTGAATGGAATATTTTCCATTTAGCATGAAATGAAATCATGCTTTTCACTGTTACTTAATTTTATGATCAGATACGAAGTTTAACATTGTACAAAAATCTACTGGATCTGAGTTTCATAATGAACAGTCCACTTGTGTCTATTTGTTTTTTCAATCTCTATTATGAAGGTGTATTTAGAGAAGTTCTGAAATCTCTATGACCTTAAAGATCTCTGAATCACCAAATGATCCGCGCTATGCTTTAGGTAAGTTATTTTAATTTTTATTTTTGAAGCATTGTAAATAGATGGCATGTTGAGATAATTAACAATTATCACCACACTGCCTGCTGGTTGCTTGTATTAACAATTGCAAACTTTTTTTTTATTGTATAACAATTTTTTTTAAATGTTCTTTTCCAGTATGCAGCAAATGGGGCATTATTTTGTTAATTATGTGCTCAATACATTTTTTTATTTCATTTTTAAAATAAACATTTGTACAACAAAGTAAACATTTGTCAACTTTTAAGGCGTCAACTTAAAAAACTAGCATTTTTAAGTAACTAATCCTGTATTTTTGCAATGTAACCAAAACCTAGACATTGTATGTAACCAAAGTCAAATTTAGTTTTTTATTGACAATTACGAATTACATTTCTTTACAGAAGGATGCTTTTAGATCCTTAGTTCATAGTTCAAACTCCATAGTTTTTTTTGTATCTCAATCTCAATAGAATTTTTTTAATTAAAATTTTTACAATTTTATTTCAATCTCAAGAGTGTGCTGTGTTTTTGTCTATCTCATCTTTCCTTTACTTACAATCCAATTGTTTATTCAAGGTACGCTTTAATAGACAACATTGTTATCTAAGAACATGGCTACAAGTAAGTTTGTTGACATACTATGGATGTACAATTTTTGAATTTTTTTGTTTTGTTCGTTTTAAACAAAACCAATCCCAGATTATTTCCATAGTAATTGAATAACTATTTGTTGTTCATTAATTCATTCTTTCATTCAGTCATTCATCCCTTCATTTTAATCATCAGGTAATTACTATGAGTGGCAGCTGTTTAATGGAAATCAGTGGGTTTATATCAATAATGATTTTATCATTGAGACCCATTACTGTCAGCCAGGAGCCAGTGGCATCAGGATCAACCTCAATACGGGGTACGTTGGTCTTCATCAAGATTACAGATCATTTTACTTGTAACATTTTAGTTGAATATTATATTTATTGCATGTGGGTCAATGATGAAAATATGTTAATTGAATTCACTTGAACTATAATTACAATTAAAACCCAATTAAATTAGCTTAAATGTAAAAAAAAAAATTTTTTTAAATAATTTTTACATTTAACAAACATTTGTCAATGCTAAGTAGTCCCCGTAACAAAGGTAAAGAAACATTAACCCTGGAAAAACAACATTTTTACATTAGTTATTGCAGATTATCAACCACCAATATCAAACAGCTTGACAAGTCATTTTAATCACAAGTGAATTTTAATCACTAAAATCCACTGCATTTTTATTTATTTGTTTGCTTATTTACTTATTTATTTATTTGTTTATGCATGCTATTTCACAGAATATTATTAGAAGAATAGAATAGTCAAAGAAGACTATTTTAAAGTGGCCATGTCATTGGCCACTTTATTGACAACGCTTCCTGCTTGTTATCAAACTATTTCATAACTGTAACAAGAGGCAATTCATTCATAACCTAATGTTAAAACAGCTATCATATTATTATTTAATAACATGTAGCTCTTTTTGTATTCTCGGAAGCTATAGAAATGAAAAATGTAAATGGTCTATATTTAAGAGCTCTAAACTCACCTATAAACTGAAGACACCATCACATGGTCTCCAAAATGTATTTTTAAATACCACAGACTGTCAAATTACTATCAGATTTTATATGATTTTAAAATAACTTGTTGATCCTGTTACATTGAATTACTTCTAATAAACATATTTGTGCAAAGAGCCTTTTAAAAGACAAGAACCTAATGAATACGCACTAGCAGCTAATGAACAAAGATACGATAATACTTAAAAAATAAGCATTAGTAGTATGAGAATATTTTATATATGAATTTTTTACAAGCTAATTTAAACATCAAAGTCAATGTTTTACTCGCACATGTTTTCTTTGCATGTAAAATCACTTCTATTCATTTATTTTGATGCCAACAGCAAAATGAGATGTCTTGTCTTTGACCCATTTATAAAGTGTTTTATGCATAAATGTATCACAATCATATTCATTTAAATATATAATATTCAGTAAGGTTTGTGACTGGTGAGGCACTGACCCTTTCAAAGTCAAAAGTCAGATTTACAAACATATCCACCCAATATATTTGCCAACTACCGATTGTGTTTTATATATCATATCAGCTTTATTTCTATACATATGGCAGGTACATATTGGGCTAAAAACAAATGTAAAATGTATAGCAATTAAATATGCCTCCCAAAAAACACCCAGCTGGATGTTACAGACAGCCTATAACAAGCAACAAACATCATGGCACATTTATAGCAGAGATTAGTCGACATTTATTTATTTTATTATAAGAATACATCTCATGATGACAGGTTGAGGCATCATGACCGCACATCCCTAATAAATGATTAAAAACTAAATTAAAGGGATATAAAAATAAATAACCTACCCCTTTATACTCTTTTATTGACTACACAGGGCTGTTTACATTGACTTTGACGAGATGACAGCCGACGGACCTGATGATAATCTTGCTATACGGCGTAACACACTCCTGTCCCAAAACCAGAAGCAAGAGGTCGGCTGGTACTACAAAGATAACCATCGCTGGTGTGAGTATGGATCTCAGGTGAGTGCTTACACTGCCGGTCAAAAGACTGGCATCAAAAGAAACCTATTCTGCTCATCAGGGCCACATTAATTTGATCAAAATACAGTATAAACTGTAGAATTTTAAAAGAATATTAAAATACCAGTAAAATACCAATCATAGAGAATAATACAAAAAAGACAAACTGAAAAATAGTTTAAATTAAGCAATACAGTAACTTAAGATACAATTGAAGTCAGAATTAGTAGCCCCCCAGAGTTATTGGAATTATTAGCCCCCTTGTTTATTTTTTCCCCAATTTCTGTCTAACGGAGAGAAGATTTCTAAACATAATAGTTTTAATAACTAATTTCTAATAACTGATTTATATTTAATATTTTATAATATTTAATATTTTACTAGATATTCTAAACAGCTTAATGTGAGATGTAAACGCTTAACTAGGTTAATTAGGTTAACGAGGCAGGTTAGGGTAATTAGGCTAGTTATTGTATTATGATCATTTGTTTTGTAGACTATCGAAAGAAACAGCTTAATGGGGCTAATCATTTTGCCATTTTTTTATTTATTAATAACTGCTTTTATTCTAGCTGAAATAAAACAAATAAGACTTTCCCTGGAAGAAAAAATATTATCAGACATACTGTGAAAATTTCCTTGCTCTGTTAAGCATCATTTGGGAAATATTTAAAAAAGAAAACAAAATTCAAAGGGCGGCTAATAATTCTGAATTCAACTGTATATAAAAATATAATTTAATATAATAATACACAGAGTTAGTATGCATAATCATATTCCCAATTGATCTAGTGTAGTTTTCTTGAACAGGTTCAACTTATTTATTATAAATCACAATTTATGTATTGATATTATATTTAACAGCTCTTGGTAAATTATATTATATTTACCAGATGGCTTAACAGTCATCAAATGTTGGTCGTATTTTCTGTGATTTAAGGCTGAATTTTTCACATTGTTTAAGTGTCACACGATTCTTCAGAAATCATTATAATTTGCTGATCTGCATTCTGTTATGATCGTAAAATATTGGTTCTCAAGAATTGATGATAATTCTTACATTTATCAATGTCGAAAACATTAATTCCTAGCACAAGCTCATTGGGAAAATGTGCTCAGGGATACATTTTTGAGAACAGTGAAATATGTGCTTGTAGATCTGGTGGATTTACGAGAAATGGCACTTATGAGAAAATGTACCTCAGTAACATTTTAGAGATTGTCAAAAATGTACATAGTGGCCTCTAGTAGATTTTTTGTGGAGCTATTATATTTTATTTGTAGGATTCTTTGATGAAAAGAAAGTTAAAAATAACAGTATTTATTTTAATAAAATCTATAATTTTACATTACAAATGTCTTTACATTCACAATTTTACAGTTTTTACTGTATTAAAAAAAAAACTATTTGTTTTAAACATTTTTGCTGAGTAGAATGTTTCTTTTAAAGACATTTAAAAATTGTACTGACCCCAGACATTTGACCAGTAGTGTATACATTTGAAACTATGCAGTTGTCAACTAAACCAGCACACATAAATAATGTAAAATCTCTCTAATTACTTTATTTTTTGAATATCTGTCATTTCTGCAGGGATGGGGTGGAAGAACATCTTCGATTGGCAGTGATTTTATAGAGCAGCACTTTAACAGCAACCCAAGCGGCTCAGTTCAGTTTACTGCAGGAAACATGACTTACAGTGTGGACTTTAATGGTAATTGGACAAAATAAAAAATAAAAAATAAAAAAAATAAAAAAATTAAAAAAAATATATATAAGAGGCTAATTTGTACAAATTCATACAATTTCATTTATATAAATACAAATTCCTCTAAACCTACACTCATTGAGGGGATGAGCGAATTATACTAAAATTGTATGAATGAGATTGTAAATATTAATACTAATTAGCTTCTAAATCAAAAAGCTTTTGCCATGAGATTGCATTGATTTAATAAAAACATTTTTGTTGCATGTTTTAGCCATGACTCAAACCAATCTGTCCACACACTTGACGAGGAAAGTGAGACGACGGCCAAAATTCAACAAGATCGTAGCTATCAACAACAGTTTTCTAAACAGGTATCATTTCATTAGTTCTATCTGTGATTTAAATGTCTTCGGTTTGGTTTTGTTCAGAATGGGTCCTTATGAGTTACTGTTTGTTAATCCAATCACATTTTCGCCTAAAGGGCAATAATTCATAGTAGGCTGATTTTATATCATATCCTGCTTACAGTCTTTAAGAACTCAATGTACATATTGTTGTAAAAATATTTTGTAAAACTATTTGTACTTAAATTGACAGCAACATTTATGTCGGGAAGTCTTTATTGTTATAGTGTCTACATTATTAAGAAAGTCACTTTACAAATATGTCTAAATTGCTAAATGATGTAAAAGCAGATTTTAACATTAAAAAAGATTATCTGATACTGTAACAGCTAATTGGTTTATTGTTGGTTGTTGATAGGTAATGCATAACCTAATGCCAATTGAACATTATGATATGTTATCAAAATATTATATTAATGTTTTAAGTATTAAGGATCTTTGTCTAAATTCTCTCTCTAAACCCAGCCCATATGTTTATTTACAATCCCACATCAAAAAAAGTTGAGACAGTATGGAAAAAAAAAAATAAATGAAAATTATTTTGTAAATTTCCTTTGACTTAAATTTAATTGCAGACAATACAACAAACATTATTTAATGTGTTCCTCATGATTTCTATTGTTTTATTTTTATTTTTAATCTAAACACGTATTCCAATTTTGGTTCTTGCGACACATTTTAAAAAAAGTTAGAATGGTAAAGCATTTACCACTTTGTAATGTTGCTATTTCTTTACACAACACTTAAAAGATGTTTAGGGTCGGAAAACACCAAGTGATGAAGTGGATCATGTCTAATTTTGTCCCATTCTTCCTGCAAACAATTCTAAAAGTGGGCAACAGTACGTTGTCTTTGTTGTTGCATTTTGCACTTCCTTAATACGCCACGCAATGTCTATTGAAGAGAGTTCGGGACTGCAGGCGGGCCAGTCAAGTACCTGTATCCTCTTCCTCCGCAGCCAGGACTGCAATGTCTACAGAATGTGGTTTTGCATTGTTTTGTTGTAATATGCATGGGCGTCCCTGGAAAAGAAGCCAGTACATTGTGCACCAAAATCTCTATGTACTTTTCAGCATTGATAATGCTATCACAGAAGTTTAAGTTACTTTGGCAAGAGCACTAACACAACCCTATACCATGACAGACCCTGGCTTTTGGACTTGTTTCTGGTAACAGTCTGAATGAATCTATTTTTTTTTTCTTTGATCTGGAGCACACAGCGTCTGTTTCTCCCAAAATACCTTCAATACTGAATTATCTGACCACAGTACACATTTCCACTGTGTGATGTCCATCCCAGATGCCTCCAAGCCCAGAGAAGCCAACAGCACGTCTGAACACTGTTAACATAGGGCTTCCTTATGGCACAGTACAGTTTTCACTGTCGTGTGGATGTAACTACATATTCCTGTACTTTACAAAGATTTGCCAAAGTAGTCCTAAGACCATGTGGTGATATCATTTATAGATGAATGGCGATACTTGATGCAATGCTGCCTGGGGGATCAGAGATCATGGTTGTTCAGATTAAGATTGCACCCTTGTTCTTGACAAAGTGAAATTCATCCAGATTCTTTAAATCTTTTAAATGTTATGCACTTAAGAACTTTTTTTTTTAATTTCAATAATTTTCTCAAGTATTTGTGGGCAAACTGGCAATCCTCTGCCCATCTTTGCTCCTAAACAACTAGCCCTTTCTTGGATGCTACCAAATCATAATTACTATCACCTGTTGACATCCATGTTTAAAATCAGATTACTTAACCAATTTACCTGCTTACTAGCTCTAAATTGCTCTTGTCCCAACTTCTTTTAGAATAAGTTGCAGGTCTGAACGACAGGAAAGAATGTATATTTACAAATGAAATGAAGTTGACCAGACAAAACATGAAATATTTTGTGTTCATATTCTCTGCAATAAAATACGTCAAAGTTAACTTGGAAATCACTACGTTCTTTTTTATTTATTTAGTTAATGTTTTCTGATTTGTGGTTGTAGAAATGGTTCATAAAATTATTCTTACAATTAAAGTTAGGAATTCATGTAAAAATAGGTCTGCAAAATGTTTAAATCACAGTATTTGCATTCTAGACAATATTTAAATTAATGTATGTTTATTTTGTAAAAATAAATGATGTAAGAATGTATTTTAAATCACACTTTTTAAAAAGTTTAATTGTTCCTATTTAAGTTTATTAAGATGATTATCCACCTCGAATAGACATTTTTAAAAGTTAAAAAAGGGAAAGATTTGATTTAAAAAGAAATTCTGAACATCAGATGATTCCAAGAAAATGACCCCAAATTTTTTTTTTTTTTAATGAAACACCAACAATTAAATTTCAGGAATTATCCATAAACCCATTCTTACATACATTTAATGCGACAATTTATTTAAGATAGATTTGACTATTTATTACATTCTTGAATCACAATATATTACACTTATCCAGTCAACAGATTTCTGTAAAAAAGTTGGCATTTATTTACAACCTCTACAAAACAATGTTTTGATTAGTTATTTATAAATTCCTGTTCACTTTTTTATGAAGAATTTAAAAAATCTTAACAATTACAAAGAACTGTCTACAATTCTGTTTTGATTTTTTTTTCCATCACATGCAGTTCCCCAACTCTGGCATCTCCTTCAACAAACCCATCAAACTCCTCCTCTCACTTCATCTGGGAGTTTATGGGGGATGAGGGCATTTGGACTGAGTACCAGAAACCAGTGAGTTCACTAAATCACAACCAAATCCACTCATTACATCAATTTAAATGGCCAATAAGTCCCTTTGTGTCTAAAACCACTGATTTTGCAGCTGCTTGTTTTAATTTGCTGTAATATTTGTGACATTCATTTGAGACATGTGATGATAAAAACAAAATTTCACAAACCAGTGGTCCAACCACATTGTAAAACATCTGAAATGTTGTTTTGGTCATTCTAAAATGCCTTCACCAAAGTCTGTCATTAATGTGGTTTGGTATTAATACCTCCAGAACTCCAAAAGGTGGACTCACCTGAGATGTGAGCGTCTGGTACACGGAACACTTAGAGCCTATATAAAACCTATATCAAAAACTACTGTATCATATTAAATGTATGAAGGACTTGAAAATCTGAAATAAACTATTTCTTACATTAGCAAAAGTTTTTAAACTTTAGTTTGAGCTGCTTAGATTGTAGACTGTTTGGTTAGGGTTAGTGTAAGTTGACAGGTACTTGCAAAGTACAAAGCTAAATGTCATGATTTTGTGTTGTTTGATCACTATTTAAATACGAGAAGTGTTGTCAAAAACACAAAATCCTGTTGGGACTGGTTCACGTAAAAAGAACATGTTTATTCTATCAGTTCATTGTTTTTACATGTGTGTTTTTGTGTTCTCAGGCATGTTCGCTGGACAGTGCAGAAATCGAGAGGTTGTATCAGCTCAACCCTCAGTGCCAAGTTTCCTTCACTGCCAGAAGATTCTCTTACACACTTTACTTTGGCGGTAATATACATTAAAGTACATTGAGTGTGTTTACATGCATGTTCTTAGCATGATTATGCTTAATCTGACAATGATCATGTAAATACATTAACCCGTTTTCCTTTATCAGAGTAATAAATGGCTTATCAATCATCACAGCTTAATTTTGGATTTTTCAATTTTGTGATTAAGATAACTCAAACCATTTGAGGAAACCGATTGCAACAAACCATTTAAGTTCAAAAACTAGTCCTAATGAGTGCTGTGAACTTAATCCATTTGAGTAGATGAAGCAATTTGAGCACAGTAAAACCTGATAAATAAAAAGAACTCAAACCAACTGAGTACTGTTAAACCCAACGAGTTAAGGCAACTCAAAGCATTTGAGGAAACCGATTGCTACAAACTATTTAAGTTAAAAAATAATCTATATGAGTAATGTAAACTTACTCTATTTAAGTTACAGTAATGAGGCATTTAATTAACTCATTACCTTCAACACTGAGTTCAAAACTCTTCAAATGAGTAGTATTAACTTTCAATCAGTTTTGAGTTAACTACAATCATTTCATTTAATAAAGTTAACTGTTGGGTTTTACAGTTTACAAATGTTAATTCACTAAACAATAAAATGTGTTACTTGCATTGGCAGGTATTTGGTTTGCATGTAAATCAGGAAAATCTTTGAGAATTATTAGCATATTGGTGTGAATGTAACATGCTCAATGTGAGGAAAAACATAATATGTAGAAGTCTCTTGTGTTCTGCAAGCCTGACTAATAAACAGGGTTTTTATTATGAAATGTCGAACTAGAGAACGTCTGATAAGAAGAAAGGAGGGTTAAAGGTTGAAACTTTAAGGCCTTGACTGTGTTTGGAAAGGAATGCAAACACACAGGTACTGCATATGTCATAACTGTATTGTTGAAATGTATATCTACAGGAATGTATCAAGTAAACGATAGACTTGGTACAAGAAGAACAGTCAGAAGGATCGCCAGTGGAAGCCAGCAGACAAACAAGTATGAGTGAATTAATGAAAGATATACAAATTAATTATATATATATATATATCCCATTTGTATACAAAATATATACAAACTTCCATTTGTTATTTTACATCTTAAAATTCAGTCTAGGAAAAATATCTGAGTATGTTTTATATGTGTGTGTTTTTTACAGTGCATTGTCACAAGCTCGCTGGCAGTTTAAAGACATGGATGGCAAATGGAAGGATTATGTGAGAGTAAATGAGCATTTACTAAACTTTCTCCAAATGTATTGTTAAACAGTCATGTAATGTAACAGTGTAATGTAACAGTCATGTTATGCTCTAACATGATGTAGATTAAAAAAAAACAGTGCCAAAAAGGCAGCAGTTAAAATGAAAGGATGCTGTTACTTTGAATGAATTAGTAAGTTACAGCTGAACAAAGTACATGTTAGATTCAATTAAACGGTCATAAATAAATAAATAAATAAATAAACACAGACTTCAAAGTGTTTTTTTATGACCCTTTAATTGAATCTAACATGTATTGTTCAGCAGTAACTTGCTAATCCTTATAGTTAAGGTGATTAGGTGGTTAAGGTTTTAGTGTTTTGAGTTTTTGGGGTTTTATTTATTTATTTATGTTAATAAAAATGTATGTCTATTGTGTATATTTATGTATATATATTTCTCAGCATAACTGAGTACACCCCATTTTGAAAATTAATATTTTTTTTTCCATTTATCAGCGAATATAGATAATGTATTTTGGTGCATTTAAACAAAACTGATTTATTAAACAGATATATTTATTAAAATAATATTTTAGTCACCAAACATATTTAAATATTAAAAGATAATACAATTTAAATTTAAAATTTGCAACAAAAAAAATTATAAATTACAACCTACACAATTTCAACAAAATTGTTCCATTTTCTCTTGATTTTTCCCTCTTTTCTAAATTTGTATTTAATATTTTTCTATAAAATATAACTTTGGGTGAACTAGTTTTTGGACGGTTATAGTATGTTATTTTATTAAATAAACTCCAGATTTGGCTTCAGTACTGACTAATGTATATGTATAAATATAATTTTGTATAGCTTGTAATTAAAGAGATTTGTGAGGGCTGTACTTATATATGCTAAGCACTGTATCTATGAATACACACACATATTGTACAATAAATACCAAAAAACATTTTACAAATATATATGTAAATATTTTGTATATATTGTATATATTTTTTGTTATATTCTGTATATGTTATACAATAGTCATAAATATATTTAAATACACAAAAACAAACAGTACGTACACGTATGTTTTGTAAATATGAACATATATTTTGATTTGACACAATTCATTTTAATGAATCGTTTGACAGCACTAATTCATACATAATTTGGCTGATTATATACAGCATTTCATTTTACTTTATACAATAATTGTATATTTATTGGGTCATGGAGTGATAAAATGAGATTTCCAAAATCATTGACTGTAATATATATTTAAAAAATACAAATATTTGTAAACAAACAAAAAACTAATAAAAACTAAAATATTTTGAACCTGACTTCAATTAATTAGCAAATTAGCAACCTATTTGGGTTTCTTTAAGTTAAACACTGCTGGCTGATAGTACTCATTGACTTCCATCGTAATTGTTTTCCCCACTATGGAAGTCAAAGGGCAACCAGCGTTCTTCAAAATAACTTATTTTGTGTTCAACAGAAGAAAGAAACCACTTGACAGAGAGTAAATGAATTAATTTAATTATTGGGTAAACTATTCCTTTAATTCTGTTGAAAAAACAGCGTTTAACATGTCTGCTTTTCTCTAATCATGCACAACAGTGCTTAGAGTTTGTGCTTTCGTGGTTGTGTGCCATAATCATGTACTTTATGATTATATAGGGTGGATCTCGAGGAAAGTGCAGTGTGTCAAGTCAAGATATTGAAGCTCAGTATCAGCAAGACCCCACTGCCATCATGAGCTTCAGTGCAGGCAGATTCAACTATGAGCTCGACTTCTCAGGTGCGTGCATGAAGAAAAAAAAACATGAATTATTTATAAACATTATTTATGCATATATATCTTATACCAATTCGTAACTTTTTGATTTAGTGGCTAATTTGTATGAATTTTCGATCTCATTTGTACATTTTAGCATTATTTGATCATCCCCCAATAATGGGTTTAGGAGTGGAGTTTGGTGCCTCACCTTCTTTTTTAAAATCATACTTTTTCATACGACTGATTGGAGTTTGTACAAATTAATAGCCACTTAAGTAGCAAAAAAAAGAAGCTACGTTTCCTTGTAAAATCTGGCTGAAAATACAAGTTCTTTCGCATAAATGATGCTTAAATCAATTGTTTTTGCAGCCATGACTCAGACCAACCTGAGGACTAACACGAGGAGAGCCGTACAACGCCTTCAGCAATAGGACTGTTTACTTTTACTGTAGCAGTGTATGAATAATCTCAGGATGCCGGTTTATGCTATGTTTGCTGGCCATGACTAATATATGTTGATATGATGTTTTTTTTCATAGAAATTATGTAGTTTTTCAATGCTAACTTGTGTCACATGATTTATCAACTGCCATAAATTCATGATCATTGAATGTACTATTTGTTTTCAGTTTTCAGCTTTTCTTTTCGGTGCATTTACTGTGATTAGAAAACAAAATGATATAATGTGTGGTTTTTCTTTTTTCTTTGTTAACTGCCAATTAAAATTATGAGGAAAATTTTATTAAAATTTTATTTAGAGAAGTCTGTTTACATTATTTATGCTAATCCCTAATGTTCAAAGGGTTCTGACATGTTGTTGGTCAATAAATTTCCCTCGACTTTTCCATGACTTCAATTCTGATTAGAATTACTGATTTTCTTTCTCTATTAAACTGACATTACTCTTCTAATTTATATTCGCATTTGTCTTCGCAGTCATAATTACATTGTAAGCTTTGTTTCTATGTTTCTGTATATGTAACAATTTTTTATAAAATGTATTAAAACCATTTTCTTCATACTACAACTGGGTAAAATCTTTGGTAGAATAATGCAGATTTTTATAACATTTATTTTTAAAATCCCAAACGGTAATTTTTATATAAAAATTTTTATATTTTTATATTTATTTTTATAATATGAATATTAATACATACAAAATAAAAAATATAACATTTTATTCCTAGCCAAAGCTAATAAATCCAGTAAATGGGGTATATGAAGAGCTAGTGTTTTTCAGCCAATAATAAACTTCCGGTGAACGCTTAATGTGACCATTTTCAATTTCATAAGGTTCCTTTTATAGCATTGATGTTGTAATGTAATTCAGATAGATGTTGTAATGTAATCAATAGCATTTAGTTAAATAATACTTAAGCATTAATTTAGTTGTTCAAGCATAAAACAAGATGAAAGACAGTACCATCCAGCTAGCGCCGTCAGGATCAGCAGGCAAGCGCAGAAAGTCCATTGAAAATACTGGGGTGAAATAAACAATCATATTTTAAAGACATGCTGGGGGAGAAAATGGAATTTAATACAGTGCTTCTTGTCTGGTCTGAGACCTGCCTAGTATTGTATATGCAGGAATCCTAAGGTAATTTCAATACCTTTTAAAGACCTTCTCAAAATATTTTAAGACCTCGTCACCACTTCTAGTTCTAATTAGTATCAAACCTTTAACTTAACAGTTGTTAACAAACAGTTGTCGTTAAATAAATAGAGCACAAGCATGCAATAGAACTCGGAGCACGCCGTTGTAATGTTTAAATATATTTATGCTTTTTTATGGAGTCAAACACTTTGGACAACGCTTGAACAAAATTTAAGACCTCGTAAAAAACATGATTAGGACTTTTAATACCTTTTTAAGGGCCTTAATTTTATCATAATTGATTTATCAACTTTTGATACTTTTTAAGGCCCCGTTGGAAACCCTGGTATATCAGTCATGTAGTGAAGATTACTAATTTTTAAAGAAATCAGACCTTAAACGGAGCAATTTTATAATGGAAAGACTGGCTGGCTGAAATAAAAGTCTGCGTGCATATACCTCAATCCAGGGATGGACACACCTGCCTGTAATTATCACGTGGTGTTCAGGTCCAAATTAATTGGTTCAGGTGTGTTTGATATGGGTAGCACCTGAAATCTGCAGGAAGATGGCTCTCCAGGAACAGGGTTGGCCACCCCTGCCCCAATCTGAGAAAATTTCGAGAGGTCTTTGTTTATTCCATAGCTGTAAGAATGTATGGTTTAAAAAAAAAAATCACTTTACACTTTTTTTTTTCCTTTTATAAAAAAAAAATATATATTATTGATTTGTAATCTCAAACAGGATAATGAAAAATAAATAAAAAAGAAGTTGGAAGTGAAAAGGTATTACCCTTTAATAATCAATTTATTTGATTCCAAAAATCACCATTTTACCAACAATCCAGTTCACATTCTTTAAATTAAAACAATCCAGACGTTTTATCTACAATAATTAATCTGAAAACTGCATGTACAGAAACACTCGTACAGAAAAGTGATTGATTTATACAATCTCCAACACAGACCTGTTATTGCACAACTCTCAACATAAGGCCTCTCATTCCCTTTGAGTAAAACCTGTCTGGATATTAAAAATTCTCCTCAGGAAAGTGATTCACTCGCAAGTATTGATAAAAACAAAATGACGAAAAAAATAAAGTGGCAGTTCCTCTCTATATACTGTACACTTCATCTTTTTTTCCAGAAATAATACACATTTTGGTGATATGCTGTGTTGCAGCATTTTGTTTGGTCATGATACAAAACAACATGATATGGAATTGAATTGGTCACGATTCACAACTGGAAACTGCCCCACCCCACTACCCCCCGAAAAAAGAAAAGTGGACAATGTATCGACATGATATGACCAGTAACTAACTTTCTTAAGAAACGCAACAATAATACAGATTTCTTAACAAAGACAGAGCAGGAAGTAACAGCAGAGAACTGAAAGGGAAACAAACACATCAAGCTTCATTGAAGAAACACGCTCTTCTATCTTAAATCTTAGTGGTAAACAAGCTGCTGCAATCAATTTGTGCAACCGTTTACCATTTTCCAGCGATTCAGCAGGGGGGAAAAAATCATGTTTCAAGCCAAAATCTAAATATGCAGAACATTTAATTTGCATAAGATGCCTATTTGTGACCTTTTTTTTTTTTTTTTAAATCCAGTTCCTGGAGGGCCACAGCTCTGCTTTAGTTCCAACCCTGCTTCAACACACTTAGCTGTAGGTTTCAAACAAGCCTGAAGGACTCAATTAGTTTGACCAGGTGTGTTAAATAAGGGTTGAAATTAAACTGTGCAGAGCTGTGGCTCTCCAGGAACTAGATTTGACACGCGTGCCGTAATGTGAAAATTTCACTGCTGAAACATCCAATATGGAAAAAAACAAACTTAATCATTATCTTAATTTTCCTTGGAGCAAAAAGAAAATAAATATTGCTATATCATTACTAAAATGCAATAAAAAATTCCAGCAATGTGACAAAAAAAATGTAATAATTTATCTTATTCTCAATCACGGTCCTGGAAGTCAGGTGTCCTGATGATTTAGCTCCAATCCCAATCAGACACTAGGCTAGCTAATCAAGCTCTTACTAGGCTTTCTAGAAACATCCTTGCAGGTTTGTTGAGGCAAGTTAGAGCTAAAATCTGCAGAACACTGGATCTCTAGGACTAAATTTGAGAACTCCCGATTTATCTCATTACAAAAAATGCTAAAGAAGGATATCTGGAATGTGAAAAAGAAATATATTAGTTAGCATTATCAAAAAATAGATTTCTCATTACCGCAATTCTTATTAATTCCACAGTTACTACTGTAACATGAAAAAATATGATATTAAATATCACTGAAACCTGATGCACATAAAATATATTGTCATGAGTTGTATCCAATGTACTGATTTAATTTTATTTTTAACTGCAATGAACATTTTACTTGCAGTTTTCACAAATAAGCAAACCTGACATGGTGTTTTGATTTTGGATTGAAACATGACCATTTTCATGCGATTCGCCTAAGAAGTTTCAAACAGACATTCATTTTGCAAGTGTTCCATAAAGGAGGCTTTCGAATTCTGTCTTACAGAAGCCATAACAAAGACAAACAAACTCACTTTAAAGTACTGACGATATCCCAAGACATCTCAAACCCAATAGTTTTTTTTTAGCTCTATAACATTTAGTGCACCTACAGTATACCAGTGTCCTTATTTAAGAAGTTTCACCTCAATGGATCATGTATCAGTATAAAACTCAAGCAACAAATCACCATATACAGAGTATATACACAAAGAACACATTATAAAATGACTCATTCAGGCCCGACTATGTGCACCTCATCTTCATTTGCTTATCGCTTATAATTCTAATCAAACACAGCTGATCCAAATAATTACCTTGAACACCTTGATTAGTTGCATCAGCTGTGTTTGATTAGGGTTGGAGCAAAACTGCAGAGCTGCAGCCCTCCAGAAATCAGGTTTAATATCTATGACTTAAAGGAACATTCCACTTTTTTGGAAATAGGCTTATTTTACCACTCGAAGTTGAGTTTTACCAGTTTTGATTCTATTCCATCAATCTCTGGCTGAAGCACTTTTTAACTTAGCATAGGAATCTGATTATACTGTAAAGCTCACTCAAAAATGTCCTAAGAGTTTCAGTAATTCTTTTGTACTTGTTCATGTACTAAAACTGATGGAAAATGAAAAGTTGCTATTTTTGAAATTGCTATTTTCTAGGCTGATATGGCTATGAACTATACTCTCATTCAACCACTTTCCATCATTCTTAGTAAACAATATAGCTACAGAAGAGTCTTTAAATAAGAAAATTTTCAAACTACATGGGTGTTTTTGAGTGAGATGCTAATGGTCTAATCTGATTTAATTGTCTATGCTAAGCTAAGCTAAAAGTGCTCCCGCCAGACTTGGAGTTTGTCTAAATGCATCAAAATAATGGTTAAACTAAAGAGTAAAGTGTTTTCTTTAACATATAAAAGTGAACACTTTTGTGAGACTCTATCAGCAAATCCATAGCCAAATCCAGCCATCAATGACATTTGTCCTGTTACAAAAAGGTGGCTCATTCAGCAAGATTTAAATGTGAGGTGAAAGTGAAGCCAGATACTGAGCTTCAATAGATGCCTCAACTTTTTCACCCCTTTTCCGAGTGAATCTTTTTGCATTAAATGATACAGAAAATAAACAACAACAACCGACAGAAGCTGCTTTCTGGAGAAGAGCCCAATCTTTCAATAGAAATGTGTTTGTTTTGTGTCGGCTGATTTTGATTCACACATAAGTCGACTGTTTGAAGAAGGCAAACCATTGTTATGAGCAAAAAAAAAAGACTGAAAACCCTATTTAAACACTGTTCTTCAAGGATCCCATAGTTTACCACCAACATTTCGACTGTTATCTTGGCCGATGATTTTCTTTCCTTTTTAAAATCGCACACAAATGTTAACCAAAAGGCATACGTTTTATCCGAAAAGGTCTTTAAGGTCATTGTTGACCGATGCGCTTTGCTTCATCATCCCAGTGTTCATTGTGGAAGAGGCCGCAGGTTGCGAGAAGTTCTGAGGGTTAAAGAACGGATTTGCTTGCATGCCAAAACCACCCTGAACTCCTGACATCCCCATCGGATTTGACTGTATGGGTGCAGATTGGGGAGGTTGGCCTGATCCAAACTGATTGATCCATGGAGAAGGTGCATTGGTTCCTGGGGTCGGTTTAGGGGCCATTTGGTTCAGGCTGACTTTGGGTTTGTTAGAAGCGAAAAGAGAGTCTAGTGCTGACATGTCTGGGGGTTTGCCGGGCTGGTTTTGGTTATGATTTTGGGTGAGGGCACTGAAATTTGGAGTACTGGTTGTGGTGGCCATGCCGCCGTAGAGGGCAGGAGTGGGAGCTCTCATTCCCATCCCCATTCCTCCCGTCTGGAAACCAATGGGGGAATTGAAGCCATTGCTGACGCTCATGGTACTCATTCCACCCATGGTCGGTGCTGCCGGGAAGGTGGATGAGATAGTGTTGCCCTGCATGGGCATCGTTCTGGTGCCAGAGTTTAAGGACATGTTGTTGAGGGACGTCATGTTGTTCAGAAGACTGCTGGTTAGATCCTTTGCCTGAACAATGGACATATTATTCAGTTATAGATTGTGTTTTATTGCTTTGGCTTTACACTACATAAATTAATGTATGCAAGTAAATTAATTTAAATTTGATGAGGAAATCGTTTTTTCTTCTGATTGTACTTTTAGAAGACTTGCTTCATTTTCATCATAACAAACAATTTCATACATAAAACCATGAAGCAAGCAACCAATCAAATAGCCCCATGCATTATCCTAAACTTTGATTCAAAGAAAAACATGAAAATATTTTTTTAACTGTTTTTGCAATAGAGACATTAAATATGTACTCAGATGTTTTGAAAAATAGCATATTTATATGAACAGATTTAAGATTAAGTCAATACACCTGAATAAATTTACTGCAGAGTAGCTCATGAGTGATAATAATAAATGAAGCAGAAAAATATGACTCGCCATTTCCCACAGAGATGATAATATCAGTGGATTCTCTAACACACACACACACACACACACACACACACACACACACACACACACACACACACACACACACACACACACACACACACACACACACACACACACACACACACACACACACACACACACACACACACACACACACACACACACACACAAACACACACCCTTTGTGATACACGTAATGGCATTTTCAGATCACAAGTACACAAGACCCATTTTTGAAATAGCATAATGGAAGAGTATTTATGCTATGACTTCAAATATACTATGCTTGGACTTCAAATACAACATATTTAAAACAAAAATAACTAATAATATGCCACTTGTGAACTTTTAAGTTCTGAAAAGTACATTCAGATCTCATACATTTTCTCTGAATATTTGCAGTTTTGATGTATACTTATTTAGCATAAGCTTACAGCTAATTTTCAGTGAATAGCATCAGGTTACAATGAGTTATTTTTGCCCTATTCATTAAAAGGGAAGGTTAGTTGAGGTTAATAAAAACCCCAACAAAATATACTAGTACCTTTTAACAATATTTGGACTCACACTTCAGAAAAAAGTTCAGATCTGTAAGGATTAAACTTGCAAAAAAAAACTCTCTCCCCATGCAAGTTGCTAGTTCACAATTCTAACTATTTCTCATATTTTTTAAATCTTGCATTTCAGACTTAATTTCAATAGCAAAGCAAAAAAAAAAAAAAAAAGATTGATAAACGGATGTCAATTTGTGATTCTGTAGTGAAAACAAGCTTACATTAAAATGTATATTATTAGTTACATTTAAATTGATGGTAGCAAACTACATCTTGACGGTTTCAATTGATTTAAATATGCTTAAACCATTTAATTATTCGCAAAACTGCTTATTTTGCTAATTAAAATGTAATTATTCTGAACTTAAATGTAATAAAACTCTACCACCTCATTTTCACGATAGTTTTCAAGTTCTCTGCTAGTGTAAATTTCAGATACTGATTAAGCCATGAATCTGGCCACTCTCTCGTTAGTGTTTATTACCTGAGGTGTTGTCGTGGCTGATTTGATGCTCTGTGGAGCTAAAGGCTGCTGACTTCTTAGTTTAGCAGCCTGTTCCTGTTCTTTAGCCAATCGCTGCTTTTCTTCCAATGTGAGAGACACCTAAACACACCACAAACAACAGCTCTGATGTCAACAACCCTCTGACCTCCATCAGCAAAACCGAGCAATCCCAAAATGTATTCAATGGCTAAGATGCACTCACCCGAGAAGGCTGCGAGACAGTGGATGAACCGTTTTCTTTACCATTCACGCCGGCATTTGCTGAACTGCCACCAAAGATGTCATCGATCTATCAGAAGCCAAAGAGAATTGATTAAACAAAGTTCATTTTACAAGACGGCTGTGGATTCAGTTTTTGCGCTTACTTACATCTCTGACTTGCGTGGCTGGGCTTGGTGTGCTCTTTGTGTCCTCTGATTGGTTTATGGGGTTTGTAATATTTAAACTCCTGCACAAATGAAAGCAATCATATTCAATAAAATTGTATCTGTATAATTGAAACAATATTTTCATATTTTAAGACGATCATGCTTCTAAAAGGAAATGTAAAATGCATTTGTAGAGGTTACTGTTTAACACCCAATTTATACTGTGAAAAATGCATAGGACTAAATTATTATTTGGAAAATATTTAGTTTTTACTAAGTCTACCTATTTTTTTTTTTCACATTTCAAATACATTAACTTGTCTGAGAAGGCCCACTGTTCTTGCTTTGAAATATTTTTTGTTAAATGGACAAAACCCTGAAAGCACCATATAGCAAATAGAGAGAATTTGGTTGGAAGAGTTTAATAAGATTTTTTTATCACACCCTCTCAGAAGTCAGAAGTCATGCTGGAAATTTGTCTATATGCTGGAGAAAATGCGGAAATCAAAAAGCGAATCACTATCAGTGATCAATAACCGAGGGACTGCTCGGTTATTAATAATATTAGAAGGAAATACACAATGCCTTACAAAATATCCTTGAATCTGGGATATTCTTTGATTGTAAAATTAAATTTTTTGGACATATACCTGAGGAAACGTTAAAAGGGATAAATATCTAATAAACATTTTGTTAATAGCTGTCAAAAAGAGCATTACCAAAATATGATCGTCACATGAAAATCCTACCCTAAATACATGGATGGAAATAACAATGGAAGTTTATAAAATGAAGCAAATTACTGCAATGTAAATCAGAAAACAGAACAACTGATTTCATTATGGGAAAAATGGACCAACTATGCAAGATCCCATAGGACCTGAACTTCTGTTAATCTAAAATCGGAAGTATCACTCCCTACGTGTACATAGTTTTGTTGCTGAGGTGTATTCACATCTTATTCTACTGGTTTATTTATTTATTTTTATTAAAATGTATTTTATTTATTTAACATTATTTATTTACTTTTATTTTTTATTATGTATAACATTAGTGTGCATGCGTAAAAAAAAGAAAGCATATATTGCTGAAAGAGAATGTGCATGTACAGAATTTGAGCTTTTATTTGTGAGTGTATTCAGATGTGTTATCTCTGACATGTACCAGATGTAAGCTTTGAAAAAGCACCATATGGGTTAATTTCCTCATCAAATTGCAAAGGAAGCGACTTGTTGAAAAAAATCTGTTTACGCTGCGTTTTTAAAATAAAGCACGCCCTTTCTTAGCACATTTTGTTGTTCAAGATCAATGAACTCCATCTCTGAATGTGCCAATTGTGAACTAATAGCAATTGACTTGCATATTAGGCACAATGATGTTAGTTTTGGCTCAATTTCATCAAATGTTCATTTCATAAAAAGGTTCCAAAGTCAAGGCATAACTTGGAAATATGGAAGGCCATCAGTCTCGTTTTTAAGACTTATAAGTGTGGTCAACTGTGGTAGCATCTTTAAACTAGGTGGAATTATTTAAAGGGTCAATTATTTTCATGTTTAAGGCATTGGAACCAAACTGTTTTTGTATAATCTACTTCACATCTTTTATGCTCTCTTTTACATTATATGTCTATTGCTGTTTTGGTTATTATGCCCATACTGCTTGTTTGTATTTTCTCTGTAAAGCCTTTCATGTGGCCTTGTGGCAGCTGGAAATGTGCTATATAAATAAACTGAACTTAAACTTATTAACTTTTTTGAAGAGAGAAAAAAAAAAACAAAGCTCTGTTTTGTTGAATGTCTGGGATTTAATATCGCTCTCTCACCCAGGATATGCCTTTTAGGTGACAAAACTGAGGTTCCACATATTACAAATGATGACGTATAATACTGAGGTCTTGAAAAGATATTCATTGCCCAACACTTAAACTATGGATGAAATTCATGATTGAGAATGAATTAAATGAGAAAATGTTGGCTAAAATGAATGGCGATTACAAGGAAATAGATATATGGGAGATTTTCATTTTCACACTTAAAACATGAATGTATCAATCCTGCTATGCTCTGTACTATTGTTTTTAGAATTTTTATACTTTTGTTACTGGTTGTCAAATGATTTATTTTTTTTATAAATTAATGAACAAATTTATAAATTGTGAAGAACTTGTATACATTTTATATATTTGTATGGTACTGTATATCAAGTAAAAACTAATAAAATTTCATTTTAAAAAAAGCATCACACCAATTCAAATTTATTTATTGACTAGTATATTTTTCAATTAAGATTCATTAATTTCTCAAAATATTACTAGTTATACAATTATACAAATATTTTAAGATGAGTAAAGAAAAAACTGTATTAGTAATAATACAACTAACATGTTTTATTTACTTGTTTAAAAAATATATATATTGTTTTTTTATCCATAGAATATTTGTTCTTATTTTTATTTTCTACAAGACCATTTCCCCCAAAACTTTCCACAGATCTTCATAGCATAAATTTCAGACCCCCTAGTTGGACTCTAGTTTGATAATCCCTGAACTAGGCTTTGCGATGCAAATCTGATACCTTTTGATCAGACTAAAACAATGAAATGAATTAAAAAATTACAATAAAGTAAATAAATCACCTCTGCTGCTCCTGCATGATGTGTAGCTGCTCCAGTTTGACCTTGTGTTCGGCCTCCATGCGAGTCAACATGTCCTTGATCACAGCCATGAAAGAGTTAAACTGAGAAAAAACACAGACACAAAAGGTCACAAACACGACCAAAACAGTGTGTGAGCTGAAACGACATTGAATTGTATGAATGAACAAGCTTGTGCTGTCACCTGGTTAAGGTTAAGGTTGTTATCAATACTAAGCGACACAAGATGAGGTAAACTTTTTCCAGCAAGGTGCTCCTTTGGGATGCCCAGTTTCTTATGGGTAAAAGTGCACTTGTAGATGCCTAAAGAAACAAACAAACATAAATAAATAAAGTTTAAAGAAAATTTGTGTTTATTGCCATATAAGATTCTTTAGCTATGTCATGGCAAAATGTTTCCATAATAAAAAAAAACGTTCATAATAAAAAAAAAAAGACATCAACAGGTAAGATAAAAATAAAAAATAAAAATTTAAATTTAGTTTTTATAACATTTTTTTACCATTTTTTGAAGAAATAATATTTAAATATATTTCATTTAATGTATCTTCAGATAAAAATAGTTGTCTAACATTAAAAATAATATTAAAAATAGGGAATTCCAAAAGTTTGTGTTACAAAAAATTGTGTTATTTAATATAATTGCTTTGGAAATTATGTCAATTGGCAGGTGAAGACAATGAATATCTCTATACCTATTTGTAAAAATGTGAAACATACTTATTCTGACATGTATTAAATATATTAAACACATGATAGTATTAAACCACATTTAAACAAACAAAACCTTGATAAAATTGGCTTGAAGGACAGAGGCAAAGCTTTAATGTTTTAAAAGTCAGAAAAAATTTCAGTAGCAATTTGAATCTGGGCTACGGTCCTTAAACTTCTTTTTTTATAGGTCCTGTAAAATTAAAATGAAGTTTTTTAGATGTCAGAATTAGTATGTTAGTTTTAAGGATATCTATATAAGCTAGTGTGCTGAAAAACAGTGACAACATTTCCATTTAGAAGACAAACTTCCGAAGCTTGCAGTTTGCCACGTCCACCTATATGCATGATTGCTTTCTTATTCAAATCTTAATTTTCATTTCAACTTTTAATTTTCATTTGATGCACTTGTGCTCAAATACTCTTACTGGCAGAAATGTGAAATGCAAAATCCTATTGGCCATTTTTATAAAGAAGTAGGGCTATTAAATGCCCACCCTGTCTGCATGTTTTAGTTGAGATTACGTCAAATGTTTTATAAAAATTTGACATTTTAAAGCACTTCACAGGACTTTTAATAAGTCATCGAATTTACCTAAATTTTTCTTTACTCAAGATATTCAGTGTATAAAAGTCATAAAATAACACAGTTTGAGCAAATCTCATATTAACATGAGAAGTGAACCTAAAAAGCATCATACACGCATCTATGAAAAAAAAGAAGTCAGATTTATAGTTTTGTGTTGGAGTCAAACAAAGTAAAAAAAAAAATTATTTGTCATTTGTAAGAAATCTTAATTGTTATTAACTTTATCCATAGCTATTCTTTGTAGTCCTATACATAAAAAAAAATAACCAGCGCAATGAAGAGAAGAACTCAATTACCCAGAATGCCCATGAGCACAGCTGGTTCTCTGGATGGAATCTGCTGCAGGAATGGTAGAATTTCATCAATGACAAACCATTTATCCAGATACTCCAGTATCTTCCCAAGGCAAACCAAAGAGTTCACCCTCACCTAAAACAGCACAAAAAACTGAAATCAAACCTTAACAGCAACAAACCTCAAAACTACTGTACCAGTACATTGAATATTTTCTTATGTTATTAAACACATAAGAGGACACAAACCGCCAGTGAGGATGTCTGTAAACAGGTAGATTTGATACGAGGAATAAGAGAGTTCTTCATAGATGGGTACTCAATCAAATTGGCAAATGTGGGAATGATGTTAAGACAAAGTTCCTGTTTAACAACAAAAATAAATAAATTACACTTATAAATTACAATAACTGAAATCACACAATGATTAAAAACACAAATTATAAAATTTTTAAAAACATTCAGCTATAATTTTATGTTTTAATGTATTTACCTGTATTTGAACAGAAGGGGCCTCCACTGCTCTGTAAACCATAGGCAGAACACTGTTCTTGATGTCTTCAGGAGGCGTTTTGGTCAAAAGCAAGTCCATCTTTTGCAAAAATATCAGCAGAATCTGGATACATAAGAGAGAAGAGAAATAAATATAAAATAAGTATAAATTCTCCATAGGATTAGGAGCCACCCCATTAAATGTTTTGACTTGAAAAAGAAAAGAAAAAAAGAAAAGAATACAATGCTTAATAGCACAAAAAAGAAAAAAGATTTAAACAAGAACAATGCTAAAATGATTAAAAAAAAATTCTACAACACACAAATGTGCTAATAAAAACTAATAAAAACTACATTAATATCAGTTAAAAGCAGCCAAAAAGATGATTTTGCTTAATTAAAGAACTAAAAGCTCCCTGTTATTAAAGATGACTGAATGAGGTGTTTTATGTAATTCAAATTGAACAGCTATGCCTTGAAACTTCACAGAGGGACCTATCCTGAGAATCCTGGGAAGCTAGCATATTAAGTTAGTAAATCCTCACTTTTATTTTTAAATATGAGTACTGTCATTTCCTGTTTATGTGCTTAATATATATGCTGTATGTATTTGTTTAATATGTTGGTTATCTTTTTCATTTGGGGGGTTGTCAATTATGTTATTCTGCATTAGTTCATATTTTTTTCTTTATTGTTATTATTATTAGTAATAGCAGTAGTATATTTTGCATCAATATTTAAAAATCTAGTTAAATATAAATATTTTTGTAAATGTTAATGAAAAAATACACAAAACCACCAAAAAAGTAACATAAACAAAAAATATACATGCATTATCATGTAAACAACCACGAAGACTGATTGATGTTAACACTTCACTCACCATGTTGCTGGCCTGATGGCATGAAAAAAAATAAGCAATAATAAAAACTTTAACCTTAAAGTAATACAGCCACATAGTGGCATTGCAATGCAACATCACACCATTTAAGACAAGGCTAGAATGGTAAAGCATCACTGGAGCTTGGAGAAAGATTGTAGATCGCCAGTAGTAAAAAAAAAAATAACAGTAGTCAATAGCTCAATAGTCAATAGTTCCATCCACCTATTTTTATGCACACTTTGGATATGCACGTAAAAAACTATTTATAAAAAAGTCAAGATGGGCATAAAATTATAAAATGTGCATAAAAATTTTTACGATAAAAACACTTTTACCAAACAAATTCCATTATGCGCATTTAAAAAGTCGTGCGATTTTGTTATAAGAGATCACGTGATGATAAAAATGTGTATGAATGGATAAACCAGCAGGCTGACTGCATTGTAAAACATCTAAACAGTTTTTTTGGTCATTCTAAAACGCCTTTACCATTTCATTGTTAGTGTTATTATATTATTAATGACCTTCAGAACGGTCAAGAGCGTCTGTACTCTGCATCTCATGCCTTTAAACACCACCATGCATTTATTGCGCATCGACATACTGTGTCTTTTAAGGCGCAAGTGATTTATTAAATAAAGAAAAGATTAATGCAGCTTCTCCTACCGCAGCAATTTCCGTTTTTACTTTTGATATTTGGCACTAGTTAATCAGGAAGTGACAATTTTGTTTTCTTTGACTACTTGGATGGAAACTCTGCTTTGTTCGCATGTCTTTACGCAGTCTTCCAATTTTGCACATAATTTTAATTTACATCTTTGCATGAAAACATTGCTATAATTTTCCAGCATTCTTCAAGATTCCTGCTGTTGTATTCAACAAAATGAAGAAACTAAAACAGGTTTAATACAAGTAGACAAACTGTCATTTTCGGTTAACACTTTTAAAAAGGTTGCTAAAACCTGAAAGTAAATTTGCACTGAGTAGTATTCATGTATATACCTGTACTGGCTCCTGCATTTTGAAAACTGGGGTGAGGTCGGGGAGAACGAGGCGCACATACTCCTCTTTTGTACACTCCTCAGCAATGAGCAGCACGTTTGGAAGAATGAAGGGCACCATGTCAGGATTTACAAACTCAGACATAAGGGCTGGAAGGATTCTATACACAACAACTCTCTGATGACAGAAACACAGAACAAAACAATGTATACAAAAGGCTATAAAACACATGCATGTATAAACATCACAGATCAATGAGTCAGTATTTACTGGAAATACACCACAAGCATTTAGTATTTTTTCACAGATAAACTGAAATACTAGATATTTAAAGTTTAAACAATTTATTTGTTATTTTCTATGATAAATGGTGAAAAAAGTGAAAACATGGTGTGGGTTTGAGAAAAATTTTCGTATGTTATAAAAAATACACTTATAAATGTTTTCAATTGTTGTAATTGACACACAGGATTATTACACACAATAATAACTTAACACATTGAAGTGACATTAATATTGTGTTGGAATAAATCTGTATTTTGTCATTTCTATAGATGCATACAAACCTAAACCAATTATTTTGAAAATTGATGTAGAATATTATATGAAATACCACATAATCTGGCAAATTTTGGTTGAACAAATTCATGATTAATTCATCTGAATCGTTAGTGATGCTTGATGAATAACATTTGTGCACATTTTTGCTCTTGCCTTGGGCAGCTTAGGCAGCACTTTCGGGAGTCCTTTAAAGAACTGAGACTTCTGTAGGTTGTCCCGCTGGAAAAGCGAGTCGAAGTACTGAAGAGTCATCGCTCCAACATCATCGAAGAAGGGAATCTGAGCACAAACAATTTCACTTTTAGCCATGGCCTTGGTGATCCAGGCTGAATACTTTTCCCTGAACTTCAATAAAACAGCCCCAATAAAACAAAACACATTTTTTAATTAAATTAGATTTAATTTTTAAGTTTATTGCCATATCAGCTTATCTGGCTCTACCATGGCAAAAAACAAATCAAGTTTACAACCTTTCATAAATAACACTTTTCAATTATTATAATTATTATTATATCTTACAAATAAAAAGTCATCAACATCAATAAATAATACATACGATAAAAGGTTTAACTAATAATTTAAGATTAACCTTTTTAAGGCTTACTTTTGATAAAACAACTGCACACTTCTAGATAAATTAACATTTAAAAATATTTCCAAATGTCATTAGATGCTCACTGTATTTAATGAACTATTGTAACTATTGCAAAGTCATTAAAAGGCACTGAAAAATACCCTAACCAAAACAACCGGCAAAACACAAGAAACAACATGCTAAAAAACACAGTATGGAAAAGTTCCATTTTGAAAAAGAAAAGTACAATATAAAATGAAAAAAAAAGCTTGGCCAAACAAAAAAATCCCTGGAAAAACAGCAGTAAGGAGGGAAAGATCTGACCTTTGTCATCTGGTCTGCGTCTGGACGCACGTTGGAGGTGACGCTGAGCAGCATCTTCACATGTTGTCTGACCTCCTCGGGGATCTGACTCAACACTCCTGGACTCAGATGACTCAGCTGAAAATCAGGATGAGGATCATGATGAGATTAGCATTTTATGCTGCTCTGAATTAGCAGTTTTTACACCAGCATGTCAAATATTAGTGGCTTTGTTTCTATGAAATGAAACAAAATTGAACCAGGTTCAGATATCACAAAAGCCTGTATTAGGCATAAACTTGATTTTTTTTACCTTTAGAAAACAGTATACTCGTTTTAGGTTAAATCATTTAGGGTATGATAAAAGATAAAGAAAGTGCTGAATGCTGTGCCTATTTACTGCACAAAAAACAAAAATAAATCTTGCTGCCTAATTATTTTTAGCTCAATCAAATGAACTTTTCTAGTCACCTTAATTTACATCAGTCAAACTGACAACTGATATTAAGTACACTTTTAATACATTGTAATGTCATTATTATAATACACTGTTGATTGTCCTGAGTGTAATAAATCTAATAGGTAAACCATGGGTAAAGTAAATTGGTAAACCATGACAAATCTTTTGAGGTTTGATGAATAAAATGTTAAAAATAATTGTTGCTCAAAATATTCAAAAGTAATAATTAATGTATTAAATCAAATAGTTTGTAAAAAAAAAGCAATGTACATTAATTATCACTTTAGATCAATGTATGTTTCCTTGCAGGATAAAAGAAGTGCAAGTCTTCAATCTAAGTTCCAAAAAATATTGAGCTGCAAAAACAATTTGTTTTTGAACAATAAAAATACGAAATCTTTGAGCACCAAACCACTTGAATGATTTCTGAAAGATCATGTCAAACGTATTTACAATTAATGTTAAAGGTTTTGACTAGGGATGCACAATATATTGGCGGCCATATCGTTATCGGCCGATAAATGCTATTTTTAAGATTATCGTTATCGATCTGATGTCTAAATTAGGCCGATATCTTTAAGCCGATAAATTACGTAATTGTACAGACCTGTATGCCGCGCTCGCGTGGGCGGAACTTGTTCAGACTTGCCCAGTGCACTATAATGGAGCTCTCCTCACACTGATTATTCCTATTATTTCACAGTGGTTTATCATAAACTTATCATCGATCATTTTTCCCGCAATTGACAGCAAGAACGAGCACAGAAGCGTTATCTGATTGGCAAGCAGCAGCTACATGTTCAAAAGAATCAAAAACGCCAAATAGGATGAATCTGTGCCGCATTTTCTAAATGTACTATATATATTTAGCTGTTCACTTGTACGGGGGCTTATTTGTACATGTGTACATCACTGTAACACGTTTTATTCAAGAACATTTGAGCTGGTTTCAGTCCTTAGTGCTTTCATTTTCATCTTATTTAAATATATTTAACTTGCTTGTTGATGAAATCCCATTTTGTTATTTAACCTTATTAATTTTATGCAACAGTCAAGTTGCATGTTAATTTGCTATGAAGAAAAGGAATTATTATATTTTTTGCATGCTGATTTATGTGAAATCGTGAATATAGGTCTATAATCACCTTGCAATTTTGAAGTTAAAGCTTTTTTGCTTTGAGTATAGACTATTTAGTTCATAAGAGCAGTTCAATCTTTTATGAAGTTTGCTATATAAAAATATACCATTTTGAAATATTTATAAATATCGGCCTATATATATCGGCTATTGGCCTCCAAGTCTGAAGAATTATCGGTTATCGGTATCGGCCAAAAAATCCATATCGGTGCATCCCTAGTTTTGACCTTAATTTTATAATGTTTTTGACCTTGTAGTCTACTTTTAGAAATTATTAAATTAATAAAAATGTACTATCCCAAAGACATTTGACTGTTGGTGTATTATAAAATGCCATGGCATGGCTGATATTTTAATGTTTAGGTGCAATTTTAGTATATTACTGTGCCACATGAATACTTTAATGTAATAGTATATTGTTTTGGGTTGAAACGGGAGCAATAAGAGAGACAAAAAGCACCCCCAATGACATTGTTATGTAAAGCAGCTTCTGCAGAATCCCCACCTGGTCCAGCTGTCGACTGAAGCTCTTGAATATGTCCTGCTTGTTGACCTTAAAGACAGGCTTGCCCTCATTAAACACGGCGTGGATCAAGACGCCCAGTGAGTACATGTCAGAGGCTGAATCACAGCTGACCGACAGGATGTATTCAGGAGCCACATATTCTGGGTTCGGGAGGCAAAGAGGCGGGAGATTGGGGTCCCACTCTTTACACACATACTTGGGCTAAAAGGCAGAAACAAACAGTGCTTTAGGCTCCATCTTTGTTAAAAGCAACAGAAAGTAAGAGCTTGATCTCTGTTCTCTAGGACTTTAGAAACAGTAAATCTAATTTTTAACCTCAGCATCAGACGGGTTGCTGGAGGAGATGCTGAAGTCAAAGCCCATGATCTTCCAGGCTCCGCTTTTATTCAGGATGATGTTCTCTGAGCACAAGTTACCATGAACCATTTTAACTCCACTGTGGAGGAACGACAAACCCTCTGAGACCTGAGAAAGAAAACAGAAAGAAATGCTATAATTAACTAAGCATTTATGGCAATATTTAATAATTCATTATATCAATATTGTCAAACCATTATAATAATGTAAAACCACAATATTGAGGGCACTTTAAAATACAGGGAATAATCATTTATTATGTAAACATTCCTGGTTAAAATATTCAAATTGTTATGTTGGCAGTTGTTCATCACAACACCAAATGTTTGAAGACTTAATAGGTCATTTATTTTCAAACATTAGCATTTTCACGTTAATCTGGCTCATGCCACTAAAAAATTCTGTGACTATTAAAGAGTTTTTGTTGATTCACTTTGTACAGTAATTTTTTTTTTGTCAATTTGCTAACATTTTATATTTTAACTAAATTTTATGTGATCTAAAAAGTCATTTTCTTTGGTAAATATCCTGATAATACTGTATACATTGATAAGAGATACCGCAATTAATCGCAACAAGAAATATTTGATAGTGGCAGAAACCTTGTTGTACTAATTAATGTTTGAAAATAAAACACAAAAACCATTAATTCCTGCTAATTTTTACTTTGGAATATTACTTTAAAAAAATTTCAAACATTTTCTTAAGAAGGTTACCCTATTTGTTCTACTGAGAAACTTAATGAGTTAAATCGTGCTAGAAACATACTAAACCTGTTTCAAAAGTGTTAATTTCATATGCATAAACATGCAGCATCATGCTAAATCATGCAAACCAGTGTTTTTCAACCACATACCTGGAAGACCACCAGCTCTACACATTTTCATATCTCCTTACCCAAACACACCTAATTCAGATTATTTGCAGTGAATGAATGACCTGAAATGGTTCTGACAGACAAAGGAAACATCTAAAAAATGCAGTTGCGGTGTTCCTCCAGGAGCGTGGTTGAGAACCACTGATATAAACAACATTAAAACATGCTAACAATGTGTATATTTTGAATATATTTGAAAAAAAGATGGCCAACTTACTGTAATACTATTTAAACATTTTTTGCTACAAGATAAATCTAAGTACAAATCAGCAAAAACATGCTAAACATGTTAATAGATTTGACTAATGTTAGCACCTTGCTAGCAATATGATATTTAATAGCAGAAACATTTCAAATATTGCTGCACAATAAATCATTTCAGCAAGAATATGCAATGTGTTTATACAGGGCTAAATGCTAAGGATTGTTTTCGAATATTGCAGCTGGAAAAGATTTTCACTTGACCTATCAAAAAATTATTATAATTTAATCCATTAATTAATAATTAAAACTGTCAGGTCAGTATCCTCAGCAGTAAATAAATGAAGAACTTTTAAACAAATGTTACTGTAAGGAAAGTAATTAAATGCTATTTTCAAATAAAAAGTTAAAAGTTTTCTTGAGATTGGAATTGTTGGTGATTGTATGAGTGTTAATGGCCAGATTGGGTAGCTATACATGAACAAAAAAAAAAAATTAAGACCTGTTAAAAAAGGATTAAAGACCTACAACACAACATTTCAGTAGATTGAAGTCTTTTTATGGCCTAAAATGTAGCTTTTGAAATTTAAGACACTCGAGGAGACCCGAGGAGACACAATTTAGAAAAGCGGTGCCCAAACTCGGTGTGTCCTGCCCAGTGTAGCTCCAACTTCCTTTAACACACCTGCCTGGAAATTTCTAGAGCTCGATTAGCTGGTTCAGGTGTGTTTAATTGTGGTTGAAACTAATATATGCAGGACGTCGGCCCTCCAGGACCGAGTTTGGACAACCCTGATTTAGAACATATGACTTGCAAAATTTAAGCATAATGGAGTAAAAATTTATCACTTGCATGTGTTTTTAAGGCCTGTTACTGTGTAAAGCCGTGGTCAACCCATTGACTTTCATTCATATACATCCAAATAGGACAGACTTCAAGCACAAGCTCATGCAACAAGTTTCAAATGTCGCTGGGTTGCAGCAGGTTCAAGATTGATGAACTCTTGACCTGCGAAATCCGATCAGGTGATTGCATGAAACCAATAAATTAAAATGTGACCTCTCTGTACAAAAATGTAAAATATGGGTGGAGCATCCAATCGTCTTGTTTTATCCTGCCCCATTTAACAGTGCATATGACAGAATTTGAACATGATCAAACTCTATTGGGACTGTGGTTTGCATATTTAGGCACACAGAATTCTAAAATGTGTATCTTAAATAAAGGTTTATCTTATTAAATTATATTCACATTGAAGACTACAGTGTTATTTTACACATGATTATTTAAAGAGCTCCTAATATGGGTTTTTGAAAATGACCTTCCATGTAGTGTGTAACACAGCTCTAATTGAAGTGAAATATCCAGCTAAAGCTAAAATCTGAAAGAGGACAGTATTTAAAACTATTTTCATCTAAAAAAGTCGACTCACAGTGGTTAGAGTGAATCATCTTGTTAACGAGTCTTTAGATCTACGAAATATAACCCCCGTCCAATTGTTGCACACGCAAACCCGGGAAAATTTAAACCTGCGGCCCCGCCCACTAACACAGCAGCAAAAACAAACAGATCCTAAAGTCATGAGTCGTGAAGATGCTGTGCTTACCTGGATATTATTGGAGGTGTGGGGTAAAGGTGAGCTTTAGCAAGCTACACACTTACAATGGGCGATTCATTTGTTTGTCAAAGGAAGGATCAGAAAAGACTACTGATGTATGAGACTTTGACAGAGCTCGACAAAAACAGTAAATCAGTAAACCGCTCATGGATTAGGTTTTTCCTCCATTTTGCAATGGACAGACAATACACCAGGGGTGCGTGCAAAATAAGGCCAGTTTATTAGGCACACAGTCGAACAAAGGCAGCCTGCTGCACTGAGGGGGAGCGCTGGTGAGCGCGACAACCCCCTGGCTGGGGATGTAATCTCTGGGCAAAGCAGAGTGCAGGTAAGCCCTTAGGTTCAGAATAATTCAGCTTTTGTCGCTGTGTGGATTAATACTGAATGTGTGTGATTTAAGAATAGAGCAATATGCTGGTTTGCTTTCGGGGGTTAGGTGTCTAAATAACACTGTTGAGAACCGGGCACTGTTTACTGTGGTATTAGTAAGTTTACTAAGAAGTGTGTTTCGGGCTGCAATCGGATCCTATAAAAACATTGGCGACCATGGGCTTGATAAACCGTGCTGGGCATTTTACTATCTCGTTTTGAACGCTGTCGACCAATCGCAACAGGCTGTCATCAGTCTAATCAGCGCAGATTAGCTTTGCGCTAAGGAGGGCTTTGGGAACAAAATGAATCGCTGAACGATTCATATGGGAGTCGCTGAGATAACCAGGTAAAAATAAATGCATATTATAAGACCATGTAAGTGTTTTTTTGACCTTGCATGTAGATCAGTATGTTGTTAGAGACCCATAAAACTGAAATATGAGGCTTTTTAATTTATAATAAGGGCCCTTTATTTTCTATACATGAATATTGTTAGACTCAGAAAAGCATAAAGCATTGTAAATCTTAGTGCTATTTTATTAATATTTTCTTTTAATTAGTTTATTATATTTTATTTTATGCATGACTCAATTCTAAATAGAATCCTTGCAAACTATCAAATTTAATGAATCCTTTCTAAATACAGCCCTTTAATCTATCTGGTGAAACTGTAATTCATTTTGCAATACATAAAGAAGAAAATACATCTTGAATTTTTTTTCTAATATCATGCAGTTCTAATTGCCAGCCATAATTTTACAAATAATAAAAAAGCTTTCAGCTGATTTTGGTACCATCTAGAGATGCAATAGTTTTAGATTTTGGTTGTAAAATTATAGATAAAAGCGTCTGCTAAATGACTAAATGTAAAATGTAAATGTAGTCACGGTTTCACATCTCGATTATTATGCATTCATTAATTTCAAAACATAACTAGTTTGGAAAATCACATGAAAACTCCTTTTATTTTAAAGTGTTATTTATTGCTACTCTGTAATTAATTAATACAGCACAAAAATAATAATAAAAACAATAATAGTTCACATCTATTTGGACTATTAATGAGTGGAAAAAATGTTGTTGACATTTAATTTTACACTGAAAATAAATGACAGAACAATGAATAAATAAATAGTAAATAAAAATAAGAATAAATAAAAAATAGTATTGGCCTAATGTGAATTTAAGCATCTTATTAGCTAAGTATTTCCCTTTTAAATAGAACAGAAGTAGTCAAAGGCTGCTGAACCTCTATCTGAAAGGCACTTTTGATCAATTGTATTACATAATTGTTTGGTATTTTCATTTTATATATTTTTTTGTCTTTGAAGTAGAAATATGTATATTCCATACAAAGTATGAAGCTGATCTTGTCACATGATTCACCGTGTGCTCGCACGAGGTGGACAGAAGATTGGCCTTAGTATACAAGCTCGGTACTTAAAACTAGCACACAGCTGGGATAACTTTGATTAGATGCAGCAGTTTTGATTCGTGCAGAAATGGGGTGTTGAGAAGTCTTTACAATTAATTGAATGTGACAAATTAAAGCATGGTAAATAGTGAAATAAGTTAATCGTTGCATGCCTAGTACCATCTCAAACATTTAATGGCCTCCAGAATATTTCCAAATAAACTTATAAAGTAATCATTTAACAACAATGTATTATGAAAGCTGTAGTTTGTAGCTGTGAAATATGACATGTATTTGGTAAAATAATACTTTTTTTTTAACTCTCACCTGCAGTAAGCCGTATTTGGTCTCTACATCGTAGAGTTTGTAATCTTTGATGTCTGTGGGAACAGGACTGGGCAGGTTGTCCCACTGGCCGAGCACATTCGCTAGGCTGGCAAACACAGGCTCTGTGCAAAACGCCAAACAGTCTCTAGAGACAAACAGACAAAGACAACCAGTAAAAAAAACAGACAAACTGATAAAAACACAGATAATGGGAACAAGTGTTGTCAAGACATTTCCTGGCATACATTAAACCGTTTTCACAGTATTATTTAGTATTTGTGTAAAAATAATATTAATTAATCACAATAAATAAAACAAAATAAAAAATAAAAACATACCCATGGTAAATATGACAACACCCTATCTTATTTTAAATTTATATTAAACTCCAGTAGACATCCCTGTTCAGTAATTAAACAGCAGTTGGCACAAAGAAGTTCTAATTCATTCAATTTACACATCAAAATTTTTAATCATCTCCCTAAGGGCAACCTGCTAAATTTTCATGTAAAATGTGTATATTAAATAGGCATTCAAAGAAATTCCTATATAAATAAAAATACTTAACATTCTGGATCAAAGCTTCATCTGACATCCCTTAAGAGAAACATTTATTATTCAGGAGAGCTCTTCCATAGTGGAACCGCTGCTTTTGATCTCATGCATCCGCACACACAAACACACACACAAATATTGATTGCAGAACCAGAGAAGCCAAGTCTTAAATAAAAAAAGACCTCTGAAACTTTTATTAAGAGTGCTTCTGAGGCTTCAAGTCAGCTTTAATCAAAGATAAAAAAAAAAACTAAGTGCATGAAAAATTAAATCCATTTTTGATTTTTATTTCATGTTTGCCATGGAATAATTTGCAATGATTGAGTTAGTGTCATTATGAATTAGTGTCATTATGATAATGAAATTTCTAACTTGAGTGTTATACCTTATTAACACGGATACTCAATACATATTTTAATAACTCAAAAATAAAAAAAACTCATTTTTGATTTCCACAGAATTCATTAAAATTACAATATTTATGCATGTCCCAGTTCAGTCAGGTTTTCAACTGCCCTCTTAAACTTTTTGAGGGCACAACTGAAATATAATTAAAAAAAACCTAAAATAAAAACATCTGTGTGTTTTTTTTTATAAACCATGCAATATTCTAACAAATTTGACTTTTTTTTCATTCTAATGTCAATATATAAAAAACATCATTTTAACACATTATTAAAGACAAGAACAGTCAGTAATAAATAAACTAATTACAACCAATACTACAAATACAACAGGGAAAATGTTTTGTTAATGTTTTAATGACCTTCCTCCACAACTGTTTACTTTCGCTTTAGATTGAGCATTAAAGACAGGTACTGTGTTTTAAAGATTGATATTTTTATGTTATTTAACATTAAAAAGATATTAAATGAGAACTCAAGAGAACTCATGAAGATGCACAAACAGCATGCTAGTATGGAGTTTTTATTTATTTATTTATTTAATGTCATATCAGCAGCATTGGCTAAACTCAGGGCAACACTGTTAATAAGTGTTTAATATATATTTTACAATCATAACTGTTTCCTAATAATCAAGCGTTGTTTCCACGTTTTATGTTTGATTTGTAGCATCATCTGTGATATGAGCCGCTGTAAAGTTTTTATAAGTGGTCAAAGTAATGCTCACCTGGACTCTTCAAGCGGGTGCTGAACCGTCAGGAGACGTGGATGTCGTAATCTGGTAAGCTGTTGAATTCCTTTCTTCAGTGAATCGATAATCTGGTCCTTCTCAAACTTCTGATAGCGATCAATGACCTTCTTGTCAAACACAAATACGGCCACTTCCTATGGGAGACAGAAAGCCAATTTGAATTAGTTCAATGTGTCTACCTTTCTTACCACACACACGCGCACAAATTAAATTAAATCAAAATCTGTTCAAAATGTCAACATATAAATTAAAATATATTTCTTTGCTTTATGTAGTTTTCAATTGTCATCTCTGTACATTATAATTTTAAAAATTATTTAAGTTTATGTTTTTATACAATGTACATCAAAGTATTTGATATTTTTGATACAACTTGTGCAGAGTGCAATGGTCAACGACTGCTGCTGTATTGTGCAATATATATAGAGAGAATAGATAACTATTTAAGATATTACTGACAACAAATAAAAAAGCTAGAACCTGGAAATGGTTTAAAGAATACCCACCAACTAAAGACGAATGGTTTAAAACAATAGTAGAAATTGGAGAAATGGACAGAATAACACTTATATTCCTATTACAAACAGACAAAGTACAAACAGATCTTTGAAAAGAAATGGAGTAAATGGCTGGTTTTCTCCTCAACCACAAAAACAAAGTATTTAAATGTGTATATGATAAATATATATTTTTTGTTGTGTTTAATAATTTTCTGTATTTGTGTGTATAGATACATACATACATACATACATACATACAACCATACATACATACATACATACATACAGTTGAAATCTGAATGATTAAACCCCCTGAATAATTAGCCCCATTTATTTTTTTCCAATTTCTGTTTAACGGAGAGAGGATTTTTTCAACACATTTCTAAACATAATATAATGTACATGTAAACATAATAGTTTTAATAACTAATTTCTAATAGCTGATTTATTTTATCTTTGCCATGATGACAGTAAATAATTTTTTTAACTAGATTTTTAAACTAAGAAACTTTAAAAAAAAGTTGTTCTGTTAAACATAATTTGGGAAATATCTAAAAAAGAAAAACATTTCAAAGGTTTCAAAGGATTTAATAATTCTGATTACTGTAAATATGTGTCTGCTTGAAATGGATATGTCAGTGCAATACACAGGACTGAAATACTTTTTTTGCACATTGCACAATTAAAGAATGCATCTTCTAGAATTATTAGCCCCCGGTTTATTTTTCACCAACTTCTGTTTTCTTGATCTTGTTGTCCGTCTGATAATATTTTTTTCTTCTGGAGAATGTCTTATTTGTTTTATTTTGGCTATAAAAGAAGTTTTTAATTTTTTTAAAAACATTTTAAGGTCAAAACTATTAGCCCCTTTAAGCTATATATTTTTTTGAGTTTCTACAGAACAAACCATCATTATATAATAGCTTGCCTAATAACCCTAACCTGCCTAGTTAACACATTTAACCTTTAAATGTCACTTTAAGCTGTATAGAAGTGTCTTGAAAAATATCTAGTCAAATATGATTTACTGTCATCATGGCAAAGATAGAAAAAAATCAGTTATTAGAAAAAAGGTATTAAAACTATTATGTTTAGAAATGTGTTAAAAATTTTTCATTTCGTTAAACAGAAATAGGGGAAAAGAATAAACAGGGGGCTAATAATTCTGACTTTAACTGTACATAATAAAAAAAACAGACACACTACTTAAATAAAAAAAAAAAATATGTGCACCTGTTTTGTAGATTTCTTGGTGCCATTGTAGATCCTCCAGCTCATACCTGGACCACCGCTGGCGATGTGTTTGCCCACCTCGAACTCTCGTGTGACCGGGTTTCCCATGACGGCGCTGGTAACATCGGCCGTCACTTTGGTCACGGTGCTCTTCAGTTTATTCAACATCGACTCCATGATTTTACTGGCTGTCAACCTGCAATATATGGTGCATGCATGAGCTAGGAGTTATTTCATCATCGATTGCTTACTTCCTGTTGGTCAAAAACACAGCGGATAAGATAAGTTCAGCCAGTGTTATTACTTAAACCTGTAAAGCAGAAATTTAAATGGAAATAAACAGCCAAGTGAAGATTTCTATATTCAGTTTTAGTTTAGCTTGTTACAAAATAAATTTTAAAAGTTTACATTAAACCTAACCTTATAATAATACAAAAAATAAACATAATAATATAAAACAAAAGTTAAGGGTTTGCTGAAATCTGTCTTTTTTTTTTATAATAATTTTATTTTTGAAATATTTTTAATATTGTTCAGATAGTTACAAATTGATTTTAAAATTAAATTAAATCAAATTTGATTAGAGGTCAAATTTAAGAAAATGTGATATTTGATTATATTTTTTGCTAAAATTATTAAATTATTAAACAAAATTGTAATTAATCACTCAATAATTTTCCTTTGGCTTAGTCCCTTATTTATCATACTGTCAATTTATAATTATTCCCTTATTTTACCCTTATAGTTCCAGTAACGGCCCAGTACAGCAAAAATAAAAAAATAAATAAAATAAAAAACATACAATCTCGCATTCATACTTTTTAGTTTATTGAATTCACTTATAATGCATGTTTTTGGAATATGCGGGAAACTGGCTCACCCAGAGGAAACCCACGCAAACACGAGGAGAACATGCAAACTCCACACAAAAACACCAACTGGCCCAGCCTGGACTTGAACCAGTAATCTTGTTGTGAGGCAACAGTGCTGACCACTGAGCAACTGTTAGAAAAAAAATCAAGAATGCGAAACAAAATTTACATCAAGTTGAATTTGCAGTAGGTAAAATTGTTTTTGCTAAATCTCTTTTGAATTGAAATTTATTATTTTTTTATCTTCAAATTATTAGATGTAAATGTTTAATAAATTATACAAAATGTGGTTGTCACTGTTTGTTACGGCAACGTAAAAAGAAGAAAAAAAGTAAAGCATTAAAATGCATGTGAAAATCTTCAGCAGGCTCTGAGCAAGGTGAACTCAGGGTAAACTATGTCTTCAGACTGACAGCATCTCAAGACGTTTAGAGAAATAAGAAAGCAACTGCTCTTTCAGCTATAAAGATAAAACCGGTCTTTGTGATAGCTGCTTTTACTCTGTAATGTGGCTTTGTGCTTAAATGACGCAAAATGACACACACATATATATATATATATAAATAAAAGAAACATTAAAAGCATGTTAAAAATTATTTATTATTATTATAATGATATTTTTTTAGATTTTATTATTAATTTTATATTATTATTTGAAGTTATTCCTACAGTAATTGTCAGAAATTTCATTTGCATTCGTTATTAATTAATTTATTTCATAGTAGCCTTATTGTTACAGCACAATAGTATATACAATATAATATTTAACAATAAGCTTAAAGTTTTATTTAGGGATCCTTAGCTTTGAATGTAATTATGCAAAAAATTCTACCACTACAGTAACTAATTAGTTTTTAATTCCTCAATTTAAAATTAGTAAATTAAAATTAAAAATAATAAAAATGTACCTAAAAGTAATATTAAATTAAATAATCAATTAAAAGTAATGCAATCAAAATTTAGACACTTAAAATGAAATTTAAAATTAAAAATGTATACAAAAAAAGAAAATGTATGTAGTTAATCTCTTTCTACACACACAAACACACACACACACACACACACACACACACACACACACACACACAATGTATATAGTATAGTTAAGGTCAGAATTGTTAGCCCCACTCGGGCTACTTAATAAATAATAAAAAGAAAAAAGAAAAAACAGGGTACAGAGGCAAACAATCACATTAAATAATATTTACAAAGACTTTATGAAATGTAACAGTTTCAATACTTTTTTTGCTGTAAACTATTTGTAACGCAGTAATTAAACAATTTAAGTCACAAAGAAAACCGTACAAAATAGTTAATGATTTTTTTATTTAAATTTGTGAATACAATATTTACCCAATAAAATAAATAAATTGCCTATAAATTCTGTTATGTTTGTCAAGAGAGAAGTAACAAATTACATAACACATTGAAAAATCTGTTAAACTTACATTTTGATGCAAAAAAGACAGATAAAGAAGACCAAAACACTTAAACGTGGGCATTTGACAAAAAGATGATCAATCGATTTGATACTTGAGTTACAGAAGACACAATGTGAATTACGATTACCAAATTTAGATACAATCTCGTTCGTATGGTAGATATTATGTAACACTTTTAAATGTATTTTTTTTACATTTATTGGGAACACACAATTTGTAAGGTAAGAGCCTAGCTTTTTTCCAATTACGTTAATTTCATCTATTAGAGGATTCCAAAGAAATTTTCTCCTTGGATTGATTCTTTTCTTTGACTGAAACACATTTTTTATATTTTTATCACCACATTTTAGGTCGTAGTTAATATTTATTTTAGCATTAGACGGAAGTCGCAGTGGCGTCATAAGGAAGGGTGTGACGTATTTCTGATATTTAATGAATGAGCTCCTGACTTGCAATGAATCACCACAACAATACTCCATTTAGTCCGTTTATGTTCAAAACCCATCAACTTTCCACCTTTAACACCAACAATAAACAATCAAGTCAGAAACAGTAGGTTAAGTTCCATTATTTTTTGATGAGGGTAGGCAGATCAATGTTTAGCAACACAGCCAAAGGCGTTTAACTGTCAACATGTAAACATTACACGTTGTCCTCATGACAACATGGTAATTGGCTACAAGAAATTCTCTAAAACAAAAACACGTTCTTTCCTTTACAGTGTAAATATTTAATAAACACGACAGCAGCTGAGCTAACAGGCTAATGCTAATGGAGTAAAGCGTCACTGCATTGAACTGATGAATAACCGCTGAATCCTGTTTCAGGGTCAGTTTCCAGCTCATAAACACGTAGACTCGAGTCTTACCTTTACACCAGAGGAGCTGACAGGGAGATTGAGAGGTTAAAATGAGGAATGAGACAGTCGGAAAACCGTCAGCAGTGCTGGTGGCTCACTGCCTCCATGACACTTCATCAAAACACCTGAGAGTCTGCGGTGAAGCCGGAGGAAACACGCAGAGCTTCAGTATCTCTAATAAAAGTCATGATTTTCAAAATACTTTTAACAATATTCATTGATTAGTTGCAGAAAAAAATAATGTTGCCTATTCTAAACAGAAAAATAGCTAATTACTATCATTGCAAAATTGCAAATATTGGCCAACATTGCTCAAAAAGTTGCCCTGTGTATCATCAGCATCATATTCTCATTATGACATCAAATGTACTTGCTTTTTGTTGGGGCTACAGATTTATAATAATAATAATAATAATAATAATAATAATAATAATAATAATAATAATAATAATAATAATTATCATCAACGTCATATATTATTATTATATATCTATTATTCAAGTTTATGTTTTTGTCATAGTATATAACTTTAATTATTAGTAATAACAATCATAATAATATTTATATCCATAAAATTATTCTAAATAATTTTATTATTCATATATAAACATTCATTTGAAATAATGCTAATCTAAAATTGTAAGAATGAAAAATAATAAAAACAATCATAAACACTTGCTCAGTTTCTCTGGATTTAATAAGTATTGGTTTGATATACATGTGTGTATGTTGTGATTTCACCTTTTTAAAGTAAATGACATGTCAGATTAATATCCGAATATCAAATGTTTTCATTTATTATGATTGAAAATCAGGATTATTCCATTAAGTCAAAACATTGGTTTTAAAATTATTGTAAAGGAGAGAACTTGGATTGGATTCTTTTGGTGATCTTTACATTGATGTTTTTGCCTCTTTGGTCAGCTGGCCTCTCAATTTAATCTCCCTAAAGCTCTTTTTTTTCTAGATATTTGCAATTTTTTTCTGCTAACTTACAGATCGGCGACGCAATGACGCAGTAGGTAGTGCTGTCGCTTTAAAGCAAGAAGATAGCTGGTTCGCAGGTTCGAGCCTCGACTGGGTCGTTTCTGTGTGGAGTTTGCATGTTCTCCCTGCGTTTGCGTGGGTTTCCACCGGGTGCTTCGGTTTCCCCCACAGTCCAAAGACATGCGGTACAGGTGAATTGGGTAGGCTAAATTGTCTGTAGTGTATGAGTGTGTGTGTTATTGAGTTATTGAGTGTGGATGTTTCCCAGAGATGGGTTGAGGCTGGAAAGGCATCCGCTGCGTAAAAACGTGCCGAATAAGTTGGCGGTTCATTCCGCTGTGGCGACTCCGGATTAATAAAGGGACAAAGCACAAAAGAAAATGAATGAATGAATGAACTTACAGATCATCTGGTCTCAAGACATTGGAATTGACATTATTGAAGAGACATGGAAAGCGGTCTTGAACAGAGTTAATTCTTCCTCAATTTGTGCACGTCACAGGAAAGGTAGTGCATAAAGCTCATTGGTCCAAGAGCAAACTAGCTCAAAAACAACCTGTCTATTGACCCTGAGTGCGACAGGTGTCATTCTTGTTCAGCTACTCAAATGTCCTTGTCCTTCCCTGCTCTCTTTTTGGAAGCAAATTTTCCTCTCGTTGTCTGCTATAACTGTTGATATCCCACCTTGTGCAAGGTATTGGTTTATTTGGGGTTCTCCCACCCGGCCACACCTTATTGATTCTCCTGATTGAGTCCCCACCCCCTAGTCACAGCTTAGTACTGGATACTAGTTCTGTTGATCACATTGTAGGCCTGTATTTTCTGTATGTAAGATTGCATTTTTTTTTTTTTTTGCTCAAAATACTCTTCAGTATATTTGTTTATTGTTACATGTTTGTTGTTTTTATTGTATATTTTTGTAATGTATATTACAATGTAAAAAATAAAACATTAAAAAATATTGTAAAATATCTGAAAACTTGGCACCTTATTTTATTAAAATGCTCTAATTGTAACATTCTTATTTTTTGTTTATTTGACATGTCATTAGTACTTTACATAATAAAACAAAACAATGTTTTTTGGATGCATTTTTGTAAATAATAAATAAAATATTATTTAAATGTATTTTATGTCGTTGTTACGGTGTAATTATACAAATAAGTACCAAATAGTATACAATATAATTCTTTACAAGTAAAATCACTACTAAAAGTATTACAATTACTAAATTTGAAATAAAATAAAACATTTTAACATATCAATGACTTAAACACACCCTAATTATTATGTGGTAGCACTGACTAAAATAAAATGACAATACAAATTAACTAATTTAAAATAAACATGATTTTAAAAACTGTTTATCTAAACTATTAAACAAATTTTGTTAAACATCTAAAAACAAATTAAGATGTTGAACATCTGAAACTTCTACTCAAACAAATAAAAAAACAAAACAAATAACGGACACAAAACACAGTCTACATATATTCTTTTGAATGCATTTAATGGGTTTTAAACATCCTAAAATTAAAGTGCATCTAAAAAAATCTATTGTTATTACAAAAATTTGTCAACTGAGTTCAAAGTACCAACAATGCAATCCAATTCCCTTTTCTTTCAGTCATTTAATAAATATCATTGATACAGTATGTAACACCAGTTAATCCAGTGCATTCAAGCAATGTTATTAAAGGAGTTCAAGTAATTTTTGCAATTAAACATTCTTTGTTTTCATAATTAGGAATAATGCCTTATTACATAGTAAGAAAATGCCTACACCCTATTATGCTACAAATCTATGTAAAAATCAGAAGTATGCACTTATTTAATACGAGCAATTAAGTTTAACAGCCATTCAAATCCTTTGCGCTCACAGTCAATAAAATAAGTGATTAAAATCAGCATAATACATTAAATGCATTTACTTCTTCTTTTCAAGTGCACTAAAACTAATTAGCTTTTAAAAACCTGAGCATATCACATAATTCAAGTAATATTATATTGGTGTTATTCTGGATCTAAGTTAATAAAAGCAGCATATTTATTCACCTGATGAAATCTATGTAGTGTAATTGATAATTGATACGTAATTGATTTTTGGCTAATCGAATCAGAAGTTAACTGTAAGTAAACACAATTAAAACCATTTGTTATACATCCAAACCTCAAGTCATGGTTATCCTAAAACACCTGGATTGTTTGGAAAGAAGCTTTCAGAAAATGTTAGACTCTTTAAAATCATTTACCAACTATGGCAAGCCATTTTAATATTTAATATATACTATTACTTAGTATGTATATATATATATATATATATATATATATATATATATATATATATATATATATGTGTATGTGTATATATATATATATATATATATATATATATATATATATATTTATATATATATATATGTGTATGTGTGTGTGTGTGTGTGTGTGTGTGTGTTTATATATATAATACTGTAGTACAACTAATTATTTTAGGTAGTACTTCTTTGGGTATTAGTAGAATTTTAAAAAGAAGTAAATACTTTTACATTTTAAATTAATAATAATTAGATAGTAGTACTTCTTACTGGATACTAATACTTGTTTGTTAAATACTAGTACATTGAATAGATAATAATATAATTATATATATATATATATATATATTGTTATATAATTTTGTTTTTGAAATGGATTTGAAATTGGACATTATAAAACTTTTTAAGACCCCATGTACACCCTGTTTTAAAAAGGAAATAGCATCAAGTAATAAATAAGTACTAGTATCATGGAAAGAAATTGAGTGTAGGAACTAAGACATCAATTTGTATGCAAAAACCCAGATCCCAAAGACAATTGGTATTTTGAATGGGATTTCCATTAAATCTCTTAAATAAGGTTCTTGACCACCGCAAACTCAAGATACTTTTATGTTTTATTTTACAACATAAAACACATCAGTTACATTCCATTCTTAAATGTTTTAATCGGTTTTGCTTATTTAAAAAGACGGTTGCAATCAAGTTGCTAAATGGGACTACAGGTAATGTCGGAAACATTATACATCCTCAGGCTGAACTGGCTTGGGTTGGACATTTGGATTTGTCTGTTATTTTTATAAATAGTATTTTATAGTATGTAGTATTTTTTCTAATTGGGAATTTATTTTGTTTGTTGACTGTCAAGACAGGTTAATTTGTTGATCATTTATTTTAACTAAATGATTTTATGAATACACTGCTTACCAGTGCAGCCTGTATCTTTCCAAGTAATGTAAATGTGTGAATAAATTTGTAAAAATACATAAATATTAACTGTCATTGTAACGTGATCAATTGATTTTTCATCTTTTTTTTCCCTTCATCTGAATACATTTAACCTTTATCTAATTTAACATTTATATATTTACCCTCTTCCTTAAAATGTATAATGTTGGTCTGTATTATATGCCTTATAGTTTTCCTATAAGGAGAAATTGGTCCGGATTCTTATAGGTTATGATCCAAAAGTGCTAAAAGTTGATTTTTCGTGTGAGGATTATCCGGTTGGACTAAACATGTAGGTGTAGTCAACTGTGTTTGAACACACAGCTTACTATTTGCAATTTTCAAAAAGTATATGAGAAAATGCTATAGAGATTTTATCATTTTATATGTTTTATGCTAGCAGCGATTGGCCTAGAAGATGACGTCATACTTCCTCCACTCTATATCAGTGCATTTCATACATTAAATGTTAAAACGGCATGCCATAACCCTGCAGTTTCATGTTGTTAATTATTGACCAAAGACCTAATATCTCCTCCCCCACCCAAAAAACTCTACCCAGATAAATCGAAAACTAACAATCTATGCAGGTGTTTCTAGAATGTAGTATAGAAGTGTTGGAGGAAAATGCCTGGGTGATGTTTCTGGAACTGTTTGGCCAGTCGTCTCTTCTGTTTGGCGGAGAGACGGTCACTCTGAGCGATATGGTGAATTAACTGCTTTAAACTGTCAACAGTGGCCTTGTCTTTGTTATCCTCATACTCCTGTTGCGACACCTGCTGGCAGAATGTAAACACTGCGAGAGGAAAAAAAATGGACATGGTAAATCAATTTTTAATGTGTCAAATCAGTTTTACAAGACTATGTTTAGTGTACTTGTAGATAAAATTCTGTAGCACTTGTAATTTTTGTTTTTACCTTTTGTTACCCTTGTTTTCATTGGTTTTCTTTTACTGTGTAAAAGCAGTGACTTCTTGTCTATTAAAAGGTGCTATACAAATAAATCCTTACTTTTTAAACATGGCTTTTACTTTTTTGTAAATTATAAAAACCCTCCTAGGGACACGTGCTGCAAATTATCTTTGACTACAGCAAGCATTATTTCAGTTTAATCTATATTTCATGTATTGTTCCCAAACAAATTAAATCTATATATATATATATATATATATATATATATATATATATATATATATATATATATATATATATATAATTAACTCACGTGCTACTTTATCTAGATCTGTTCCTTGCTGCAGAGTTTGAAGTGTTTTCCTCACAGCCTCAATCAATGATAGCGGTGTCTGGATATGTAAAAGAAAAACGATTCAATGTTCTGTGATATACAAAGTATTCTGGGACGGTAATGTAATACTAAAAAGGGTTGTTTTACCTTAAAGAGCTGTGTGTGATTATCCGTGAGGAACAGCAGTAGTTGCTCACACTGGCCACGAGTCATTTCTTTACTCTGGATGACAGCTTTTACAAATGTCTTGCTAACCAAAGCCCGGTTTTCAATCTGGTACAAGATAAATGCATTGGTATTATGCAATGAGTTTATACTTTTTACATTTAAACATGTTTAAACTAAAAACTGAACAGGATTCATATATTTTAAATGAAAATGGGACCTGTGAATTAGATTTTCCAGTTACTAGAAACAATTATTTTATTTTATTGAAAAATGTATTCAGCAAAAGATGCATTTAACAGATCAAACTGACAAAAGAATCTACATTTTATATAAATACTGCATCTTTCTAGTCATCAAAAAATGTGTGGTTTACACAAAAATAGTAAGGGGAAAAATCAAAAATTGACTAATAAATGTTTATAACTAATTATAATTCGTTATTTATTTATTTATTTATGTAATAAATTATTTCTTGTGTTCATGTGACACTGAATACTGAAGTAATGATGCTGAAAACTCACATTTTAAAATATTATGATACGTAAACATTAATATGAAATATTAACATTATTATATGTGACATTTTGATATACAGCAAGAAGGACAACTTCATCATGTTTAGTTTTATATTTAGGTTCTCTGGTGTTTAGAAATAACAACATCTAAATAATCTAAGTAAATGCAGTCTTGGTGAGCATAACATACTTGAATGCTTTTGTATAAAATAATTATTTTTATACTTATGTAACAAAAATACTTTTTGTGTGTTCAGAAATTATTTTGGGAGGCTATTTAAAAAAGAAAACAATAATATTAAAGCATCAATTCCAACATTTTACTAATTTGTTGCATATAGATATCAAAAGTGTAAATGTATAAACATTTTAATTAATTATAAATTCAAAGAGAAACTTTTCAAAGAAAATTAATTTGGATATGTCTGTGCAGTTTGTGTATATATACATTTTTTAATGAACACAACAAGCTCTATATCACCTGCTTGTGCAGTCTAAAAGCTTCATTATTAGCAGCGGCTGCCATAAAACCCAACAGTCTGCGTAACTCGTCTCTGCTGGTGGACTCCAAGAGCTGCAGACTAAGCTGAGCTGCTCTCAGGGCATCTTCACCTCTTCCACTATCTAAAGAACACATAAATAAGAAGACACTCATAAACAATCAGGCACATGAGTAAAAGTGCAGATACCCTAAGGACCCTTTTCACAAGACTGTTATGACACATTTAATGGTCATCATAATCATAAATCATTGACAGTTTTTAATATTAAGATTTTTCCTAATAATGTATGAACATTAATATGCATTTATGCATGTATTATATCATTTTTGCGTCAAATTATGAAAAACAAATGATTGTTTATGAGAGGTGTTTCCAATGTAGCCTCTATGGGGCTGAAAGTAAATTTGACGTTATTCTTTCCTCTAGCTGCCATCATCAGTCTTACACTATTTTTTCCTTTTTTTGAAAGCCTTGATAACCCCATCCTGAAATTATTCTTTTTTTATTTCAGCAAATAGGGTGGGGGAAAAAAGCATTTTGATGTACTCTCTGATTCACTGTGCCCTTAGTTTACCCAGCTATAAGGCCATCCGCTACTAAGAAACCAGAAATGTGATAATGGTCTATTAAAACATTACTCCAGTAGAAGCATAAACTCTTCTCTTTAAACATCTCTTGAGTCAAAGTACAAAAGTACTTGATTTTTTATTAACTTAAGTAATACAAGTATAATTAATTACTGATTTTGTTCTTTTGTAAGATGCCACACTCTAATAACCGCACTGATAATTCATGATAAGTCAAGCAAAAACAAGTAAAACCGCATTTACATGCTAAACTACACTCAAATCAGTTTGTAAAATCAGTAAACCGTTAAACAGTTTCACACTGAATGGATCGTTTGAATCAGTGAGTCGTTTAATGGAAACCGACTGTAAACAGATCCTTTGAATCAGTGAATCATTCACTAGAAACTCACTCTGAGCGGATCACTTTAATGAGTACGTTATTTACTGAAGATTAACTCTGAATGGATCACTTGAATCAGTAAGTTGTTTACTAAAGACTAAAGCCGCGGTGACACACTGGAGTTTGATCCCCAGAGACTTCCATTCATACACATGTAAATGCAACAGATCGGAAAAGCAAGGTCGTGCAGCAAGTTTTGCAATTCGCTATATTGGAAAGTTCAGAACATGACGTCTTGGTACAGAAACTTAAAATATGGACCAATTGCTTGCTTTTTTACTGTCTAATCATCTTGTTTAATCCTGCCCCTTTTTTGCAGTACCAAACAACAGAATTTTGCAAGCACAAACTCTAATGTGACCACGGCATAACTCTGAATGGATCATTTGAAGTAGTGAGTTGTTTAGTGGAGACAGACTCTAAACTAGAGATGCCCAAACTAGGGCCCGCAGGCCAAAGTTGGCTCATGCCATCCCATTTGAAAAGAGAGGGAGTAAGATGGAGATGGTTTCAGGATTTGTCAATTAAAATTTAATGTAACCCTTTATTTGTTTTATTGTTAAAAGCTAACTGAAATGAAATGTTTTAATTAAGTGGTATAAATTAATCAGATTTTGTTTGAGCAAAATCAAACAAGAACAGCAAATCAAGTCAAGAACAGCTTCTGCTTGACTAGTGTTTTCAGCATTGAACTCCACTGTGGTATAAATGTGATTGTGTTTTTATTGCTGTAAGTTATCATTTTACAAATTATACTGCATTAGATAATACAATTTAAAGTAATGTTTTCTATTTATTTTGAGATATTATGATGTTAGGAAATTACCCATGGCAACTTTAAATAGAGCTAAATATGGCAACTTGTAATATAGCTTGGTATATTTACCTTCGGCCCATGGCTCTCAATGATATTTGGTTTTTGGCCCTTCATATGAAAAAGTTTGGGCACCCCTGCTCCAAACATATCATTGGAATCAATTAATAATTTGCTGAAAACTCACTCTGAATGGATATTTGAATGATAATTGATAAGCGAGTTGCTAACCTGTTAAAAGTGTTGGTCCAATTCACAAATTAATCATTTAGTGCAATTTGTGAACCAAATGGACTGGTTAACTGATAAAATTCAGCTTGTTCACAAATTAACCACCACTCACTTATATCCAAGCAGATGAGGATTTCTCCCCTTCAAAATAACTTTTAAGTCAGCTTCATTAAGGAGATGTCGTTATGTAAAACGTATAATATTTTTTTGCAATGTAGCGAAGTAAAGGTTTTATAAAATAAATTAAAAAATTAAGTAAGGCACTTAAAATAAATACTTAAAGGTCTCAAGAAATTAAAATAACATTTTTAGATTTAAGTATCAGTATTGTTAGTTTTTCAGATACCTGTAAGCTATAGTGTGCTCCAAAACAGTGACAAAATTTGAGTTTAGGTTATATAAAACTGATATAAACATGTAAAGCTTGTAGTTGTAGCAAAGCTTGTAGACCTCCGCCTTAATGGATCAATAGTTTTATTCAAGTCGCCTCATACTTTAGTTTCTCATCAAATCATTACCAATTGATTGCTCTCTAGTATCTGACATGCCCAACCCTCTTCAAGACACCTCTCATTTGCTTTTCATTTGATCCACTCCTACTGGCAAAGCTGTGATAAAACAAAACACTATTGGCAGTTTTTTAAAAAGGAGAGGAGCATCTCTATGTCCCACCCTCTCTTTGTGTTTCAGCATTTCATGAGAACTTTATGTACAGTAGTGATGCAAAAAAAACAAATGTATGTCCATCACATATTAGAAAGAAATTCTCTTCTAAAAAAACTTCTAAAATTTCCCACTTGTTTTTTTTATATTTACCCAAAAGTTGAATGATTCCAGTGTGAATGTCAATGTAACGTCCTGACAGCAGCGGGGGTCTTTCAGGGCTGTTGTAATATTTGGCGATGGTGTCAAACAGCAGTTTCTTGTGCACTCCAAACATCTCCTCCCCGACTGTTTTATTCCTCTGCACGAGTTGCTCACTGGCAAACACGATTAACTGATCTGGGAACAGCTCAAGACAATCCACTGCTGCCATCAGCCAAGAGTCCAACCTTTAAAGAGAGAAATGATTAGAGATATGGTGATATTCAATAATCCAACGTATCGTGATAATAAACATGCTCAATATTGATATTGTGGACACTTTAAATTATTATTTAAACTGTAAGCTTCTTTATTTAGATTGTTTTATTAGTGGTTGCAAAGACCATTGAATCACCAATTCATTCTAAGCTCTTTGGTGGTTGTTTGTCACAGCGCCACATGCTTGAATACCTAATAGGCTGTTTACTTTCAAAAATGAAAATTTTCGATTTAATTTGGCCTACAACTTCTGAAAATTCTGTAACTGCTTATTGTCACAGTTGTGGCTTTGTGTGGTCACCTGATGGTTTGTTTTGGTTCCCTCGTGCACGTGTTTTTGTGTATGTGTTGTTATGGTCACGTGTTTGGCATCATCAGCTGTTCTGATAAGCCGGCCAGCTGTGGCTTGTTATTACGACTATATCTAGGGAGTAGCTCAATGTCTCCTTGTCAGTTCTTTTAAGTTGTTCACATACTCTGTCTCTTGTTTAGGACTGGTGTGGACCTGTCACTGGATTCATACTGACCATATTTTTTTGCAGACGGTATTTTGGTTGGTGGATGTTGTCAATTATGTAGATAAACATACATCTATACCACAAATGCTAGCAACTACAACATAAAACAAACTAACACAACTCACCATAAGAGAGAGAGAGATGTTTCCCTCTCATACTGTAACTGAATCTTAATGATGGGCACTGCATCCACCACATTATAAATACATTGCTAAGCAATGCAAACAAATGCCGATTCTGGTGTTACTGTTGGTACCTGGTTCGTATCCTTGTAGAAACGAATTGCGATTTCGGTGTAAAGTCTGTGATATGCACAGATAGGTATATTGGTTTTAACTTACAATGAAATCTAATATAAATTTTGTGGCCCAGATCATTCTCGACCTGATGGTTGGGGACCCCTGCTTTAGCAATTTAATTTGTTTAAAACATTTATTTACTCTGAACGTGTATAAAATAAAGTATTTTTCATTATTATACCTGTGAAAGTAAGCTTTTTGTTGCTTAGGTCAATATCATGATAGTACCATATATCATGATAAAACCTTTAGCAATTAACCGCAACAAGAAAGTCAGCAAAAACCTAGAAATAAGACACATGTGAACCCAATGCTCATGAGTGTGCAATATGTCTATTACGTATGCACTGACTCAGGCAGGTTGAGACTCTCGGAGACCTCACGATCCACACAGGTGTTGGAAAAGACCAGGTCACAGTGGTTGCGCAGAGATGAACGCAGGGGTTCTGGTTTGGCAGGTGAGGTGAGAATACAGTCCAGCATGGAGATCTCAACCACCTGTAGCAGCTGAAGTAATGTCTGCTGCCTCCAAACATCACGCATCACTGACACAAAAAGAGAAGAAACTGTGAGTGCTGTTCACAAAAGAGAGTGTTTGTGCATTATTCTGGACAGTTGTCTACTCATGTCAGCATGATGTCTTATGCATTTGTGTCTCTCTTTTTTTTCAAATATATTTATTGATTTCCTCCCTTTTTTTCCTGCCCATTAACTAGGAATACAATAACAATGCTGCCTAGAGAAAAGTAAAATCCCCACCATTATCTTATACACATATTCAAATTACGTGAAAAAAAAAAACATTTAAAAAATAAAAGTAATTAGGAGTTTTTCTAAAGTTTATATAAATGGATTAAATAAGATCTGGCTTAATTATTTACATTGTACATATTTAATATATTAACATAAAGAGATATTTATATTTTAGCAGTTGTCAGAAGTGAAAATTACTTATTTTTTTGGAAGTTAAATCCAACAAAAAGTACAAATTATGTTTAAAGTGTTGACTTGTTTCACCTTTTTTTGACAGGAAACTGTTGGAAACTGCTGCCCGATGTAGATCAGATGGAATAGATGGATGAAGGTTTATATTCTTCAGTAGTCTCTCCACTCTTCTATCTGACGATCCAAGAACCAAAGGGTTGGATATGGTCTGCATTTCTCTAAACCTAGAAACAAACAGCAAACAACTTTAAAGGGACATTTCATCCTAAAAATGAATACTGAATGTTGATTTAAGAACTGCAAATTTTAATTCTTTTTCCAATATTTCCCAAGTGATATTCCAGACCAATGAAATATACACAGTATTTGCTATAATACTTTTCTTCTGGGGAAAGTTTTATTTATTTTTAGTTTGGCTGGAATAAAAGCAGTTTGATGTTTTATAAAAACAACTTTAAGGTCAACACTATTAGCCCCCTTAAGAATATTTGATTTTCAATTGTCTACACAACAAACCACTGTAGTCCAAAAAGTTGCCTGATTATCCTAACTTGCCTTGTTAACATAATTACCTATTTATTCTTTAAATTGCACTTTACTATATCTTACAAAAGAAGCAGAAAAATATTATGTATCACTGAGTGTGTTTAAATGACACCAATAATCAGATTTTAACATGATTTAGACAATGCTAATTGAGAGTCTACCATGTAAACAGCGTTTTTTGATTAATTTAATCCGATTAAGGTCATAATCGAACTAAACAAAAATCTAATTAAGACATGTAGAGTATGTTGATTTTAGTCGCATTATTGAAGTGCAGTACAAACATGTAAATAAATACCTTATCAAACTACTACCATTTTATATATTATTTTAACGTTCAATATTAAAATAATATTGTATTTTAACGTTCAATTCTCGCTATAAACAAACCATTAATTGTGACTCTTTGCCTTAATAAACTCATAATTTGTTGCTTATTAGTATGGTAGTAGTTACCTTTAGGATAAGGGATGGGGAATAAGATCATGCAGAATATGGAGTTTATAATAAGTATTTATAGAAAAAACAATATGTTAATAATACAGTGCTTAGCATATATTTAAGTACACCCCTCACAAATCGATCTTTTAAATTCATATTTTTAGTAGGAAGCTATACAACATTATATTTGTGCATAAACATTAGATTAGTCAGTACTGAAGCCAAATCTAAAGCTCTTCTACCAAAATAATTTACTATAACGGTCCAAAAGCTAGTACACCCAAATTTATGTTGAAATATTATGTTGAAAATAATATTATGAAATATTAAATATAAATTTTAAAAAGAGAAAAAATCAAGAGAAGCAAAACATTTTTTTTGTTAAAATTCTGTAGGACTTTGACCGTATTTTGCAATAGAATAGTCTATACGCACATGGTTGTTTGACACCATTCACTGCACCTACCAACTCAGTAAAAGACCACAGACACCTGCATAGCGAAATGCTGAGATGTTTTCCCATATGGCATGTGATATTAAATTCTATTAAAACAACATTCTTCCAGCAGTTCATACTCACAAAATAAAAATGTCAAACTGCAGTTAAAGTCGACAAACTAAAAATGAAACACCCAAAATTAAACAAAACTCCGCTGTAAATGTGGGTAGTGTGGTGACACTATTACATTAATCAAATTGTTTGTTTCAACATGTAAAACGAGATCATGAAAGGAACATTCAGAAAGCAACTCATGAAAACACAATCATATTATTGTCTTATTCAGATTAAGTCAAACTATTTAATAACTGATGTCCATCTAAACGTAGTCACTGTCATCATGGCAAAGACAAAAGAAATTAATTGCTAAAACTATTATGTTTAAAATTTGTTGAAAAAAATCTTCTCTCCATTAAACAACATGAAACAACAAATTTTAAGGAGGCCTAAAAATTTCAACTTCAACTGTACTATCTCTTGAAATTTAGCAAGCATTTGGATGTGCCGATGCTAAAAAAAAACGCATTTACCTCAAACTGGTCTTCCTCTTTCCCATCTGTTTGTCTGGAGACTGATTCTCACCGCCACTGTAACTCTTCCTGGCTGATCCATCGAGAAACCGGTAGAGACTACAGCTGGAGTCCTCAAAGCTCATTTCTTTCTCTCGTCTGAAGAGTTTCATCCCAATGGGTTCGAACACTCTAGACTCCATAAGGGCCTGGCAGAGCCGGGCAGCTTTGAGACGTGACACTTCGCTGGAGCAGAAGTAGATGTTCTGCATGAGGTGGCTCAAAACCACGTCCACCGCATCAGTGCCTGTGAAGCAGTCATGGTGGACGCGCAGATGTTGTCTTCGGGGACGAAGCTCCACTTGAGTCCTCAGAGCTTCAATGATGTTCTGCCATAGTTGAGTGGCTCTGAAGGGCCCAGAGAAACCTGAGAGATATCAGAATATAAAGATGCAGTCACACTTTATTTTAAGCTTCAATTCTCGTTATAAACAAACCAATAATTGTAACTTTTTGTCTCAGTAATTTGCTGCTTATTAGTAAGGTAGTAGTTACGTTTAGGATAAGGAATGTGGAATAAAATCATGCAGAACATGTATTTTATAATAAGCATTTAAAAAAAGCTGACAATATGTTAACAATAAGCATTTATTTGATACAACTTAATTGTTTTATGTTTAATCGACTTAAATTTGTTAAAACCAATCAACGTTTTGAGTTTGATTTGAGAAAATATAAATGAATTGTTTGGAACCCTGCTATTTTTTTTACAATGCATCTTAAAATAATATATTTATATTCAAATGAGGTGTTGAGGTAAAAAAAAAAATACAACCTTAATGTAATATTTTGTATGGCCTCCTTGATTTTTCCACTTTATTAAACATTTTATTTAACATTTTCTCCTAATATATTAATTTTGGGGCACTCGTTTTTGCACCATTGAGCAATTTTGTTGAATTAGTTCCAGTTTTGGTTTCAGTACTGACTAATCTAATGTAAAACCAACAAATCAGATTTGCACAAATATCACATGGTAAATTATACCATAGAGAAGAAATCTGATGCTAGGGTGTACTTATTTACACTCAGCAACAATCTTTTAAACACTTTCATACCAAAAGTATGTAAACTGATTTCTTTTTAATATAGTATCATAACTTTTACATAAATTACCAATGAATGACTTAAATGATCAGCTTAATCAAAACTTTTCTGAAATACCCATTTTTAAAGATTCAACTACATGCTTTCTGTCACCTGATTGATGAATTAAAATATTTTATGAGAACAAAACAGAATGTGAGATAAAAGCAAACTAAAGTTTTTAAGCATCCAGGCAATAAAAGTGTTACACACATTTTTTGTCATATAATAGAATGAGTCCTGTTTAATGAAAATGTATTTTTTTAGCAAAAATATTAAAGATCACACATTTTTACAATTATTTTAAGAAGACACCCACTAAAACATATTTTAGTGCAAGGATGGTTTAGAAAACCAACCTTTTGGCTGGTATATTTACATAATATAATAAATAAATAAATAAATTACAAGATGGATACTTATTGGATTCTACGAATGTTACTGAGCAATTCCGGACAAATGTCAACCTTGACATGAAAAAAAATTCAGTTTTCACCAAAATACGGAAACCGCTTCTGGGTTTTTTGGGCAAGCAAGTATTTTACAGTACTGTAGAAATACTCAAAAATTTATCTGTCTATGTTTTCAAACTATTCTATTTGATTTACCAAAGTCACACAAGAGGTGATTTTAAATTTGTCACATCCATAACAGAGAAATGTCACATCCATAACGACACTTTTTCCTCATAAATGTGAAAATATGAAATTAAATTAAACCAATGAATTATGTTTTACAGAGAGCCAACTTATGTCCTTTTGATTAATATTGTTTCTTTTGGGTTGTGCAGTTTAATTCACAGAATTTCTACAAAGTATGTTGTTTACTGTAAACCTGGAGACTTTTTTGTCACATCCGTAACGCATGCTTATATTCCTCATTTTAAGTACAAAACATGTATACAGATTGATATTTTTCTGGTCTCTTAACTCTGTGGTCAGTTGCTCTGGAAAATAAAAACAAAATTTTCAATATAATGTAAACTTATACTTTCTATGCGATTTTATGTTTTGAGTTTTTACTGCAAATGTCACATCCATAACGCTGGAATTGCTTTACTATATTATATATATATATATATATATATATATATATATATATTAAGAAATTGTTTGAAAATACATAAATTTTATGATGAAAAAATACTTGTAAATAAATAAATAAATAAATAAATAAGATAATTACATCACATCTTGTAGATTTCACAAATAAAAATAATAACATATGCATTAAGCTGCATATTTTTATTCAGTTTTTAATACAACATTTTATACAATTTTAAAAAGTCTTAAAGTTTCATAATCTTACAATATTTTATACAATGGCCAGATACCAAAACTATTACAAACATAATACACGTTTTCAACTTAAAATATATTGTCTACGAGATTGGGCTAGCTTTTGTAACTTTTAACTATTAACAATTAATTATAACTATTTGATATGTTTATACTGAGTTTATACAGATTATTTTGATAACACTTTGACATTATGCAAAACTGTTACAGTGACCGCATAACTGTTATTTGTCTATATGCAAAAATATTAATAATCTACTATATAATACAAACATAAAACACATTTTCAATTTACAATATTTTGTCTACGTTTTTACCATTAGACTATGGCTAGTTTTTGTAACTATAAACGCTTAATTATAACTATATTTTCATGTTTATGCTATGTTGATAGGGATTCTTTTTGGTAACACTTTGACATTGTCACCGTGACCGTAATTTCTTTACATTCAAAAATAATAAACCACTTGCTTTCATAAAATCTACCATGATTAATACTAGTTTTAAATCAGACACAGTTTTATGTGAAACGTTGAAGAATTCATCACAAATAAAGCATAATGTAAACAGTGGACGGTAGCTGTATAGCCTGATAAGGATCTTGATCATTTTGCTTTAGTATGCTATCAGACTGGTGTAAATAAACCGGTAACGAAAAAATAAATGTCGTCGAAAAAAAACACGCATCATATAAGCGTTAGTTTGTACCTGGCAGCTGCTTATTTTCTCTGAAACATGTTTGACTGTTCAGCCTTCTAAACCGCGGAGTCAAATCCACCGCCATCGCGGCATCGGAAATGACGTCACCGGTTCAGCTCAATCTGTAACGTTCATCGATGTGACGGAGCTCTGATCTGAGTTCAGCTGCAGTTTTCTGTGCCTACGGTGGATTCTGTCTGTTTGGTGTGAAAAATCTGATCCCAGATCCATGTTCTGCCACTGCTGTGCTGCCAAAGTCAGCTCATACGCAGTTACAATTTCGACACCCCAGTCTCTTTTAGAGTAGTTTTTCTAGATTTAATTTGCCATTGACACCATCATAAAACGCAAAAGGCATCAACTCTTTATTATTTATCACTATTCTTTATATATTTGGTTTGTTTAAACCGATTTTGAATTACTTATTTGAATATTAATAATACATTTTTGAGTTATTATATAATTGTAACAATTTGAATATTTGAATAAACTTTTATGTATTTGTTATTTAATGTAATACAAATGTCTTTCAAATTTGAAATCATTGTTTTTTCTTATTACAGTTATCACTTTTCTGAAGGAATAAAATTACTTTTTAAATTTTTAATTTAGATGAAAAGGTTATTAGATTTATAAAATAAAAAATAAAGGCAGAAAAACATAAATGTCAAGTGTTTTCTTTGTCATAGCTGTACATAATGTTTTGTTTGAGCCTATACTGTAGTCAAAATTATTTAGAAATGTATTATGCATTATTGTATTCAATTATATTGACGATAAACTTTTACATATAACCATTATACATGGAATAATTGTTCATTTCACAGCAGTTTTGTTTCCACTCTAGGTGATTGTGAAAGTGTTGCGGTTGGTGACTGCGGTGTTATTGTCCCGTAAACACAAAACTGGTTCACAATAATCACGTGTTTCTTCTCACAGCATCTGTTTCTTAAATCTGCAGCTTTATTTTGGGGTATTATTAAACGAGCCTCTTTTGTTTTGAACGGTCAGTGGACTCACTCGCATGTCCTCTCCGGAGTGACGTCACGGAGGGACACTCCACGCGACAAGTGTGTAGACAAGATGGCGCTTGCTGTTGTGCCACAGAAGTAACCAGTGCTTGACGAAAAATCAGGTTAGTAAAATATCACCTTTTAAAAACAACTCCCACCGCATCGGGTTTACATTGGCGGCGGAAATCAAACGCCATCAGTATATTTCAACCGTTAAGCATGCTAGTCTTACTCCAGTCTTGTGTGATTTTAGCATTAGCACACTAGCATCTCGTGTGCTTGTTAACTTTCCTCTATAACAGGCTTAATAGAGATACTGAACTAGCTGAGCCGCTCTGAACTCAGCAGCTAAACCGGTTAGATCTTTAAAACTAGGAAGATGATGGAGGTGGTTAAGCTTAGCAGCATTCGCCATTCGCGCGCCTAAACGCCTTCAAAGTCAACCTGGTAGTTTAACTAGTTAAATGAGATCAACACGACTGCACATATTCGTTTAATCACTACCTTATACTTGAATGAGTGTAAAATCAGATTGATTAAAAACAAGCAATAGATATGCATGAACAAAAAACCCAAATCAATATTAATGTGCTTTACGTAAAATGAACGTGCTAAACAAACTACTGTAAATAAATTAGGTGTATTTGTAGCTTGTTTTTGTTAAACACACGTGGGGCCCTGAGGAACCGGGGTGTTATTTTGGTCGTGACACAGATAATCAGGCGACTGTGGAGCTAAATAAGGTACTCACGTTTGCTTAAGCCGGGTTGTTTACATGCTAAGCTAAATACTTACTGATGTTAACAAGCCTGGAGTCGGTGCCCTAGTTTAGTTTCGTTTAGTTTTACAGATTAATTTTGATAACATCATAATATTTCCTGTTTCTAGACATGTAGCACCATGTAAATACCGTGGTTCATGTAATGGCTTGTAAATACCACGTTATTTGAATATGGTCCTGATGTATATAATTTCAATAGGTTTTTTGAAAGTGTATTATCGTGTTACTTTAAAGTACCTCAGTGTGCTTAAGTATCATGTAATATAACACACACACACACACACACACACATATATATATGAGCAATTCAGGTGTTATGGATGTGACCTTCGCTGTGAAATCTCAAAACATAAAATCACTGAGAAAGTATACATTAACATAATATCAAAATATCTGTTTGTATATATATATATATTTTTTAAACAGCTAACCACAGAGTTATGGGAGCAGAAAAAATATCAATCTGTAAACATTTTTTATATTTGAAATGAGGTAGAAAAACATAAACATTGTGTGTATGGATGTGATTTAAAAAAAAAAAAAAAACGTCTGCGGGTTTATAACATACAACATACTTTGTAGAAATTCTGTGAATTAAACTGCACAATCCAAAAGAAATTATGATACTCAAAAGAATAAGAGTTGGCTTACTATAAAACAAAAAAAATGATTGATTAGATTTTATTTGACATTTTTGCATTTATGAGGGTAAAGCTTCGTTACGGATGCAATTTTTCTTTCGTTATAGATGTGACATGTGAAAATGCCATTAGTGTGACTGGTAAATCAATTATGGTAGTTTGTAAACACTAAGAGAGACATATTTTGAGAATATTAAATGTCATCTAAAATACTTGCTTAGACAAAAACAAATCTAGAAATTAGATTCAAAATAGTGAACATTTATTATTTTTAGTTTGGAAGGAAAATAAGTCTCAAGGAATTTTTTAGAATCAAACAAAAATGCAGCTTTGCTCGAACAAATGCATTGTAATTTTATATAATTGGTCAACACCATGTTTTAACTTCATCTAAGAGTAAAAAATTCAATATTTGGTGGAAGAACTCTCATTTTTAATCACAACAAATACTTTTTTTTTTTTTTTATTCTGACCAGTTTTTATTTTCTGAGGGGAAAGTTAATTTGAAATATAGAAGAACCTTTATCTTACAATTATTGAATAAAACAAATATGGAAATTTTACATAATTACCTCAACATAATAAAAAGCTAGTAAATCCTGAGAAGCTAAGAATTTTTTCCATAGATGTGTGCATAATCTCTATCTTTCTCTCTCTCTCTCTTTGTCAGTGTAAATCTTTGCAGGAAAAAAATTCTTTCTCCTGTAGTGTTCTTGGAAATTGGTTTTATTGTGTCTCTCTTAAATTGCTCTCTTGTTATGGCATTGTGTACACTGTGTTTACCACGGTTCATTTGATACGGGATCACTGATCAAACTAAATACTGTAAACAATGACGCATATGCACTGTCGTTACAAAGTGTGGGGTTGGTAAGAGTTTAAAGTTTTTAAGAGCACCAAAATACAGTTAAAATGCTTGTTAATTGTGTTAATTGTGTGTGTGCGCACACTATTTACACTATCATAAATATTCTGAAATGTAAAATGACTATGCAAATCTTTATTTATTTAACTCATTTGTATTGTTCTAATACATTTTAGATGATTTATTTTAGTCCTAATTAAACATATTTGTTTAATTAATATAAAATAATAATTCTTAGATTATTAGACTATTTTGTTTTACTTATTTATCTTACACAGTGTCATCTAAAGAAAATCTTCTAGTAATAAAAACGTTATATTGCAATGTAAACTAAATGTTTTGGTTTTTATATTATAATTTCCAAAGACATTTTTTTCCTATAAAGGCCAAGCCGAACTTTCAAAAGTAATTATTACATCAGTTTTTACTGTCACATGATCCATCAGAAAACATTCTAATTGGCTGATAAGCATCTGAAAAGCATGATGCAATTTACATTTTTAAGAGTTTTTGATAAATACAAAAGAGCAGCAGTCAACAGAAGACTTTGTAACTACATATCACTTTAGCATGAAAAAGCATCTTACTGACCCTAGAACAAAATATATTGATACTGTCAGATTTTCTATTATTTGAATTAATCTATTCTAATTGAACTTATCTTTAAATTGGATTTTATAGATACATTATTATATATTCTTCACATAAAACACATTCATTCTCATCTAATCCTATTGTTTCTGTAGATTAACCATCATGCCTTGGGAGGAGTTGGTTTCACTGCTGGCTGCCGTCACAATAGTGATGTGAGGAGGGCAGTGACCGACTGTGATGGACAGGTGTAAGCACGTGGGTCGCTTAAGGCTTGCGCAGGACCACTCGATCCTGAACCCGCAGAAATGGCACTGTGTGGACTGCAACACCACCGAGTCGGTGTGGGCATGTCTTAGCTGTTCTCATGTAGCATGTGGACGCTACATAGAGGAACATGCGCTTCAGCACTTTAAGGTATGCTTAGATCTTATGTACAATAAAGCTGTAAAAGACATTAATTAATGTTGTGACCGATAGAATAGGATAAAAAGTCCACAAAAATGTTATATTAAAGGTCGAGTAGGTGATTGTCTTCAGAAACATTTTTTGTTGTGCTGGTTGAAAGTTTCTTTACATTCCAATAGTAATGATTAAAGTAAATGATCTAAATGTATTTATATGTATTTTTATATTCAGGATAAGGCATAAAACTAAATGTTCGTCCAATTAAATATTGTCTGGTCGACAAGTAACTCTATTACGTCAGGTATCTCAAACTGTCTGTCAACAAATTTAAATTTGAATTTCTGCGCAGCCTCTTTAAGCAGACAGATACATCACTCCCACGCACTACCAGACTAGAGATGTCATCTGGCGTCAACCTGAACTTCTTTCTGAAAGTCTATCGAATGGCCTTGAATGCATGAAAAGAAAGATTTTTCTAAAAAGGTTTCTGCCAAAAATACAGAATCAAAACTTTTCTAAACCGTGAAACAATATCGGAATTACTTTTGCATGCTTTAGGTTAATGATGTTATGCTGTTCAAATCAACGATCTGAAGGATGACACCATGGCTGAACTATTTATTGTAGACGGGTTTGTTTTAAAACTATTTTAGTCACGCAAAGCTTATGTCGTCTCTTTTTTTGTTTATGAATGAGTTTATATGCACGGCAGTGTTGTTCATACATTGAAAATGTTCCGCAAAAGATTGGCAATATATTGTCAAGTTCATGAAGTACCTTTTACAGCATCGATAATATAGTCGGTTAAATAGACCTGAGCATTCATTAAGTTGTTCAGCTGTAAAAGGAGCTGAAAAAAGCGATGTATGAGGATCAGCGAGCACGATTAAAAATCAAAAGTTACTCGTTGGCCTGATAACATATACATAAGTGTAATGAAAAAAGATGACAGGATATTTCTGTTTTTAGCAAAACATATTCTTGTGAAATGTCCCATTTTTAATGTTCTCAGACAACAATTTTTATCTGGAGAGACTTTAAAGGAAATATTTTTAAATGTGAATCCATCTAAAATTGTAGAATTTTTATCAAAAGGAAATCTTAAACTGTTTTAGATTTTTATCTTATATGTTATCATTATTATTATTATTATTTATGTATTTTACCCTGTACATTATTTATTGCTGTTGATTACTTTTAAATTAAAAGAAAATTGGTGTTTATAAAAAGTGATAAACTTGATCTATTTTCTTTTTGCCATGAAATAGCCATAGAAGCTGAAATGGCAATACAATTAAAACTCTCTCTCTCTCTCTCTCTCTCTCTCTCTCTCTCTCTCTCTCTTTCTCTCTCTCTCTCTCTCTCTCTCTCTAAAAGAGTTTTTAGCACTCCTTTTTCTGATCAAATTTTTATTTAGTTTAATAACAAAACAAAAGTAAATGTGCTCTTCCGCCTAACCAGCTTTACTGAGAAGTTTGATTTATATTCACACATTTGTTTATTTTTGAACAGTGGCTACCTGTGAACAGATTCTTCATAGAATCTTTTTAACAGTTGAATTACATGATCAAGTGTTATATCTAATCAGTGCTTATTCGCATGTTCATGACTTAAGGAGGCGTGGCTTTTGGATGGCAGGGGAGGCTCGTAAAATGTCTAAGCTATTATGCTAATGCTAGCATTCTGGCAGATCACTTACTGCACCATTTAAAAAATCCTAATGTAAGAAGAACGTTTTTTTTTTTTTTACTTCATTCAAACAAACTAATGAATTAGACATGGCTGTTTTTTAAAAGGTCAAGAACCAATATTTGTTTGACTAAAATCCCTTTTAAACATTTTATTTGGACTGTTTTAAGGCAATTTGACAATAATTTTATTCAAAGGTATCTTCAACAAATTAATTTACTACAGGGCCTAATGGAATATTTCTGGAGTTCTAGACAGACATTGAATGTCAGATAATTTTATATTTGTCTTGGAATATAATGATGTTTGTTTGTCAATTGAATTATTACATTTCATTTATCAATTTAATTTTGTGTTGTTAAATTTAAATTTGCAAAATGTGATTTTGCCTATTGTTATAGTTAGTATTTTTTTCTGTGCTATTTTATTCCTTTTCCGCTTGTCAACTACCAAGCAAATATATTAAAACTTTGATTTCGGACGTTTTTTCTTGTACTGAAAATAAACGCAAGTGAATGAGTCCATTTTTATTTACAACAGCAATGCCATGCTTAAGTAAAAAATAAGGTGGGATATGTTATGGAAAATCTGTGAAAATCAGGGTAAACCTTACCCTCAAAGTATGACCTGAATGTATTGGTCTAGTGTTAATCTGAAATGTATTTTAACAGTATGTGCGCAACGTTTGTTTTTTTTTTTAATGCAAACTCTTAAAAGTTAAACAACTTATAGAAAAATCCCATAATGTAAATAGGTTGTCATTTAGTAACAATATGTCAATAACTCAATTTTGACAAAAATGTCTGATAGAACCTTATATTTCTAAGGTGACGAATTGTATTTTGGTGTACATGGTAAGACACCACGAAGGTAGACTTGGTGCTGGCATAAATAAACAAACAAATAAATAAATGCAAATAAAAAAAAATTTATACAAATAATATTGAGAATTATAATCTCTGTTTTTTAGGTATTTGCCATGTCACCTTCAGATGTATAACATTTAAAAACAATCAAGTTCTTATCAGAAAAGAACAGTCTAATTCTGGAAGAATCTTTCATTTCATTTGTTTATAAAGCACAAATAAACACAAAAGTAGTTTACCAAAGTGCTTTACGAGATATAAGATATCAACATAACAGTAGACAGAAGGTAAAAGGGTAGAGAAAGATAAGTATAAAATACTAATAAAAGAGGCCATAATTTGAGTTTAAATATTGTTTCATTGATTTTGTTTTCATAATGAAGTTTCATTTGTTCATAGGAGCAGCACCACCCTTTGGCCCTGGAGGTGAATGAGTTGTATGTGTACTGCTACTTGTGTGATGACTACGTGCTGAATGATAATGCGACAGGTGACTTAAAGCTGTTGCGAAGCACGTTAAGTGCTATTAAGAGCCAGTGCTATGAAGTCACCACACGTAGTGGCCGTACCCTTCGCTCATCCTCTGCTAATGGAGATCAGCTATCACCTAGCACGCAGGAGCTGCAGTTGCGGGATGAGGACCGCATGTTCACTGCATTGTGGCACCGCCGGCGTGCTCTAATCGGTCGCCTTTTTCGCCTGTGGTTCGCACAAACTGAACGGGGAAAGAAGCGTTTGGAGGAGGAACGGCAACAGGAGGAAGAGGAGGAGAGGAAGCGTGAAGCACGGGAAAGAAGACGGCAACTCAAACGGCAGCTCAAGGAAGAGTTGGAAAGTGCACCTCCTAGGAAGAGCCATCGCATTCGACGACAGAGCTTGAAGGCAACTTCTGTGAAACCTGCAAGAGCACCAGCCAAAAGCACTAAATCTGTGAGGCGCAGGTCTGCTCCTGCTCGCGTCTCCACTCCTACTCCACGAACTCCTAGAGAGAGAACTCCTCAACAGAGGCCCCGTCCACAAGCCAAGGCCAAACGGCCACAGGCTCCACCTTCTAAAACAGGCGATTCGCCCGTCAAACGGCGACCTACTGTAACTCCAGGAGTGACAGGTTTGCGCAACCTTGGCAATACTTGCTACATGAACTCGATATTGCAGGTTCTGAGTCACTTGCATGTATTCCGGGAGTGCTTTTTGAGACTGGATCTGAACCAAGCGCTGGAACTGCTAGCCTCTGCGGTCAGCCGCAAGTTAGGACTCTCTGCTCAGCGCGTGATCCAGCCCAAAGGCCTTAATCAGGGGTCCGGACTCAGTGGAGGAGCCTCCCGTTCACGCAACATGGAGCTCATACAACCCAAGGAGCCCAGCTCCAAACATATCTCGCTTTGTCACGAATTACACACACTCTTTCAGGTGATGTGGTCAGGCAAGTGGGCTCTGGTTTCCCCATTTGCAATGCTGCATTCTGTGTGGCAGCTGATTCCAGCGTTCCGAGGTTATGCACAGCAGGATGCGCAGGAATTTCTTTGTGAACTTTTAGATAAAGTCCAGCATGAGCTGGAACGGACCAGAACATTAACACCTGCCACTGTTCCGGCCAACCAGAGACGCCTTATCAAACAGGTGCTCAGTGTGGTCAATACCATCTTTCATGGCCAGCTCCTCAGTCAGGTAATGAGTTTCCTGATTAATATGTAAACATTAAACCAGCTACAGACTGTACAAGTACTCACAGTGGGTCAAGGGTGACAGTTGCAAGGCTTCAGTCTTGTGCTCAATCTTTATATCTGTTTTTTTATGGAAGTTCGTTCCCACCACTGAATAAAAAAAAGACAGAAAAAATGATAAAATCAGAATTCTGAGTTATAAAGTCAGAATTTTAAGTTATAAGAGTTTCCTGTTATGGTGACTGACCATAAATGGAATGTTAAAGACTCATTCTTAGGTTCTCTGCTCTGTGAAACTCAGAATTCTGACTCTATAACTTGAAATTCTAACTTTATAACTTGATATTGCGACTTTATAACTCAAAATTCTGACTTTCTAAATTGGAATTGCGACTTCATAACTTGGTATTGTGACTTTATAACTTAGAAATGGTCTGACTTTATAACTTGGAATTCTGACTTTATAACTCTTAATTCTGACTTTGTATTTCCAAATTCTGACTTTATAAATCAGAATTGCGACTTTTTTAGTTTTTTTTTTCCATTAAATAATTTAGTTTTTATTGTTCAGAGGCAGGAAAGCGCTTCCATTGTTCTTGCATGGCTATGGTGGTAAAAAAAAAACTCTGATAGTGAGACGTTGAATCATTTCATTACTAGTAATTCTGAAAGATTCTTTGCTGATTTTTGCCATGCCCATGAAGTCCATAAATACGTAAACTAGGGGTGTCCAGTCCTGCTCCTGGGATACAAAAGTCCTAAATGGTTTGGTACAACCTGTCCTAAACGTACCTGCTTGAAAGTTTATAGAAATCATAAAGACCTTTAGAACTTGCCTAATTTGTTTTCGAGGTTAGAGTTGCCCTCCAGGAGCAAGACTGGGTGCCCTAGTGTAGGGTGTCCTAGTTGACATTTTTAGGTTCCAGAAGTATGTTCCCAAGTGTCCAAAGCTGCTGTAGGCCATTGATGTGCACTTTTGTGGAGGTCGTGTAGGCCTAGGTTCAGCAGAAGCACACATTGATGACAAATACTTATCTATGTAGAAAGTACAGAGATCAGCAAAGAGTTAAGTGTGGCATCTGGGACCAAATAAAAACTGGGGGCAGTGCACTGTTTAAACTGCATGATTTGTTTCATCAGTGGTGCCACAAGGGGTGCTGTAAAGCATACTTGTGACAGCTTTTTCGTCCACTATGACAAATGTTGAGACAAACACTGGTATTATTTTACTAAAGTGTCATGTTTTTTTTTTTGCTTGTAGGTGAGGTGTTTAGCATGCGATCATCGCTCAAACACAATTGAGCCCTTCTGGGATCTTTCTCTGGAATTCCCTGAACGATACCACAGCAACAGTAAGGATGCTGCACAAGTTCCTTGTGGCTTGACAGAGATGCTGGCTAAGTTTACAGAGACTGAGGCATTGGAAGGAGCCATATATGCTTGCGACTACTGCAACAGTGAGTTGGAAACATTAAAGGAACACTTCGCATTTTTGGAAATAGGCCTCAATAGGTTCAGTCCCATGGAATTATACTGCGATTTAGCCTACCTCTGGGTCTGGTGGTAGCACTTTTAGCTTAGTTTAGCATGATTCATTGAATTAGATCACACCATTAGTGAAAAAACACCAGAAAGTGAAAAGTATTTTTTTACGCCAATATGGCTAGGAAATACACTCTCATTCTGGTAATGATCCAAAAGACTGTGATAAAAGCCCAAATCAACGATCTAAAATCAAAAAAAGAGAACACTTTCAATTTTTACATCAAAGTTTTACCAAAAAAAGACAATCCCACTGGTCAAAAACAAATCGATGTACTTACACATTTTTTTGTTTTGCTTTCTCTATTAGACAAACGACGGCGATTCTGTTCGAAGCAGGTGGTCTTGACTGAAGCTCAGAAACAGCTAATGGTTCACAAACTGCCTCATGTTCTCAGATTGCACCTCAAACGATTCAGGTATCCACACACATGCATTTTTCACAACTTTGAGGTTTCTGTGGTCAATCCATTGTTAATGCATGTATATGTTTAGGTGGTCCGGTCGAAACCACAGGGAGAAGATCGGTGTTCATGTTCAGTTTGAGCAGGAGCTGAACATGGAGCCGTACTGCTGCAAAGACTCCGGCAACTTACCCCATCCTCAACACTTCCTCTACCAACTTTCTGCTGTCGTCATGCATCACGGGAAGGGATTCGGATCAGGCCATTACACTGCCTTTTGTTATAATACTGAAGGAGGTAAAACATTATTCTTTGCATCTGCCATTTCAATGAAGAATCCTGTTTGTTGGTTTTTTATGTAATAAATATACACAAATGAACTAATTCTTATACTAAATAAATTGCTCTGGAACCAAAAGAAACTTAACAACAGAATAAATTAAATTGAAATTTAAGAGACTAAAGGTTTCTATAATTGGATTAAAATGAAATACTATGTATAAAATATCTAATTAGAAAATATATTTTTCTTTAAGTGAAACTGTGTAATACTTATCAAATACTCAAGTTTTTCATGTTTCAAATATGTCACTTTGCATGTTTGGTTGCTTGATCTTTCTAATGCTGTGTTCACACCAGATATGGCATGCGCAAATACATCACACTTTTTTATATTATATTTTGAGTTTGCCCACTTCATTTTCATGTCAAATTCACTTCACAATAGACGTTGATTCAAGTCATGGGCAAGGTTTTTGTCTGCCTGGTGACTCTAGCTTCGTTGCTAAATGGCTAGCAAGGATTTTATTGAGAAAGTAGCTGTGCTTTGTGCTTTAGGCTGTGTGTTTGTATAGCCCTCATCGACGCTGATGTGCACCTCTCAAAAAATGTAACTACACGTCGCAACGACGTATAGCGCAATTGTGATTGGTCGCCTTGGTAGCAAGTGTGGGCAGGACTGAGAGTCATGCGAACCCGTTGGAGCGAGTGTTTACAAGTGTTGAGTCCTGTGAAGGAGCTCCAGATGGAAAGTTTTGTTTTTTGTTTCCCTAATGATCAAAGTTGCTGCACGATCGCCAGTTCCCGCCTTAAAATGAGCAAGTTTGACTTGTACATTAAAGTAGTGAAAAAACAAAAACACCAGCGGAGAAACTTGACACAGAGCAACATTAAAACCTACTGCCAGCTAGCGTTTCAGATGTTATTGCATAGCAATACAAAAAACATGCAGAAGTATAAATGCACGGCAACACACAAGGTTTGCGCCGTGGGTCACGCCGCATAATCAGGCTTTAGGAAGACTGATAAACAGCGTAGATTTGTTTGGCGCCTTGAGTCCACTAGATCCTTTTAGAGGTGCACCCAGCACCGTGAGTTCATCAACTCCTTCAGAAACTACAGTATATCTGGATGAGGAAGGCTTTCAGCCGTGCTTCAGACTTGAGCCGAGCCCAGTTTGATGAGCTATTGTCTGGTGTCGACAGGAGGATTTTCCCTCAGGCTACGTCATAATCACACCCAAACTAGAGCAAGCTCCTGATTGGTTAATGCACCGCAAATCTCAGCTTGAGTTCAAATTTTTCAATTCAAATGAAACGTGCAAAACATTTAATTGTGCCACTTCTATTGTGTGAATTGTTTCATTCACGCCGCCTCATTTGCATGAATCGCGCCCCAAGATCTCTTTTCACATCTTTGCATTGACTTGTTAATCACTCGCGATTGACTATTCATCCGCGTCTCGTGTAAACGCACCATTGAGTTGCTTTGGAATATAAAACTATTTAATTCGCTGTTCACTACATTATTATTTTAAATGCCATTTGATAACTGCACAGTTAAAATTAAAACACGGTAATGTGCAATGCGCTTTCAAATAAAAGGAAATATGACTGAGCAAATGAAAGTGGTAAAAGAAGCTCACACAAGACATTTTAATAGGCTTAAAGGGATCGTGCACACAAAAGGAAATATTTATTCTTCCTCATGTGGTTCCAAACTATGGCTTCACAATATATTGTTTATCATCAATATCACAATATTTGCATTCACAGTAGTCACATTGCAGTATTTACAATGTTGAGTTGGGATTATGGTTGATCAGCAATGAAGATTCTACAGTTTTATTTTACTTTTTACATTACATTTAATCATTCAGTTGCACTCAAATCATATTTGGCTCCTGTATTGCTCCTCAGAAAACCATAAAGCACTACTTATTTCACCTTTATTTTATTAACGCTTGCAATTTGTTCGATTCACTCGGCTACAAGAGTATTTCAATCAATCTAAATTAAAGATGCCATTCCATATAGAGCTATTGAAGTCATCTGCTGAAGTTATATTCATATCGCAATGTCCGATTTTTCCAATATCGTGCACCCCTATTTCAAACCTTTGTGTTAAAAACAAAAAAAATCTATAGAGTTTAAAAAAGATATTTTACATTTTGAAAAATCCTATGGTTTACTCACCCTTGTTTTAAATCTTTTAAGTTTTTTTTTCTGTTAAATGCAAAGGAAACTTGTATCTAATGACTTCCATAGCATTTGTTTTTGTACTTTGGAAATCAATGGTTACAGGTTTCCAACATTTTTCAAAATACTTTTTGTGTTTAACATGAGATTTGAAACTAGTAAAGGATGAATAAATGACAACAGAAAGTATTTTATATATACAGGCATTCTTTTAGTGATTACCAAAAATGTATCCATATTTGACTCCTGGAAAAAGTGGTATAGGAGCATCCTTAATAACATACACCCAGTAATTCATTTTTATAGAATAGTTTCTCCATAAATAGACAGTTTGGACATCTTAATAGCTCAAAAACACATTCTTTTCTCCTAAGAAAGACTTCAGCAAAAATACAGTAGTTCTATTTGTACTTTAAACCTTCATACCATGCCTCATACGGTAAACATAATTAAAAGAAATTTAATTAAAACGAATTTAAAAAAACGTTTTCTCTTCCTCCACAAATTCCAAATCTGTTTGAACACAACCTGTTGAATACAAAACAAGATATTATGAAGAATGTCGCAAACCAGTAATCATTGACTTCCATAGTATCTGCTTGTTAAGGCATGATGTATGTAATACTGTTTCCACGTTCAAGCCGCTACATATTTGAATTGAGAAAATATTCGTTTATAACCACTTTTTTGTCATGTCATACACATTCAAGTGAATTTTATATAAAATGATTGTGTACACAACAGTCTCTGGATTTGTTGCATCACAGACATCAATGTTTGAACAATTTATAAATAATCAATCACTTTCTGGCCATCTGTTATTAGCCATGGTTATTTATTGCGATCATGATTTTTGAAAGTATTACAGTGCTTTGTAAACATTTATTATTACCATTTGTTAGTCTCCCCATACAGTTAAATTGAGCACTTGGACCCGGAAGCCACTTAGCGTGACGTCACACTTAACAAGCGGATATGTACTTTTCCCACTATGTGTGTTAATTGCTATTGGTCATCAGCATTCTTCAAAATATCTTCTTTTGTGTTTAACTCATACAGTTTTAAATGCTCAGTACATTTCATTTTATTAGGTGAACGATCATTTTAAATACACATGGTTCCCTTAATGATTCAGTAATTCAGAACACAAGTCTTAAAGGCATCTTTAATTAACGCATCTTCTCTCTTTCTCTCTGTTTCCAGGGTTTTGGGTGCACTGTAATGACTCTAAACTGAGTGTCTGCGCGGTGGAGGAAGTGTGTAAGGCCCAGGCCTACATTCTCTTTTACACGCAAAGAAACGCTCAGGACAAAAGCAAAGAGAGTGACCTCTGACCCTTCAGATGTAGAGACTGTCCGTTTGTACATTCTGTTCATATAGTTTCGGGACGGTTAGTATGTCTCCTTTTTCTAGTGTACAGCAAATGTGGAAGGGGGTATGTTTTTGTCACACGCACACTTATGCCTTACAGTTTTACAGATTTCAGCATCCTTGCAGTGATTGTAGCAATTCATTTGTGTGTGTGTATGTGTGTGTGTGTGCAAAGAGAGTGAATTTGGTCCAAGCCTGAGGCATTATTGGTCTCACTAGTGTCCGTGTTTATCGTCTGCAAACCAAAGTTGAGTTGTGAATGTGTACCGAGTCTGAAACATTCGTAGCGTCAGTATAAAAAGAGGTTTTCTGTCTTCATATCTCAAGTGTTTTATTATCTTCAGACAAATTATTTGTTTTTGATAAGTGCCCTGCCAAGTCAGATCAGTTTTAAGATGTTAATAACTTTTAAACGAGGCGCGATTCAGGAATTTTTCTGTCACCTTCTCAGAATGTAGTTTTTATACCTGGTATTTGGGTAGACAACTTTTTTTTCCCATTTTACAGGAAAATGTCAAAGATTTTTTCACCAGCAAAAAAAAAATAGACAATGTATGCTGTTATATTCTCCCTTTGTCTGTTTGTGGCGTGTAGACTCTCTTCTGTAGTTCGTACACTTATTTTAGATGTACGTGTTTGTTCGACTCTCATACACTCCTGCTCAAATCTCCTGTTTCCACATCTCGTTGGCTGTTCAAATCCATTTTCCTCCTCCGCTTTTGAGCAGGTATAGATGTAAAACTATGCAAATTGTTACCTCAATTCATAGAGAAATTTACCTCAATAAAAGGAGAATATTTTTGCATTTTTCTAAACAGCTCGTCTCGGTTTTCTGTACTGTGTTAAACTTGGGTGATTTGTTTTTTTTATGAAGTGCATATTGCTTTATATTTTACACTTTTGTTGAACAATTGAAAACACAAGGGGTCTGATTTATAAAACTTGGGTGTAAACCTTTCTAAAAATGATCATAACCCCAGAATATATTTTAATTAAATTATTAATGATGGCTCAAATGATCATTTAAACTGGTTTAGTAATTTTTTCCATTAACCTTTTATATATATATATATATATATATATATATATATAGAGAGAGAGAGAGAGAGAGAGAGAGAGAGAGAGAGAGAGAGATATCACGGCTTTTGTGTGAGAAATGAGGTATGTAGTTTTCTGCTCACCTTGTGCATCACGTTTATTAATGAAACCCCAGATTGTTCACATCATAAATCCTACAACAAACCATTCTAAAATTAACTCTAGCTCATATCATGATTAAATGGTTACACCATTTTATTCTATTCCAACCTGATCTCATGGGAAAACATAACGACCTTATCTTTTGATAAACTTGTAGCTAATTTATTTATTTATTTTTTAGAAAGAAAATATGTTCAAAACTGTAAGAATTCATACAAATTAGCTACTAAATTACCTATAATATTAATAAGTATGGAGTGAGTGATGACACTGTGACGGGTAGGGTTAGGTGAGCGCATAAAAAAAGCATTGGATGCAGCGCAAAATTGCACTGCACCAGGTCTGCATTCAGACCCCTCTCTGACTGGGCTGCAAATGGCCCGAGTTCGAATCCTGAATACTTGATGTATTTATTAATGTTACTTTATTTTTAAGTTTTCAGTCAAATGTCAGACCAATGTTAAAACAAAACACGTTACAAGAACAGAGCATTTAAAACCTAACATCTATTACTGCATCAACCTGGATTCAAACCCATCATCTCGACATGCTAGTAATGAACTCTCATCGCTTCACCAAATCACTTGAAACCTCAACTCTACAACGTGGAGTTTCACATCTCAAATTGCTTAACTCAGGGGTGTCCAAACTCGAACTCGGTCCTGGAGGGCCAGTGTCCTGCATAGTTTAGCTCCAACATCCTTCAACACACCTTCTTGTAAGTTTCTAGTATACCTAGACAAAGCTTAAGTAGCTGGTTCAGGTGTGTTTAATTGGGTTCGGAACTTAAATTTGCTGGACAATTGCCCTCCAGGACTGAGTTTGGCTTAACTGTTTCTTTGCTGAAGCAGTTTCAGAGCAATGCATATAAATGACCACTGGTGTCACTGTAGAGACAGGTTTCAACAGGTTAGCTTCGACTGTTTCAGTGTTTCATGAAGCCTCGCTTAGCCCCCCACTACATAGTAGTTTTCAAAAATGCTAATTTGAGTTGTCACGTAAACACCCCCCTCACATCCAAATAATGCAGTCATATGACAAAAGATTCAAACAATTTCAAGTACTGTACAATTTATTTTGTCTTTAAAAAAAAAACAGGGAGTTCAAAAGGTAGTATGTTCTAGATGAGACAGCCATTTGATATTTTACAAATATCAAAAACACTGTGAAAGCTGTGCGCATTACGATTTGCTTCCCGATGAATTTTGTTCATCTTGCAAAAGCCCTTCGGTGAAGTAAAGCCAAGCAGCCGTACTCTTTACACTCTCTCATTCACTACACAGAGTACAAATGAGTATAAAGTTTTTATCTCTCCAAACACCCAAAAACGTTAAATCGGGCACTGCCTCGTACCCGTGCATAGTAGTTTCATGCCTTACTTAATGCTGAGTATATGCTGTTCGCTAACAGCAGGCGTTCAGTTTTAAAATAGTTTGTTTTTTATAATGCCTATATGTTTTGTTTTTTGCATGGGACTGGAGTGTTTATGTTTTTTTTATACAGGACTGTGCAAAAGTCTTCGATCTCTAGTGTTTTTATCAACAAAAATGGTTTTGAGTCATTTATTTATTTCTTCATTTTCCTTGGGTTTAGTCCTGTTATTCATCAGGGTTATCCACATTGGAAAGAACCACCAACCTATCCAACATGTCTTTTGCACACTGGATGCCCTTCTAGCTGCAACCCATCACTGGGACACATCCAAGCACCTTCATTCACACACATACACTACGAACAATTTAGTTTATTCATTTCACCTATAGTGCATGTCTTTAGACTGTGGATAAAACGGAAGCACCCAGAGAAAACCCACGCCAACACGGGGAGAACATGCAAACTCCACACAGAAATGCAACATGAGCCAGATGGCACTCGAACCACTGATTTTCTTGTTGTGAGGAAACAGTGCTAACCACTGAGCTGCCATTTTATTTTATTTTTTATTTAATAAAAAAGACAGAATTTTAAGGAAATATCAGTTTACATTTCCAAACATTAATTTTTGCTATTAATTAATGGTAAAATTCATAAATTTTATTAAGTGAGATTTTTTTTTTTATCTGAAAGCTCCCCGTGCTCCACAGAGATTTGATCTAGCCATCATCATCATCAGACCCATAGCCAAAGTCTAGAATTTGACCCATATATGAGCTCATTTGTCTGATTTTTGACAGTATGGAATCATAAATTGTGAAAATAATCAATAAAAGAAAGATTTAAGACAAATTTATTGTTATTATTATTTAAATGGACAAATTCTGACTGAGGAAATGAGCTGGCCAGTTTGTTATTTGCCTATAGACCACAGTTTTTAATTTAAAACAAGTTTTAACAGATTCCTAGCCGTTTTTTTAATGATGGATGATAATAAATTAACATTTGAAAAAATAAGTATTATTTTATATTTCTTTTTTAAATCTCATTACATGATTTATAAAACTGCAATAACGTACATTTTAAATGCACATTTGGTAATAAACACACATTTTTTTAAACAAAGTAGTATGGAAAGCACAAAAAATTTGAAAATATATTTGTTGCATCAAAAAGCGTGGTAATGATAACTATCCAACAAGCTAATCCAAATATTTGTGCTTAAAATATCACTATATTCTAACCTCGTATTTTAATAGAAAATAAAGTGAATAACTGCTAAAAGTCCCTTTTTGAGGGGGAAAAAAATAACCACTCATTTTAATAGGCTGGCTACTGGCCTGATCTTAAAGAAATTTAGACAAACTACATCCAGAAAAACCAAGGAAACATCTTCAAGACACTTCAAGAAACCTGCTGGTAAAGCTTCAGTGCTATCTTAGACATTTGTGTAACGTGAGAATGCTTTCAAACATAATGTCATAAATAGATTTAATTTATCAACTGACTAAACTAAATCCTTTGCATTCAAAGTGGCATCTGTGCGCTTGCATACGGTTTTCAGCTTTCTTGAAGTATCTTTTAGATGTTGGAACAGTTCTTCTAGATTTATTTCAGTATTATTCAGTATTATTTATCTCAGTTTCTACTATTTCTTCATGATGATTGTGAGATCACATCTCTCTTTAGCAATGTATCACTAGTGATGGGAGAAACATCCCTTTTTAAGCTTCAAAAACAATAAGCCAATTGCTTTGCAAAATGATTCATGGTTTCAAAGCGCTTGAAGGGACACCTGCTGGTCAAAACCGTGTAAATGCAACAAAAAAATCAAGTGCATTCATTTTTTTCCCAAACACACTTCGAATTTTAAATTGAAAGTATAACATAAATACACTTCCATTATCTAATATGGTTAAACAGTAATTGTATGCATAATTTGCATTATTTCCGAAAGAAGCTACATGATTCATATAGGTACAACACGAATCGCCTCAAGCAGAGAAGCATTACATTTTTAAAACAATTCAAAACTAGTAATATGTAACAAAGCCCAATTTACTGAAATAACTGATTTAAACAAAACATTTGTAAATGTTAAGAAGCTTTGTGAAGTAGTGTTTCGAACGCTGTCATCACTAGCGTGCTGACTATTCATAGTCTCACTAGATTATTACAGTTAACGGAAAAACGCCAAAAGGTTTATATTTGAAAGCACCAAAACAAACATGTCTGAAACCTTCACCCTTTTTGATGTGTTTGCTGTCGTTATAGACACGCCCCTTACTGCTGATTGGCAAAAGTGCAGTGAATGTTTTTCAAATATTGCTTAGTTGACCTGTAAATCCAATGTTTTGGCCTAAAATGGCAGTTCATTAATTCATTTATTTTCTTTTTGGCGTAGACACTTTATTAATCTGGGGTCACCACAGCGGAATGAACCGGCAACTTATTCAACATATGTTTTACGCAACGGATGCCCTTCAAGCCGCAACCCATCACTGGGAAACAACCAATCATCCACACACATACATTAAAGATAATTTAGCGTACCCAATTCACCTATACTGCATGTCTTTGTACTTGTGGGGGTAACCGGGGCGCCCTGATGAATCTCACATGAACATGGGGAGAACATGCAAACTCCACACAGAAATCCCAACCGACCCAGCCAAGGCTCGAACCAGTGACCTTCTTGCTGTGAGGCGATTGTGCTTCCCACTGCACCACCACGTCGTCTAAAATGGCTGTTCACTCTATAAATTGTTAAATATAACGATAACTATATTTGTGTTTACACCAGCAAACAATAACAATCTGTTTATTTTTAGAACATGCTTTTATTTTTGCACTGCCACCTTGTAACCTGCAGATGTCCGCAGTGTGCTAGGATTCTAGTGCATCCAGTGAATCCAGCTTGTGTAATTATCAATTCAAGCAGTGAATTTAGCTATCGCGGTCAATGTTGACAAGTATTAAAAATGTATATATACCAGCACAAAGAAGCTAAACCTATACTTAACACCTGAGGTACTTTGCTTGCTTTTTTTGCTAAAATGTTATTATTCTCTTTAACAAAAACTAGTTTTCAATATAGCCATTATCTTTGATCTTTTAAAAGAAGGCTTAACATGACGCAATATGAGCTTCTCCACAATGATTTCTGTAGCTTTAAATTGTGAAATCCCTTTATATTAAATTAGATTCTGATTGGCTGTCAGTGTTTTGCTTATAAACTGAAAAAAAGTTTCTAAAGTGATCTCAAATATATAGTTTCTCCACATCTTTATTGTTATACATGTGGTCTGAACTCTGCTGTCATTTTAATTTCCGTTAATTTTGTATATTTTCAGAAATTTTTGTAATTTTCTTAATTTTGTTTATCTTTGTTGTCATCGTGCTGGGTGTGAACGGCTCTTAAGACTTTTGCACAGCACTGTACATCTCAATAGTCATCTCCACGGCTCACCACTTCTTTGCATGTGGGTCTGAGCAGGATGGTGTGTTCAAACTGGGCTGTGTACGAGCCCTTGGTATCACACAGAGGAGGGTATGGGTCGATGATGCCCAGGTCACACAGGTTCTTCAGGGCCATCAGGTATTTGCTTTCGCCCAAACGGTCCAGCCAGCGGCGACAGAATGCAAGTGTGCCGAAGTTCTCATTCACCACGTTCAGCAAGTGCTTTGCCCTGGGAAGCCTGAAGTTCATTAAAGAGAGGTAATAAAATAATTACATTTTAAAAATAATTATGCTTTAGAAGTCCAGTGTCTATACAGCATGAACATTCTGCAAAACATCTACTTTTTGGATTTCAGTTTTGAAAGTTCTACAGCTTTGAAGAGACACGGGTAAGAGAACAAATTTTTATTTGAGGGTTAAACAGTTATTAAATCTGATAATTATTTTCTATATATAATAAATTAAATGTTTGTAGAAATGTAAAGAATAGGTCATTTACACTTAAATTAATAAAATAAAAAAACACACACAAATACACAATGATATTGTGCAGTGCCTGAAAATTGGCTAACTTCTGTGAATTTTGGTTCAAACAGATATTGTTTAGGATCTGCACTAAAGTAAACAATGTGCTAAATTGTCTCTCACAAATTTAAGACATACTTCCTGTCCAAGCAGGTGGTCACATTTGAAATTTTAACAGATGTTAGCCGATTTTCAGCTGCTGCTAAGTTTCTCGATTATTATGCTGATATGAGAGTATAGTTTCAAGCCTAGAAGATAGCAACTTTTCATTTTCTGTCAGTCTTTAAATAGGAAAATTATAGAATTTTTCAAATAATTTTTGAGTGAGATGCCATTGGTCTAATCCAATTAAATGGTTTATGCTAAGCTAAGATAAAAGTGCTCAAGCCAGACCCAGAGATCAGTTGAATGGACTAAAAATGGTTCAACTCAACGGTTTAACTCTAGGGGAGTTGCAAAATGATCGTATTGTTAAAAAAAGGGTTCCTTCAAGCATTACTCGTACCTGATCGGCACGTGTCCAACGTCAAAGTTCTTCATGTAATGTGAGCAGTCCATGTCATCATGCACCACTCCTTTACCAGTGCTGCCGAATGTCTCTATAGCGTACACCTCACCCTCCTACACAGCAGTGGAATAATTGAGGTACAGTCAAAATATTTACATAATTCCATAAAAATTGCCATTTCAATCAGTTAAGTTTAATTCAGATTCTTAGAAAGGACAATTTCCCTGCATTTTTTTACACTACAGTGAGCTTACAACAATATAGCAAAACATATAAGGGATGATCACACAGACTGGGTTGTCAGGCCCCTTAATTGCCAGGACCCTATGCACTCTGTCACCCTTTTTATATATAGAGACTACTTAAAATATACACTACCTGACAAAAGTCTTGTTTGAGGAACAAGTCTGAGGAACAACAAATAATAACTTGACTTCTGGTTGATCATTTTGTATCAGAAGTGATTTATATGGAAGCCAAAGGCCACAAGATTATGCTTATTTTACCAAAATAAAATAGGATCATGCCTTAATTTTTCATTATTTGATTAGGACAGTAAGGTCTGACTTTGCTTAGGCAAAAAAATAATGTATAGAATATAAAGTCATGGTGCAGTGGAAAAATAATTACATTGTGTATGACTCCCATTAGCTTGGATGACCCCATCCAAACATCCATCTCTGAAATGACTCAAATAATTAATTAATAAAGTCATCTGGAATGGCAAAGAAAGTGTTCTTGCGGGACTCCCAGAGTTCATCAAAGATTCTTTGGATTCATCTTTAATGCCTCCTCCATCTTACCACAAACATGCTTAATAATGTTCATGTCAGTTGATTGGGCTGGCCAATCCTGGAGCACCTTGGCCTTATTTGCTTTCAGAAACTTTGATGTGGAGGTTAAAGCATACAGAGGAGCGCTATCCTGCTGAAGAGTTTGCCCTCTCCTGTGGTTTATAATGTAATGAGCAGCACAAATTGACACCTCAGGCTGTTGATGTTGCCATCCACTCTGCAGATATCTCCAGAGTATATACAATAATCAGAGAGTGCAATTCAATACCTTTTAAGACCTTTTTTAATACCTTATAACCACTTCATGGTTCAACCGGAAACATTGGAGAGATTTTACACAGTATATTTACTAAATATTAATGTAAGAAACTAATCCAAAACTAAAACATTATTCATATACTGAATAAAAATCTATTAAATCTAGCTAGTTCAGCAGGTTGGCGCCTATAAAACTGCAGAAATAAAGGTGTTGACTTGGTTGCTGCAGTAAACAAAGCATCATGATGTCAAATCTAGCAGGATATTATAGATTTCATAAATTACACAGCATCTTGATATTCGCAGATTTAATTCTGGCAAACTTTACCATACAACCATGCATTGCATAATCAAAAATGATATTAAATTTAATGCCTTGCAAAAAAGCATTTAAGACTTTTTAAGGACCTTAAATTTCTCTACATTGATTTATCAACTTTTAATAAGATTTAAGACCCCGCGGACACCCTGTCTCTCGCATGACCCATTACTGAATGTAAACCTAAACCATGATTTTTCCTTCCCCAAACTTGACTGATTTCTGTGAGAATCTTGGGTCCATGCAGGTTACAGTAGGTCTTCTGCAGTATTTGTAATGACTGGGATGCAGTTTAACAAATGATTCCAAATGATCAACTAGAAGTCCCGTTATTAATTGTTGCTCTTACAACTGGGATTGACGACAAGACTTTTGTCAGGTACAGTATATTTATACTGTATTTAACATACTGTCAACTAAAAACATATTACCTACTAAAAGTTTGTTTACATATTGTGATAAAATGCAAAGTGAAATTACAGGCAAAATAAAAGATTCAATCAGCAGTACATTAAAGGTAAGGTCATGGTAATCATTACACACATTACCATACTAATCTTTAGAAACACTGAAAAAACAACAACACAAAAATACACAAACACTCAAACAAAAACACTCCCATACACAAACACACTAATAAACACTCAAACACACACAAGAACAAAATTACACATACAAACACACTTAAACACAAACACTTAATGACTCAAGCACATACACACAAACATACAATCACTCAACACAAATAAACACACTCAAACCCAATATCGCTCAATCAAACACAAATATAAACACACAAACACCCACACTCAAACACTTAAACACACTCGCACATGCAGCCATCAATAGTCACACATACTCAAACACAAAACCAAGCTAAAACATAAACAAAAACAAACACAGAAAAACACTCACTCAAACACAGAAATACACAATCAAATACAAACACAATGACTCAAACACAAAAACACTCACTCATTCAAACACAGACACGCACTTACTAAAACAAATGTACACTAACACAAATAAACATACTTCAACCCAATATCACACAAACACACTCAAACACAATAATAAACACGCAAACACAATTGGCTACTAAATCAGAAAAAAATCAAACACACACACACACTCACTTAAACAAACAAAAAAACACATAAACGCACTTGTACACATAAATACACAAACATACATGCAGCCTTTACCAGACACACATTCAAAACCCAAAACCATGCAAAAAAACTAAAACACACTAATAAACACAATCACTAAAATACACTCAAGTTTTAACACACATGATGACTCAAACACAAAAAACACTCACTGATTTAAACACACACACACAAACTAATACATAAACATGCACTTACCCAAACAGGAACACACAAGCAAACACTCAAATAAGTATTCACTCAAAGAAAAACAGACACACACTCAGTCAAACACAAAAAAAACCATACATGAACACACACTCATTCACTTACATATATTCACACATAAACACACATACAATCATTAACACACTCACTCACCTCCATCCTGGTGGCTTCTCCTCCTTTCACTATAGGCACAGTTTTTCCAGCATGTATCCGGTATTGACCAATAGAGTGTCCGTTTAGATTACGAATAGGCTTGACTGTAGAAATGCACACAAAACGATGCACGCTTGAAAAACTTAACCAAGATTTCCATTAAGAATCTGCAAGAATGGATTCATTTGTCAATACCTTGGTATGTTTTGCCATCTATTTCCACCTCGTAGGACTCCATCACCTCTTGTATTGATTCTCCAACGTCGCAGAGACGCACATCTATACCTGCACACTGAGGAACAGCATGTGTGAATGCTAAAGTCACACACACAGACAGATAGTTAGTTTAGTGTGAGGAAAGCTTACCTTAATGCCTGTGTTTGTGGCATCTGCCACTGCCTCTAGCAAATGGTCAAACTTTGGATTAAAGGTGACGGTGAAGGCACAGTCAATGATCCTGCCTGGAATACAGACATGCAGCCAACAAGACATTTATATTCATTGTTATTATTATTAATAATAATAATAATAATAATTGTAAATCATAATTATACATTTATTCTCTATGTTGATATTTATATTTTAATAATAATAATAATAACGGTATATAATAATCTATGATGATGATGATGATAATTATCACTATTATTAAAACTAATAAAAATAGTAACTGTGTGTTAATATTTATACTTAATTATTATTATTATTATTATTATTAATAAGAATAATAATGTATTATTATTTTTATTGATAATAATAATAATAATAATTACATTAATAATAATATTATTATTAAAAGCCTACCAAAATGATGCATTTATTCTCTTTCTATATTAATATTCACAATTTATATAAGTACTTTTAGTAGAAATTGCAATGGTGGTAGTTGTATCATTATTTTTTAATTAATACAGAACTGTTGTATGTATTAGTTATTATTATTAATATTCTTACACATTATAATTATAATTATTATTAATAATAAAATATATAGTAATAAAAAAATATATAAAATTCATTCAAAAAATATATTTTATCCGTAACATTTGTTAAATATGTAATATTTATATTTGTAATACATTTTATATTTGTAAATACATACATACATACATACATACATATTTACATTTTTTTTTACTTTTTTAATTTGAATAAATTTTCAACATTTAAAAAAAAACTTTTGTTCACATTGTCATTATAGGGTATTGTGTGTAGAATGTTGTAATATATATATATATATATATATATATATATATATATATATATATATATATATATATATATATATATATATATATATATATATATATATATATATATATATATATTACATATATATATATATTATTACATATATATATATATATATATATATATATATATATAAGAGCAATATCACATAAGTAGCAATGCGAAATGCGATATGGCTGTATATCGGCACTGGTGGGAGGCGTGCGTTGGCACGAGGCCGCAGGCTGTTGGAGTTCTGATATTGCAGAATATCGCACGGCTATCAGCCAATTAGATTTGAGAACCAGACAGAACTGTGTATATATATATATATATATATATATATATATATATGAAATATAAAATGTGGTACCATTTATGTGTGTGCCGAAGTCGATCTTGCAGACGTCATCGTACCGCAGGACTGTCGGGTCTCCTGCGTTCGGAGTGTAATGAGCAGCACAGTTATTAAGAGAGCAGCCAGTGGGAAAAGCCAGACCTGCGTTCAGACCATCCTCTTTAATGAGCCTCCTGCTGCAGGCTTCCAGACGCTCACTAAACACACACACAAAAAATTCTTAGTCTAAAAAAATTGCAGGATTTGATCATTTCCAAACCAGATTGAGGAAGTAACATTTTCAATTTAATATTTTAGTTTTAATATAAAAAAAAATGAATTTCACACTGCTGATTTATAGATGTTATACCAAACTCACCAGATGTCAGTCATAGCAATAGTAATAATGATAGACCATAGTAAATAAATAAATATGTTTTAAATAATAAAATATTAATCAACAAATAAATACTTTTTAAATGATAAATAAAAACAATTAACAAATAAACGAACAAACAAACAAAAAAACATCAATCAAATAATTAGTTTGAGTAAATAATTATTTGATTTAAGAGACTGACCAGATGTCAATCATAGTCATGCCAGGTTTAATCCAGCTTTTGACGTATCGCCGCACTTGTCGATGAGCTTCTGCTGCCTGTCTGAAATCACTCCACATCTCCTCATTGGCTTCATCCAGTACTCGCTTCTCCTCATCGCTCATTCTCCACGCAGCACTGCGTCTGTTACCACGTGATAAGAAGTAGAACAGTAACAGTAAAAATCATATATTGCAATAGGTAAATACATTTTTTTTGTGAGCAAAATAGGGGAAAAATTACTTAAATATTTTGCTATAAATTACAGAAAGTACTAAAATGTCATTCAACGCATTTTTTTCCAGATGTTGATTATTTTATTTGGTGAATGTTTTGTTAGGGCTAGATAGAATTGTATATGGTGTGTGGGTTATAGTAAAATGTAAAATGTTATTTGTAAGAATAAATATTCCATGACAAAACAAAATCGTTGTCACATATTTAAGTGTTTTCTTTTTTTGAAAAATTACAGGAATAGGTCACCCAAAAAAAAAAAAAAATGACCTCATCATTTACTCACCCTCAAACGATCCCCCTTGGTGTATATGACTTTTTTCTTTAAGACAAATGATGAAAAATGATGCTTTTACACCTGGCGTTTTGGCATTGGTGTGCACACTTACATTGTTGCCCAAAAATCATTCATTCATTTTCTTTTCGACTTAGTCCCTTTATTAATCTGGGGTCGCCACAGTGGAATAAACCGCCAACTTATCCAGCACATGCTTTACGAAGCAGATGTCCTTCCACCTGCAACCCACCTCTGGGAAACATCCATACACACTCATACACTACGGACAATTTAGCCTAGCCAATTTACCTGAAAAGCATGTCTTTGGACTGTTGAAGAAACCGGATCAACAGGAGGAAACCCACGCGAACACGGGGAGAACATGCAAACTCCATACAGAAATGCCAACTGACCTAGCCGAGGCTCGAACCAGCGACCTTCTTGCTGTGAGGCAACAGCACTACCTACTGTGCCCTTGTGTCGCCCTGCCCAAAAATCAATGCGTTTAAAACAATTGCATTTGTCTGAAAGAAGAAAATCATAAAACCAAGGATGCCTTTTGGGTGAACAATTCCTTTAAAGTAGATTTTTTATGCGTATATAAAAATCACAAAAATTAGTAAAACTTTAATTTCATCATATTTCCTCTGATTCTGATGACTTTTGTTATGTAAAATAATTAGTATGTACAATTTACTAAGAATACCAAAACAATATATATTATTTTTTCAATGACGCCTTGAGGGTGAGTAAATGCTGGGGTGATTTTCATTTTTGGGTGAACTATTCCTTTAAAGCAGACACGATACTTGGATTTTTTTACTTTTATGCAAATATAAAAATCACTTTTGATTATTTCATGCAATGGGCATAGTAACATTTTCATTTCATCATACTTCCTCTGCTTCTGATGATTTTTATTTTGTTATGTAAATAATTAGTATGTAAAATTCAGTAAGATTACCAAAAAACTTTTTGTTCTTCCCTGGATTAGCTTGCAGGTATTAATTGTTTAACAAAATATTAACTATGTGTGCTACAATGTGGCAGCTTAAAGACGATTCTCATGTGGAGAATGAAGTCACATGCATTGCTCAGGTGTGATTCAGACTCTAACAGTGTGTAAAAATCTTGGTTCTGTGGGTTTTGTCCATCCAAACAGATTTTTATTTTGTATTTTCTATTGGAATTAAGTTATTGGCTGGACCAATACAATTCTACAGCTTAATTTTTTCTCTGAAAGCATTTGAGTTTTTCATTGGCTGTTCATTGGATCATAGTCTTGCTGAAATGTCCACTGTGGTTTAAACTTCATCATCCTGATAATGTAGATGTTAGGGTTTGATGATAATGTAGATGTTATGTTGTTGACTGGAGCAGCTAATATTAATTTACACTGACGAAAGGCAGAGGGTTGCTGAAGAACTACTGAGAGATTTTAGCTGCTGTCTGGGCTTTCCCTGCCTTTATAAACCTTCCTTTCTTCATGTGTTCAATACTTTTTTCTTGTGTCATTTAATTTCATATAACCTGATTTGTAAAATGTAAGTAGCAATTAGTTAAGGCCACTTAACTACTACTTACATCAAAAAAATAAATACAATGTACAATTAAGTGTCCTTAACTACTTCTTACATCAAAAAAATAAATACAATGTGCTTACTGTGTTTATAATGTATTTGAGAACACTTGTGGTGCTTTTGAGTTGGGATAGAGGTTGGGTTATGGACAGGTTTGATGGCATGTGTAGGTTTAAGGGTGGGTTAAGGTGTAAGGGATGGTCAGCAGTGTTTTTACAAATGTAATTACAAAAGTTAATTACAGATGTAATTACATACATGTATTTAATCAAGCATAAGTACACAGTAAATACATGTATTTACACAATAAGTACATTGTAACAAACTATTAATTCCTATGTAAGTACATATTAGTTAAGGCCATTTAATATAAAGTGGGACCAAATTCATATATGTATTTCTTTGATTGTTATCAAAATAATTTCAATTTCAAGTCAATAACACCTTTAGAAATAAGTTTTCTGGAAAAAAATGTGAATACTTATTTCCCCCACAGCATATTCAAGTGTAAAACCCTTTTGACCACAAAAAAATGTAAAGCAGTTCCCAATTGACTGAATCACTTGCTTTACCTGCAACTATCTATACATATTTTGATTTCTTAACAACTTTAAACTTCGGCAAAGTCACCTAAAGTTTTTCAATTTACACCTCATTAACGTCCTCGAAGGTGGCGGCGGGACTCCCAATAATGAATAAACGACATGAAGAAGTAGAAGTTTATGAGTTGGTCCTATTTTTGGAGCGAGTTCTTGAGGCGCGAGGGAACGTGAGTGACCTCTGTGACAGTAGATATAATATTACACAGAGCACAGGGTAATACGAGGTACAGCGGCCTGCGAGAGAACAAGGTGACCCTAGGACATTCAAGAGTGTGTTCACATTGAGGAAAGACCTTCTCACCCGTCCTGAGAGGGAGGATATTCACACTCCTGACCCACTGGAAACACACCGCTGGGGTACAGATCACAGATGGGGACGCTTGGAGGATCCGTTTGGGTTTTGGCTGGGGAGAGAAGGTGGATGTTAATGTGACTTTATATGTAAGTCTAATCCGTTTATTATGGTGGCCCCATAGTGCACAACACAATGATATTTTTAAAAAGCAAACAATAACTCAAAACACAACATCATTTCAGAAAGCAAACATTAATGCATAAAACAATGACAAAAAGTAAACAATAACTCACAACACAACAACATATCAGAAAGCAAACAATAACTTTAACAACGTGCACACGCGTCAAGCAACTGAAGCAACCTTTTAATGATGTTGCGTTGTGGTCTCAATGTCGTTGTAATGTGAGATTAATGTTTGCTTTTTGAAATGCAGTTGCGTAGTGAATTTAATGTTGTTGCATTGTGATCTTAATGTCATTGTGTTGTGAGATTAATGCTTGCTTTTTGAATTGTCGTTGGATTGTGATCTTACTGTTGTTGTGTACTGAGTAAACGTTAGCGTTGTAAAATGTTGTGTTGTAATCCTAATGTCATTGCGTTGTGATTTCAAAGGTGCAGTAAGTAAGTCTTCAGAATAGTTTTTTGTTGTGCTGGTTGAATGTCTCTTCACATTCCAATAGTAACGATTAAAGAAAATCATCCAAATGTATTTATATGTATTTTAATATTCTGGGTAAGGCATAAGACTAAAAATTGTTCGTCCAATCAAAATTTGTCAATTTGAATAATTCTGAAAAGTATCCTAAATTGTCTGTTTAGGAGAACACCCCTGTTCACGCAGACAGAGACACATTCACGTGCACACGAGAGAGTGACAGCAGTAAAAACAAACCCTAAATCAAAACTTTTTAAAATCCTGAATCAATATTGGAGTTACCTTTGCACGCTGGAGGAAGGATGACACCGTGGCTGAAGTATTTCTTTGAGACAGGTAATGTTCTGTTTTAAAACTATTTTAGTCACGCAAAGCTTATGTAGATTTTGTTGTTTTACGAATGGGTTATATGCACAGAAGTGTTGTTCAGCTACTGAAATCTTCTGGTGATAGATTGATGTGACTACTTCCAAATTCATAAGGGACATTTTACAGCATCGATAATGTCGATATTTATTTAGTTTAACAACAAACCATCACTAAATACTGCTATTTCGCCTAGTCTGCCTTACGGAGATGAAGTTTTTCATTTTATTTTATGAAGGTTTTATATTTACATCACATTGGTTCATTTTTTAACCAAAAATGACAACCTGTGACGCGCTCCCTATATTGTTTACCATGCTACTCTGAATATTCCGTCTGAAATAGCATGTCAGTATGGCTTAGTAATAAGTGAAATTCCTGCACGCTGCCGACCAAGCACTAAGCATAGTCGTGGTTTAGAACAAAATGCGTGAGAGAGTGAGACCAGCAATCCTTGCATTCATGAAAAATTGCACATTATGACAAGTTTTGCTTGCAACACAACTGAACACGTGCTAGATATAATACAGCTTTTTGTTCAGAATTGTAGTATTATAAAGTACTATAAAGTTCTCTAAATGGCGAATGACGTGATCTAGTGATTTCAGGAGGTGTAACTTTGGCACTGTGTTCAAAACTATAATACTAATGGTTAGCATTTTGGCAGATCACCTACTGCACCTTTAATGTTGTTGTGTTGTGAGATAAATGTATGAAGGACTAGCATGCTATAATTTAACAGTGTATCGTACGCAATGTTCTTAAAAAGTGAGCTCAAAACATTTTTATGAAAAAAATTACCTCAATAAGATTTAAAGAATTTTAAGATATTATTTTTGTGAGATTACATTCCCTATGTCTCAATGTATTTCTATTCGCTTGTTAAGTGTGACATCATGCAAAGCAGTATCCAAGTCCAAGTATTATATCCAACTGTATGGGGAGACTCAACAAATAGTAATAATAAACATTTACAAAGATATGTATCATTTTCAAAAATCACGATCACAATACATATTTCCATGGCTAATATCACGATTTGTCATGTTTATAATTAATATCCTATCTTATTTTGATTTCTCTTGCTATTATTATTATTATTTTATTTATTTATAAAAAGTATACTTGAATAATATTTTATACATACATTTATCAATGTATTTTGAATTTAAAAGTATTGGAATTATTGAAGTGTTTTAAGAAATGAATACTGAGACTTTACATACATTCCTTATGTACTTGTGCATTAATATTGGCTGCATTTACTTACAGCAGGAATAATATGACAACGCAGACGGCTTTAGTGTCAATAAACTTATAATAACATCTTATGTAATAGCATTATAAAATATTTGAACATAAAATTACAAAGCTACATTAAAACAGTCAATGTCTCATGCTGACTTGATCGTTTTATGTTGCAACACTGATAAATATCTGCAAATTAATGACAAAGCCTTAGGTGACACTTAGGACAGGATGAAAATCCTCCTGTGAAATCAAGTCTGCACTGCAGGATTTACTCAGAGGCACGATGATGTGGCATCACGCCAGTGTACTGCATTGGCGATGAAACACTCTCCTGCCCACATCAACAGCAGCACAAATTCATCCATTCACACCTCTGTCCCGGACCATCAGACACACTTAACTGATCACCATTCATTTCACTTCAGCGCTCATTATCTTACATCTCGTCCAATCAGCAAAGAGCAAGGACACACCGGCAGCCAATGATATTTGCCCTGACTCTGGCCCTGCAGGAACACAATGTACGAGGACGGGAGAATAGAAACTTACGTCCTTTCTTCTTCTTTGGCTTCTTTTTCTTCTTTTTGCCTGAAGTGTTATCAGCTTCCTCACCATCTGTAATGAAGTTTACATGATTAGCGAGTGCAATTAGTTATAATGAATAATTAGTGCCAATAATCAAAGCTCAGAATATATGCTTATTATTTTAGAGCAATCAATTAATACATCTATGTGAAATTATATATATACATATATATATATATATATATATATATATAATAAAATAAAATATATATCAAGTTATAGAATAACTTGCCTAATTACCCTAACCTGCCTAGTTAACCTAGTTAAGCCTTTAAAATGTCACTTTAAGCTGTATAGAAATGTCTTGAAAAATATCTAGTCAAATATTATGTACTGTTATCATGGTAAAGATAAAATAAATCAGTTATTAAAAATGAGTTATTAAAATTATTATGTTTAGAAATGTGTTGAATTTTTGTTCTCTCTGTTAAACAGAAATTGGGGTAAAAAAAAACAGGGGGGCTAATAATTCTGACTTCAACTGTATAAATATATATTTAAATATATATTTAAATATAGTTTACTAAATTTTATTTAGTGTAGCATGTAAACCAATATTATTTTTTTTTTAAATATGTTTGTGACAATTATATATGGAACAAAAATCACAACAAAATCACTCAAATATTAATGAAAATATAAATAAAATGGTAGAAACCAAATGTGAATAAATGTATTGAATATGCAACAGAGATTTATTATGTTGGCTTGAGAAAGCCAACATACTGTAATGCTACTTAAACTTATTCTTATTATTATTATTATTCTTATTATTATTCCGGCTTCTGACCAAAAAAAAGCAATCGCTTCTCCTCCCAGGGCTTAGATGCTACAAGCCCCAAATTTGGTCAAAAGCTGTCTATTGCCCATGAGATGGTTGCTGTATGTCCTCATGCCGATAAGATTTGTAGTTTTTGAATTAAAAATTTTTTGTATTAAAAAATTGTAAATATTACAATCGAGTATTTGGGGCTTATAAAAAAGTATACAATCCTCAAATTTGGCCAAAAGATGTGCTTTAAATTGAAGATAATTATCATATTTATTTGGTGTAATTATAAATAACAATTTTTCTATAAATATTTTTTTTATATTAAATTTGTAAAATTCAGACTCAAAGCGTGTCCACGAGATGGCGCCAGAGAACCATTTTTGAGCCCTTTGTAATTTAGTACTGGCCCTTTAAGAGGCGGGGATATCCGTGCTGACTGTTTTGAATCTACAGAAATTCGGGCTCATTTCAGACGTGCTTGTTACAACATTTGAAGCTGAAATTGCGACCATTTTGGTCGCATATGCGCCTGAAAATTAATCTATGCGACCTCATAACATATTTGGGCGCATTAGTGCGACTGCAGATGGTTGTAGTGCGACCTGTTTTGATTTTTTGTAAAAACGTGCTGATTCGCTCTTCCCTGCCGCTATATTGGTTCATATTAGCTGTCAATCACTCAAGGTATTCCGCTGTCAGATGACAGGGAAGGAGCTTTTATGACCACGGGAAATGCAAACGGCTGAAGAGTAAAAACTTAAAGCACACAGGTTTGCAAACCCCACCTAAAATTGAGGTGTAGATGAGAGAGATCGTGACACGTCACGTGGTGAATAATGATCCACCAGCTGAGATCACTGAAACTGCGGCTCATAACAAAGACCAGTATCGCGCCGATGGTTAGTGCAAGAATCCTGCTCTGCCTGCTCATAAATTGGGTCGGCTGACTCGCCAGCTTTTCCACAAACACAGAAAAATGAAGATCATCTCAGACTGAACCTTTAAATTGACACAAACTGAAACCAAAACTTTTAAAGAGTGATAGAAGTGAGACTTTACTTTCTTTCTTTTGTCTATTCTTTTTTGAGGTGTATATAATTTTTTTATTTATTTACTGATGACTGCTTTGCAGCTTTCATCATTGAATTGAATTATTTATTATAATCTTTTGTTTGTTTTGTAGCAGAAATATTATTTATTAAATTGACATGCATATAAAAACAGCAGTACAAAATCAATATTTCTTACTGCAATGCTTCATTTTTGTTTGATGCAAACTATACAATTATTTTATATAAAGTAACAGACTTTTTATAGCAGATAACCTACATTCATGCACATTCAAGGCAGTATCATAATGAGAAATGGAATTCATTGTTACTATTATTGTCATTTTCATCATCACTAATATTCTATGGCCTAATTATTAGACATTCATTTTAGAATTATTGCACACAAATATCAATGTCTTCGCAGCATTAGTTAGATAGTTGTTTCTGGTTTTTGTCAGTCCTATTGATGTTGTTTTAAAATACAATAAATCCCTTAAAAAGCAATTTGCAGCAGTGCTCATTCATTTTTGGTGGGTGCTCCTAAATTTTTTCTGGTGCTCCTAAATTTATTTTGGTGCCCCTGAATATTTGAAGTTGGGAGCACCGGTGCTACCAAGTAAAAAAGTTAATTTCGAGCCCTGTATATATATATATATATATATATATATATATATATATATATATATATATATATATATATATATAT